CGGGGGGGGGGGAGGGGCCTGGAGTTTGCGTGCGTTTCCGCGTGATGTTTGACCGCCACAGGGCCTCCCAGCGGGTGGTGGTGGTGGCTGTCAAGGACATTCCCCGCGGCGCCGAGCTCCTCACTTCTTACGACAACGACTACTGGCGCCTCAAGAACAGGGGCTTCTCCACGCCCTGAGCCTCCCGCCCGCGCCGCATGCGCGGCCTGCATGCGCCTTTCGGCTTTTCTCCCTGCATGCGCTCGCCGATTGGCCCGGCTGCCTTCGCTGTTTTCTCGCGGGCTTGCGCGCTTGTTTGCACACGGGCGGGGCTTCTCAGCCGCGCGGGCCGCAGTTGGCGGCGCCAACGCCCACGGCTTTCCTGCTTCCGTGCAAGTCTGGGGGCCCCCCGAAGCCCTAGGGGCCACAATTCTCCTTTTTGCATCTTGCATGCATGCGGACTTTTGCCCGTGCCCTCGCGGGCTCACCCTCTGCAGCCCTTCCTCTGCACCCCGGGGCCCAGGTGCACGGATCCATTCCCGCATGCACGCGAGAGAGAACTACGCGCGCAGCTGCAGACCTCTATGCACATGAACCTCCACGTTTTGCAATTGTTTGTGCGACTCAACACGCAAGTTTTCGCATGCGTACACAATAGCTTGCGGGCAGCTGTGCCTAGGCGTGCTTCCTTGCCTAGCGTGAGCTGCGTTTCTTTGCAAATGTATATAGCCTTCGTGTATGTGAAATGCGCCTTATATGCGCCCATACATATATGCGCATATATGCATACTTCGGGTGGGAGTGTGCCTGTCGAGGAGACAGAGCGCTAGACATGTGGGAGATATGTGTTGAGGAGTTAACTACCCCTCAGCCTTTAGACATGAATTAATGCCTCCTCTCGGCTTCTTTTCGCTTTGCTTTAGATCCATTCGGAAATTGAGCGTTTTCTTGGTTCTGCCGCATTCTGCTGAAGCTTATGTATTTGTACACTGAGGCAGGCAGAAAAGGGAACACAGGGAAGGTGACGGAGGGGCCTGGCAGGTTAAGATAAAGGCTAGAAAAGGGAGAGCAACTGAGGTAGAAACACTTAGGCCAGGCATAGAAAAGCATAAGGAGTGAAACAGATCAGACTGCGACAGAAATGTAAATTTAGACGAACTAAGAAAGCCTCACAGGGGCAGACTGCACCAACAGCCGCAAGAGAACTAGCTACGCGTAGCGACAATCAACAGCAAAGATACTCAAAATAAAATATAATTTCAATGCTTGGAGTTGGAAAACAAACACGAGGAAGCGGGGGGGAAGTCCTTTAGCGTCCGGGGACGCAGGCTTCCACCAAACCCAATTGGCCAGGGAAAGCTGATGGAAGGCGGCGTTCCGCTCAGTCTGGAGATTATTCTAACATAGAAGTTATGCGCTTTGGTCTCAAGGGTGCCCCAGATACCCTCCAAGCTAGCAAAAATTCTTATGTCGAACCTCTAATTTGACGGGCCTTCGTTTCCTGTCTCGATAACGTGTTGAAGTTTAACCACCAGGTAACGCACACGAAGCTTCTGCGATAAGAGATCGGCATCACTCTCGAGCATCACTTTTACTTCTAGTTCCAAAAGCGCAAGCTTGCAAAGCAAGAGATTACTTACCTCGCATATACCGTCAACGATTACGGTATGAAGCCCGCAGCCAACAACATGCAGGCTGTTTACGCATGCCAAAGATGTTCATTGTCGAGGCACAAATACGCACAGCTACTCCTAAATAGCTCCCGTCGTACCGGTTAGCCCGTAGCCTACTGCGTTTTCTTATTCTTTCGCGCCCTACGCCTCTCTTCCTGCACTCACAGGCTCATTAACCTGCTTTCTACTTCATACTCAGCACTACGTTTGATACATTAGTCAAAAGGTTCTTTCAGTCTGGGGTCACCATTTTGCCGAGAGCCACACACTCTTTGAACTGCAGTGCGCGGGAAGGTGAGAGAAGAGTGTGTAACTGTGCTGGTTCACGCTCACACATTCATCCATAGCTTGCATATCGATGTCTTTGAACCGCGCCATGTTTACAAAGAAGATACAGATTCTGTGCATGGGAAGCTGGTGACATTCTTGTCTGCGCTAAGGGAAGAACCCTGGGTAGCTACTGAAGACACGGCTGCGTATTATGCTGAAGCCTCCCTCCCATTCGGCTTCATCAGGCTCGACATTATTGCCTTTCACAAAACACCGATGTTTACTTTCGTTTGAGCTGTCTTACCATCCTTCCGGGCTAACGTTGCCATCGACGATACGTGAATTATAGTCTAATGTTGCCATCGTATCTGTATTCTTCATCAGTCACATATTTCCGTCGACCTGTATGAAACGCTACCTTTCCGCAGGCGCAGTAGTACGCCTGGCACAACTCTTTCAAGTTATTTTGACAAGAGTGCAGATAATGTTGCCTAAGTGACGAATAAGACCTCAAAATGCCCCGGGTGTGCCCCAACTTGAAAAATGCAGGCGCCAAGTCGGATTTCATACACTGTTACACGACCGGGTACCCAATATAGATTCATTGGGTGCTACATGATTACAGTGAGTGCTAAGATAAGGACAAAGCACTTTAATTTGGAGAGCCAAGAGCTCCAGGAGCACATAAAATAAAATTGTGCGTTCCCCATGCCAGAAGCACCACTCTGCACAACGTCTCTGCTCGCTAAGAAGTTGATCCCAGACCCAGAAAAACTGCGATCGACTCCCAAATACATTCCTTAAAAAGCCTAATGCGACTTAGTTCAGCCTAGTGCACTGCATTGTGTCAATTAGCGTGGTTCGCTGAGTTTTCGGCCGCGAATGCTCCTGTGGTCAGTGCCGATTCTTGGCGCTTGCGCCATAGCTCCAGTAATTGAAGAGTGCAGCATTGGACTAAGTAGCAATATTCTTGTCTTTGTAGACAACAATAATTTGTACCTGCGTTTCTTAGCCTACGCACCTTGTCGTGACTGTGCAGTAAGCGCTGCGTGTTCGTAACTTACCTCTGTTTCCACTAACTCGCCTTCCCGTGTGCAAAAAACGCAAACAAATTCAAGTACCTGTTAAGGTACAACCAGAAAGTCTTTCAAAACGGGCAAATAAGAGATGGTCTACTGTGCGGTTCCATGCACCTTAAGTGGCAGAGGCCCGGACCATTCTGCTCGTGAGCAACCGCGCTGTGCCGCATTTAAAGAGTAAAAAATTGCGAAGAAGAACATACTTGTCGAAAGTTGCCGCTGCGAATAGTTTAGGCTGCTGCCTTTTGTGGAGGCAGCAACGACTTCAGTTCAGTAGGTATAGGCTAAATCGATCCCAATAAAAAATTAAACAACATCCGTGGAGCCCAAGTGATGACTAGGGCGGACGTTTGCGCCACCTCTTCTGGCGTTTTCTGATAACCAGGGAAGCCAGGAGCGAAACAGCAAAGGCTCGAGAAGGTGGAGAAGAAATAGAGCAGCGTGACTCCGCTTTTCTTGCCTTCCGTGGCGCTCTTGCCTTACACTTTGTCTCACATCTTGCAACTCCTGCTCTGCTGGCTCTGCTTAGCGCTGGTAATCATCGCCCCTCTGCAGCGCCACTTCCCAGAACCACTCCATGAAATTTGCGACTTCTGTGATCCGCTTTGGCTGCTTGCTTTTCTCGTAGGCTCTGCAGCCTTTGGAGATGTGGGAGGGCACAGCTTTGGAGCCTCTGGCTATAGGCATGATGCTGGCGATCTTCATGGGCAGCTGGATCTTCCACCAGCGCTTTCCGTTTCCGCTTGCTTTGAAGTCGATAATGAAAGCTTTAATGTTTTTGGCGTGTTGCGCCACAATGGACATGATCTCGCTGGAACAGAACTCTCTGTTGTGCAGCAGCAGCAGGTCCCGCACCAACTCCTCAGCTTCCTGATCTTCCGCAGGCGCCAGTTTTGTTTTGCGCAATGTGGTTTGCAGCTTCTCTCTCTGCGCCATGAGGACGTCCTGGAGTCTTTCCCTTTCCAGGATTTCCGCTTTGGCTTTTTCGACGCAAGAGTCCGCGTCTTTCTCCACCAGGTTCATGAGGTGTCCCATTCGGGCAAGTGCGCTGAGGGGGTCGCGGGCGGCGCTCATGGGGTTCTCGAGGACTCTTTCGAAGAGCTCGCGCTCTTCTCTCGTCATTCTTTTCATAACTTGCTGAACTCGAACCAGCCAGCAAGCCTTGTCTGTGTTCTTTCCAGCGCGGGCGACGCGGTCTTGGGCGCGGGCCAGGGCCAGCGCGAGCCTCAGCTTCGCGGCGTTGAAGCTGGTGTCGCTGCGGCCCAGTTGCTTCGCCCGCACCAGCAATTCTGCCAAGTTTCCCGCCAATATGTCTGTGTCTCTGAGTTTCGAAACGTTGCAAGTGCCTGAAAACCGGCTCCACAGCGCGCACAGCTCGGGCACGCGCCGGCTCGCGTTCAGCACGTATCTGTTCACTCCCATGAGAAACTCCAGACAGTCATTTGGCACCGCTTCGGAAACGGCCTCAGGCTCAGCAGCAGCAGCGCGCCCTTCCGCTGTTTCCCCGCCTCCGCCGTACTTGGCGCTGTACTCCTCCGGTGTCAAGGCAGGTAAGAATTCTTCTTCAGATGAACCAGAAGAGGCCGAAGTGCTGCGGGACCTCTCCCCCTCCTCTTCCTCCCTGCCCCGTGGATATAAGGGCTGCTGTTTAGACTGCCGGCGAATTCGGGGCAGCTTTTGATAGACAGCTCGCGCTGCTCGACGCGCCCCCATCTTCACCTTCGCCGCGCCCCTTTTAATTCCCGCCCAGATTCTCCTCAGCCGGCTGCGAGCTCTTCTGCCCATGTTGCCTACAAATCTGCGCAGCTTTGCCAGGCGGCCGCTGGGCTGCTCCCGCAGTTGCTCTTCCTCGGGCGGGCTGCGGGTGTCATCGTCGGCCCCGGGGCGCTGCACGCTCGGCCCTAGGGGATCATCTGAGAAACTTCCTTCATCTTCACTGATGCTAGTGGGAGGAGGAAAAATCCTTCTTCTCTCGGTGAAAGAAGCAGCTGAGTGCGGCTGGATGGCCTGCAGTTCGGCGCGCCCGGGCGGCGGACTGAAGGCCGGCACGCCGAGGTAGTTGGCTCTTTCAAGCTCTCGCGGCCTGGTACTTGAGACAAATAATGTTGCAAAGCAGAAGAAATATAGCAGCAGGCCGGATGAGACGCAGGCACCGAAGGCGCGCCGGTGCATTTTCCGGCACTGGGTTGAGGCTGGGCCGCGTGCACGCAAAAAATGGAAGAAAACAGTAGGGCTTTGGCCCACTAATATTAGGCAACTCTACTTCAAATGAATTTGGGAAGCTTTGGCGCTCAAAAGTAGGTGTTTCAAATCCTTTTTCCCCAGGAGGCAAAGAAGACAGCCAAGAGCTGCGGACCTTAAAGAGCTGCAGCCGACTGCAGACTGTAGAGAACTTACGGCGACGGCAGCTACTAAGAAAATCCAATTCATATTTGTTTAAGAAGTCTGCTGAAATGCTTCGGGTGCTTCGATCATTGGTCAAGCAAGAGGCGCGGGCGCCAACAGACGCAGCCGCCAGATGATAGCCTTCTTGCCGCTGGACCGATCTCGAAGCAGCGCGAGATATCTATGTTGTTGTGGAAACAGCTACCTGAGTAGCATTTGCAGTTTTAAAACAAAAAGAACCATTTGTACTTTGGTTATTTTATTTCGAGATGAAACTGTCGGAAGAGAAATCACCATCCGATCGATATTGGTCCAGCAATCGGAGCCGCCGCCGAGCCACTGCTTGACTAGCCTGTGCATCGCTCTTATCTTGTTGCAGCTCATGTCTACTCTGCTCCTAATAATATTCGGGTAAAGAAAATCAATTAACCCACGCATATGTGGAATATATGGACTGTGCGCGACGCTTGGTGCGCCAGTAAGAGAATTTCCCCCGCCATTCTAGACTCTAGCTAGTGGTCGTGCTAAACGCCATACTGCAACAAGCCATTTGTACGCGAGACGATACATTCTTGCATTTGTTGAAATGCTGCGTCCACAGAAGTACTTCCAGGCAAAAAATCACCTGCAATTTCGGCAGATATCTCTAATTCCCTAAAGTACTGTGTAGATAGCTGCTACCCACCCATGAGCTACGCGTGCCTGCTTTCAGATGGTTAAAGTCTCAGGTAAGGCTCTAGTCGGCCATAAATTCAGTGCAGTAGATAGGTTTGTTTGCAGTCGTTTCTGGACTGGCTCCACAACTTAACTGGGAGAGGCTGACAGCCATTATTCATCTACTCACGCACAAGGACTTTACGCGCGAGGCGCCTTTGTTCCATTCGTTCTAAACATAACTATCTAAATTTCTGTTTCGAGTGTGTAGTGATAACGAATATTTAGTAGTATAAATACTTCAGCAAAAAGAAGAATCGCCAAGCTCAATTCATCTCTAAAAATGAGCACGCTCTGCTCTAGGAATTCGCACACCTCAAGTGGCTTGGACCCAGCCAGTGAGCGGCTACGCTGCATCAAAACTTGAAATTCACCAAAGACGCTCACGCCACGACCCATAGTGGCTGGCGCCATTAGAGAAGGCTGCTCATGCTACGGCAGCAGTGTCCGTTTCGACACGTGGATCGGCTAAAACAATCTTCCTGCGTTACTCGCTGGTGCAAAAAACAGATACGTGCGAACGCAATGTACAATCGCAAGGCATGCACGTAAGAATGCAGGGCATGCCCTTCACGTGTGCCTGTGGAGGCGAGGCTGTCCCAGGGGGAGAGGACCGCAGGCAACAGAAGAGGGAAGGCCACAGCACAACACAACATACTTTCTTTGCTTGCCTCCTCCTGTATTTCTCCTCCACGATGCTTCACGCACCACGCAAACGCTCCCCTTCGTCGCCCCCTGTCTACTGCTGATCCTTTTCACTCCTGAGCAGCGCGACTTCCCACATCCACTCCAGGAAATCCGAAACCTCACTGACATTAGTGGGCGGTTTGCTGCTTTCATAGGCTTTGCACCCTTTGGCGACGGCCGGCGGCACGGCCTTGGACCCCCTGGAGGGAGTCATGATTCCCGCGAGCTTGATGGGCCACTGCATTTTCCACCAGCGCCTTCCATTTGCCTTGTAGTCCGCAATGAAAGCTTTGATGCTTACGGTGTGGGCCGTTATCAAATGAAGGATTTCGAGCGAACAAAATTCCCTACTGGCCAGCAGCCTGAGGTCGCGCAGGGCTTCGCTGCCCTCCTGTTGGTCTTGAACACTGAGGCGTTGGCTCTGCATCGCCTTCCTGAGAGTGTCCTCCTGAGTCCGCAGCGTGTGTTGGAGCTGCTGCCGCGCTTTGACTTCTTCGTTGGCCCTCTCCAAACAGGGGACAGCGTCTGCCTGGGCCAAGTTCATGATGCGCATGAGTCCTTGGAAAAACGTGTTGGGGTCGCGGAGGAAGCTCATGTAGTTCTTGCTGGCCTCGTTCAGCACCATCTCCTCGTCCGCGTTCAACATGCGCATGATGGCTTCGGGTCTTGTGAACCAGCAGACGTCGTCAGTGTACTTCCCAGCCCGGGCCACGGCGTCTTCAGCGCGAGCCAAAGCCGCAGTGACCCGCAGCTTCGTGGCTGCGAAGCTCTTGTCTGCGGGACTCAGCTGCTTCGCCGCAGTGACTTGTTTCGAAACGGCCAGCGCGAGATCCTGAGTGCTTCGGTACCTCGTCAGGTTCGGCAGGCGCATGAACAGGCTCCACAGCGCGCACAGCTCGGGCAAGCTCTCGTTTATCCACAGCAGATTTCGACTCAGCCGCAGCAGAAACATGGGACAGTCCTCCGGCACGGCCGCAGCAGCAGCAGCGGGGGCAGCAGCAGCAGGGGCAGCAGCAGCGGGCGCAGCAGCAGCAGCGCCTTCAGACTTGTACCGCTGTCGGTACTCCTCCGGTGAAAGAGCCTCGAAGAACTCCTCTTCAGACTCCTCGCCAGAAGGAGCTCTTGTCGGCGGCTCTGCTTGTCTCTCCTTCAATTCCCGCATTTTCGTAGACAAAGACCGAGAAATCGACTCCATAGATGGAGTGGTTTCACCCTCAGAGGGCCCCCCAGCTGCTTCTGCTGCAGCAGCTCCGCCTTCTGCCCCTTGAGGCTCTGCAGCAGCAGCCAAACCCAGCCCCGCTAATCCCGCGGAAGCCGCCGCTGCGGGCTGTATTGCTTCAGCAGTTGGTGCTGCTTCTCTGCCTTTTCTGCGGAGTTTCGGTATTCTTCTGTAGATGGCTTGGGCTGCCCGGCGCGCCCCGGCCTTTACCCTCGCGGCTCCCCTCTTAATTCCTTGCCAGAATTTCCTGATTCTTTCTCTAGCCCTTCTTTTCATGTTGCCCAGGGCCACCCGCAGCCTCTGAAGCCTCCCCTTGAGCTGCTGCTTCTTGGCTTGCTGGGATGAGCTGTTGGTGCCGGCTCGGCTCCAGGTGCCTGAGGCTTGAGTCCCCTGTGGCTCTTCCGGGGGCATCCTTGCTTCTTCCTGAAGGTCTAGTCCTGGAGGGGAGCTTTCGAAGCCTTCAGGGGAGCCTTCTTGTCTGTCTGCAAAAGAATATTCGAGTTTTCTATGCATAGCCACTTGCTGAGGCCGCTGCAGTGATGCGCCCCAGGAGGGCATGGTGAGGAGGCTGGCTCCATAACGCTGTGGCGGCCTCGTACTTGAGACAAATGAATCATTCAAAAAGGCGAAAAGGCATAACAGCAGGCATGAAGAGACGCAGACAGCCGAAGTCCGCGACCTCATTTTCTTGACAGACTTCCGATGCGCTGGTGACCTAGTCCCTACGAAATGCAGGTAAACAGAGCCCTACCACTCAATAACACCTCAAGTCTATTGAAAATCAGCAGCACAAGCTTCTTTATACTATTTCAGCCGTGTACAAAAGGTGTAGGTGGCTGACTAGGGGCCGCCGATTGCCATTCAGTGCAGCCGACACGTCAGCTTGCAGGTACCGTCAAGCCGAGCACCTGGCACTATTCGTGCCTAGATAAATGCGATTCGCAAATGCGTATAAAATACACTAAAAGCAAGCTTTCAAAGATGTGAACAGTGAAGATTTGCTTTCAGGCACAGCTCGCAAGCAGCTGCGCGTGAACAGGCTGTCGAGGGGCTTCAGAAAGAAGCGAGAGCGTGTCAGCTATGGCGGACACGGCTAGCGAAGTAGTACTCGTTAACAAAAACACGTGGGACATCACTCACATCTTTAGAACTTTTACATGAGGGAATTTAATTGAATCAAGAGCTCCGAAGCTGTTGCTTCCCTCTAATCATCTCGCTGTTCAATGTTCTCTCCCAACACCAATCCGGTGCCTGCAATCGTGGCAACTGAGTTGTCTGCAAGCACGTCAATTCATCGCGTCTACGTTCAAGAGACAAATGTTCCAAAAGCTAAGACTTTGAAACCTCTCTAAAATCCCCAAACAATAATGAGAAGCTTCTTCCCATCGTAGTGCGGGCTTGGCTCGACAGCAGCTACACCTTATCTCCGTGCTTAAGGCGCTCCATTCCCATTTCGCCTCAATGTTTATCGTGAAACTAGGCATTTTGAGCATCGTTGTGCCCGATGCAGTAGATCTGAGACAATTATAAGCCACCTCTGTGGCAGTCTAGAACTACCGAAATGCCAACGTCCCACTAGTGTTGCAGCCCCGCAACTGGCTGATTTCACTGCTGTAAAGACGCATACCAAGTTGTAGACTTAAGCAACGGCTTCGTACTGGTACAAGTGTATAGGGAGAATGCACAAAGATGTCCAGATTTTCGAAAAGGTGAATGCAAGATTGCACACGCAAGACCATAGTGCGAAGCAGTGAGCAAAAGATGGAGCAGAAGGCGGAAATGAGGGATTAAGAATGCAAACAGAAGTCGTAAGGACTTCTCGCCGACCCAAATCACAACATCTGTGCAGCGTTTTGGCTTTGCGCCATGGAGGCCGGTTGGCCAGCGTCTGGCCTACAACGGGATACAACAACGCAGCTGTTTTTTTTTCTGCTTCAAGTTTCTCATTTCAATTGCTGCATGTGCCCAAGTTCCTGCTTTCAGTCCGTTTTTTGTGCTGTTGATGTCGGTCTGCTCTTGCCGTGCCCAGCCCTCAGCGTAAGGTAGGTGGTGATGCCAACCGAAATTGAGACTGCCGCATGCAGGACTAAAGAAAGCCAGCAAGCTGGCGTTATATCTTCCGCCAGAAATCTCTGTGGTGGATTATACAGGCCAAGTCCGTGCCTGCGATCACACAGTTACCACCAATCGGCAGAGGGGGGCAAAAATAGCCAGTCGCAGCCTAACAAACAAATAAGGACCTAACTTGGCTTGCAAAAGCAGCGATCAGATGCGCATTGGTCAATAAGCTTTGCTAAATTGACGTTTAGAAGCTCCTGGCCCTGAGGAATGGCTAGAAACACGTCACAGCAGTTGATTCACTCGGTGTGCACGCCCCGTATGAATACCAAACTACCAATTTATAGTAATCCGCCCTTTTGCCACCTTCGTAGAATGTTAGTCTGCGTTGAACACGAAGCTGCCACTTACCGCTGCACGAGGGTCCAGGGGGCGAGGAGCGACGCCAAGAAAACCAAACCCGCACGAGAAGTCATAGGCAAGTGGCGGCGGGTGGACAGAAACATCAGAGCAGTGATAGACAGATAAGATATCTGAAGGCAAAAGAAGACAATAAGCCCAAAGCCAGTTTAAAGGCGGCAAATTAAAGCAAGAACGCACATAGAAGTAATCAATGACACGCAAGCACGAAAAGTGAAAACGAAATGGCAAGCTATAAGCAAACAGATACATGAGCACATGTGTGAAGATGGCAACTACCCGTAAGGACGACCCATTGCTTGACATGAATACGCAGGACAAACCTTACTAAAACTGGAGGGTCAAGATTGAAACCCCCTCTCGTTCTGTTTGTTTGGGATCACACCAATGCAACATCACTGCAGAAAGTCTTACTGGCGAAAGACTCGACTGCATTGCCTGGTAGACGCCTTCCCAATGAAACGAGTTACCTCCGATGGCTGCAAATCAAATAGAAAAAAGCAGAACAAATGAGGATTACGCGAATGCTACTAAGGTCTCACGACAGGGGCAGGTAGACAAAAACACAGAACAAAAGCGCTGACACCTCTTTTTCTTGCATTTGAACAACGCTGACACAAAAGTGTAACTTTATTACGCACGGAAGGCACGTGCATGATTCGCTATACGTTGCTTGCTACTTAGTACTATCTAAATCATTAGCAAACATAAATTGTGTACAGCAGGGTGGCAGAGGCGTCGAAGAAATCCATTCTTATTGCTATTTGCCGCGATTAAAAAAGATATCCTTTTGCACAATGAGTAGAAACCTGATAGCCAGCAGTAGGCTGACCTCTCAAGAGGAGGTGTCCGTTACTGCACAGGACTTGTCCCAAAGCCCAGCCCAAGCCGATGCACAGCAGACGGGTCTCAGAGGAGTAAGCCAAAGCTTTCCTGTGAAAAAAAACGTACAAAATTAAAAATGGCACATAGTTGTATGAAATGAACAAGCAAACACGGGGCAACACAGAAACACAAATACACAAAAAAGTACACACAAGTGCAGTCAACGCGCACAAGGGCTGAAGGCCTAACTATTTCTGCAGGTCCTATTGTTGACGTCATTTCTGCAACTGGTCCAGAAACTATTTTCTTGCTTTTGCTGCCGGGTTTGCTCGTGTTGCGCGTGCTCTGGCCGCTTATTCTAGTGTTGCTGTTTCTGCCGTTCCCCCTGCTGCTGCTGCTGCGCTACTGTACGCCTGTGCTGTTGTAAGCGCGCTGACTTGCTGTTGAGAATATATTTTATGCTTGTCAGCTCCATCACAACAGTCACAAGGTCTATTATGGCCTGAAGAAACACACAAGCATATGACTTCAATAATGCATTAGAACGCCGAAATAGGCAAAAAGAGCATTCGCGGGGAAATCAGTGCTACGAAAAGACGATTTTCCTACACATGAGCATAAGTGGTCACCTTAAACAGAGCTCCGCGATAAATAATGAAACGAAAAGTCTATCGGTTTGCGTTCCGAAAGATATTGAAACAATTGAACAGTGCATGCATTGGCATGTGGAGGGACTCGAAAACAAGTTCCAGAGAGCAAAACCCTAGAGCTAGCCAAGTTCACAAAGTAGACCAAACGATGAGAAACAGAGACAAAATTAACAACTGCCAGGCCAAGAAAGCATGCAGACTACCACGGGCGTGTGAGGGCAGGGCGGAAGAAGTGAAAGCATGCAAAGAAACAAATCAGGAAAGATAAATGAGAAAAGTGTGGCAGCCACAATTCGTGAAACATCCTGATAACAGAAAATGCCGATGGTGTCCAAGGGGCCTTACGCTGCAGAGGAATGAGCTCTCGCACGTCGAGGGGAGAAGGGTGGCGACAATCAAACTCTGCGATTCAGCGAACAAACCCCAAAACATAAAAATTAAATACATTTTGCTGCCAGATGTGCTGATGTGCTGATATTTAAGCATCAGCACACCCCCCCTGACTTCACAGGCTCCTTGTCTTCAGCAGACATCTCAGCAGTCTCAGCAGCAGCAGCGACCAACAACGAAAAGTGCTGGCAAGGTGCAGCAAAGCACTGAAAAAGGCAAAGGAAGAGCAAACAAGAAAAAATTGAAGCAAAGAGAGTTATGTGGATCATTTCCAGTCGAACAGACCTTTCCGAAAAGATTAACAAAGTAAAAGGCGGTGGCGAGGGCCAGCAGCTTCTTCGTGCCCGTTTGGTCCGATCTGAAAGCACAGGAGAAACAGCCGCAAACTTTTTCGGGGAGAAAGCCATGCTAAGTGCACAGAGTGGAATTTACGTGGGGAGGCACAAGAAATGGTGACAAATAGAAGTGCGAAAGATAACTCACTTCAGGGAGAGACATGACAATAGTGAGTGGCAGAGGCGAAAAACCGAGGCCTCCTCTATGCACTATAAGCAATTAAAACTGTCCACCGGAAATAGCGGTGCGAAAAGATTAATAATACGCAGACAGGAAACATGAAGTAAAACGCTCACAGGTTTGTAGCTTTATAAATGGCCGCTATCGGGCCAAAACAGAACCCGGCACAGGCGGCCCCGTGTAGAACTGTCATCTTCTGTGAACACTTGAAGAAGTGGCGGAGGTTGTTTAGGCCGCAAGCAAAGGGAGGAGCTTGTAAAGAAAACTTTTGGGAGACAATTAAGCTAAAAAGCAGAAAGAAGTACGGTCACCTCGTTGGAAAGGTGAGCGGCTGGAGAGAAAGAAACAGGACGAGGCGCTGGAATATGCTGCGTTAATTTGTTTGGTACCTCAAGAACGAGTTGAGGCAGCCGCGTTAAGGCGAAGAAAGCCAACAAAAAGCGTACAGAAGAGGAACCAAGACACAGAAGTAGGCGAGGTGATCACACAGAATCGGGAGCTGCCCGCCACAAAACAGTCAGGCAAAAGGCTTAACGTTATGATCAATATTTCTGAATTTCAGCGAATCGCGAAAAGACCTATCTGTGTTATGTCGTGGCTCCGCATCCCTCCGCCACTTCCTCAACTGTCTGCTTGCCCAGACAGAAATAAGTAAATTTGCACACTAAAAATACGTCAACATAATAAACCTGACCTGCAGAACATCTCAAGTTAACATAATCCTAAACAACTGCCGCTTGCTCACGAAAGTGCTCTGGAGGTGACGATGGGACTGACCACAGTCACTCGCCGCATGCAGCGTCATGAAATCGTTTCCGTAACATCTTTGGCGAAATATTTCAATTTGGTTCATCCTAGGATATATTATTAACTCGAAGCGCTTATATTCGCTGAATTTGGCACATAGAGCCTGCTACCAACTGACAGCAGTGACGGGCCCCCCGTTCGTCCCGTATGTGATGCATATTACGTTCTTCCAAATATCCCAGCAGCTTACTCCTTACCTTTTGTATCGTCTTTTATAGCGCAGGGGTCACCGAAGGTGAATTTTCGTGTTCGCTGAGCTGCCCAACTTGCTGCGTTGTTGGCTGCGTTGTTGGCTACTCTGTTTTTGAAGAAGGAGCATCAGGCTTTTCAATATCTGCAAAATTTCGCATGGATTAAACTCGCATCGTCTTTACGAGCATTATTACTTCGTTTCTTCAATTTCTTTGGGCCAGCAGCTGTGCACGGTGCCCTCACATTCGGCCTCTGCGCAATACCTCGACACTGCGCTGCTCAACTCCTGTTTTGTTCTCCCACCCGTTTTTCTCAGTTATGCTCCTCTAGGCTGCACTGTTGCTCTTTCTTTATTCAGGATTGAGTCTCCCTGCTACGTGTGTCGTCAGTGAACTGAGTGGTCGTGAAGCTGATGGGTAGCAGCAAAACAATGTGAGAATGTTCCGCAACGCGTCCCTCTTCGGAAAATATTTGCGCGGCTTGGGTAAAACTGCTCTAAAGGGTTTCAAAAAGAAGCAGATTTTGGCTCCCATTCCAGTCAAGGCCTATGGGCGCCCCCCCTCAGCAGCGTCTCAGTGTGGTTTATACCATGACGAGGATTACAACTACTACACCAAGATTTCTTTCTCCCTGCGGAAACACAGGCGAAAACTCAAGCCAAATGTGTTTAAAAAAGACTTTGAGTCCGAAGGGTTGAATACGACGATCAAGAACCTCAAAGTGACGACCTCAGCGCTGCACGCCATAGATGACGCCGGGGGTCTTGATGAGTACCTTCTGCGGACTCCGCCTGAGGAAATGAGGAGCGTTTTAGGCGAAAAAATGAAGACTGTAATTCATTTTTATAACCAACACCCCGAAATTAGGGAGTGGGCGCTGCCCTGGAAGTCTTTCGCCAGCGCCGGAGCCAGGAAAGACCCTTGTCAAGCGTTGTATAGGCACCTGATGGGAAAAGAGCTGTACGAAAAGCGCCTAAGAGAAGCGCAAAAGCAGTCTTCTCCCTATTACTTGCCAAGTTTGCGAAACATGCACCCTGTGAGGCAGCCATTTGCAGAGGGCACAGAGCCGCCACAGCTCCCACACCTCGGCTGGGCTCTAAATCACGTAGAGGCAGCAGCGCTGCGGCGACGACTGGGCATGGCTGTGTGCCAGACCAGAGCTCAAGCTTCTCACGAGGAAGCTGATGGCTTTAGGACGGGAAACAACAGGGGAGGGGGTGGCCAGAGCGGATCGTCCCTCAGAAAACGGTCGAAAACACACAAGTGGAGAGAGATCAGAGCCTACTGATGCGCAAAGGCAACGTAGAGGAATTGCACCGACTCCTCAGCTTTTCATCAATTTGAAGCTGAGGAGAAAAAGAGTGGAAGCAAACAGGGGCCTCCCCCCGTTGTGCAAACTAATTTCTCTACTTCGCGCTTGCACTTCGGATCTTGTCCGTGACAAATGCAATAACAGGCGAGGGAAGTTTCAAGCTCGGCAAAAAAGAGTAGCATTGCTCTTCAGAGCCGCATTAGTCAGCCGCAAGTGGCGAAGTTGTCCTGCAATTACCGAATGAGTCAAGCAACCAATGCAGGGACACTCGGTAATACCACGGCCTAGGCAGTCCTCCAATTTCATGGAGGCGAGGCACAGCGATTATCAAAGCCCTTTATTCTTCCGAACCAACTAATATGCCTAAAGGACAAAGCCAACTGCTCGGAAATGTAGGGCCTTCTGTATGAGAGAGGCGTGATGCGCACCTACCACTTGCTGCAGCCATCTGCCTGTTGCACCAGAGCACCAAAGAGCATCTCTCTCCACCTTTGGTGCCGCAAACTCAGTTCTGTTATTCTTGTTGTGTTTTAGTTCGAAGGGAATACTTTCAACCTACAACACTGCCAGGCGCAGGTAGCCTAGAGGTTCGAACTGAATGGCTTTCAGATTGCAAGCGCCGGAGATAGACTGTAGGAAGTTTAGAGATCTATGCTTTATTCAGATTTGTTTGCAGTCATATCTAGACTACCGTGGGTCCGGCTGTGTATTAATTTTTTTCCGTGTTTCCCACTAAGACTTCGTGCATGGAGCGCCATGGAGCGCCATGCTACATTGATCTTGATATCGATGGCTTGAAGTTCGTTTCCCATTGTGCGCTGATCCTGCATGCAGCCAAGTGGTCTGCTAAAATGGAGAAAGACGCTACGCCAGTTTCACATCTGAACATGAGCACTGGGCAGCCGAACTGCAGTGGGCATTCGCACACCACAGGAGGCATAGTCCCAGCCAGCGAGCAATTACGCTGCGACGAAGTTTGGAAAACATCAAAAATACACAGTTCACGATTCAGCCGTGGCTGTTGCCACTGACTGAGGCCGCTCTTGGCACAGCAGCAGCATTTGTCTCGGCACTATGGAGCGAAAACAATCATCATAAGTTGCTAGCTGATGTAAAAAACAGACACGTGCAAACGTGCACGTACAAAGACTTGGCACTGATGTACAAATGCAAGGCATGCCGTTCACTCGTGCATCTCGAAAGCCAGGGAGTTCCATGAGGCGAACAGCGTAGTGAGCGCGCCATATTTTCATTGCTTGCCCTCTGCAGTTCTAAAGGATACGTCATATCGTGCAAACCCTCCCTGCATTTCCCATTGTTTATTGTTCACCCGCTTCATGTCTTAGAAATGCCACTTCCCAGAACCATTCAAGGAGCTCCGTAACCTCACTAGGGTCACTGGGCTGCTTGGTGCCCTCATAGGCTCTGCATTCTTTGGCGACCTGAAGCGGCACAACTTTGGACCCCCTGGAGGAAGGCAGGATGCCCGCAATCTTTCCCGGCCACTGCATTTTCCACCAGCGGTGTCCACTTCCCTTGTAGTCAACTATGAACTTTTTGACACTTTTGGCGTGTTCCTTCGTTATGTAAAGAACCTCCATGGAGCAAGATTCTCTGCCGCTGAGCAGCTGCAGTTCTTCCATCACATCGCTCCCGACTTGCCTCTCGCGAGGCGTGAGATTGAGCGTTTGCATAGCCTCGGCGACTCTGTTTTTCTGCGCCATCAAGACCTCTTTCAAAATTTCCCTCACCTTGATTTCCGCTTCGGCCTTTTCCACGCAGACGTTGGCGTCGACTTCAGCCATATCCATGTGGCGCATGAGGCGGTCAAACACTCTGCAGGGGTTGCGCAGGAAACCCATGTAGTTCTTAACGACCTCCTCGGCCGCCTCCTTCTCTTCCGCGTTCAGTCTTTTCATGATGCTCTCCTGCCTGGTGAACCAGCAGAAGTCGTCGGTGTACTTGCCCGCGCGGGCCACGCCGTCCTCCGCCTGGGCCAGCTCCAGGGTCACTCGCAGCTTGGCCGCGGTGAAGCTGTTGTCTGCGGGGTCCAGTTTTTTGGCTTGTGCGATTAACTTCGAAACTTCGAAAGCCCGAGGCTCCATAGTGCCGCCGCGCGAGATGTTGGGCTCCCGGGCAAACAAGCTCCACAGCGCGCAGAACTCGGGGGCGCCCTCGTTGACCCACTTCAGGTTGTCGCTGAACTGCAGCAAAAACTCCGCGCAGTCCTCGGGCACTGGCTCCGCAGGGGCCCCCGCTGGCGCTGCTGCTGCTGCTGCTGCTGCAGCTGCTGCAGCAGCAGCGGCTGCCGGTGCAGCAGGCGGGCCCGCCGGCGGGGCCTCCGCGGGAACAGCAGCAGCTGCGTCTTCTTCCCTTGCGGGCTGCGAAGGCGGGTAGACGCTTTGGTGCTCCTCGGGGGTCAGGGCCTCGACGAATTCGTCGGCTTCGGGGGTGCTGGGCTGGGTCGTCTCTGTCTGCGGCTCTGCCTCTCTTTGCTCCTCTTCAGGCTCTTTCTCAGGGGGCAACTCTGCAGGGGGCTCTGCAGGGGGCTCCGCTTCGGGCGCAGGGGGCTCGCCTGCTGCTTCTTCTGCTGCAGTTGCTGCGCCTGCTGCGGCGGGAACTGCTGCAGCAGCAGCCACGCCCAGCCCCGCTAGCCCTGCGGGAGCAGTCAGCGAGGGCTGCGGGGCTTCTGGCTCGGCTTTTGGGACCCACTTTCGCCTCCGAAGTACTGGCAGTCGCTTGAAGATGGCTCGCGCCGCTCGCCGCGCCCCCGCCTTCAGCCTTGCGGCGCCTCTCCGGATTCCTCGCCAGAGCCTCCGCATTTTTTCTGCAGTCTTCTTGCGCACGTTTTCGAAGACCCGCCGCAGCCTCGAGCGCCTTCTGCCGTGCGGCGGCTGGCGGTCTTGCGGTGGGGAGCTGCCGGTGCCAGCTCTGTCCCGGATGTCTGGGTCTTGGGCCCCCTGTAGCTCCTCCAGGGACCCCCTTTCACTATCCCGGACGTTTAAGAAGGAATGAAAACCATTTTGGGTTTCTGCAAAAGAAAATTCGGGCCCTTTACTGGCGGCCGCTAGCTGGGGTCGCTCCAGCGGTGCGTCGAGGGAGGGCACGGAGAGGACAGCGGCTCCATAACGCTTCCGCGGCCTCGCACTGGAGGCGAAAAGAGCCTTTGACAAAGTGAAAATACATAACAACAGACATGAAGTTCTGCAGAGACACGCAATCCTCCACTGCATTGTCCTGGACAGATTCCACCGATGCTGCGCCGACGATCCCTATGAAACGCAACAAAATCTTCCTCTACCGGGCAAAAAAATTTCAAAACGATTTATTTATGCTATGCAAATCCTTTTCTGTACATATTTCTATGTTTGAAGTTTCTTCCTCGCAGGTGACTTTGCAGAGGCCGCCGATGTTCAGTGAGTTGATCGGACACGGCAGCCCATGGAAGGCAATACGTCGAATGCCTGGCACTTACACCGGCTACGTGAATGCAATTCAAAACTGAAAATAAAATATACCGAAAATAACAAAATCTTCCTCTACCGGGCAAAAAAATTTCAAAACGATTTATTTATGCTATGCAAATCCTTTTCTGTACATATTTCTATGTTTGAAGTTTCTTCCACGCAGGTGACTTTGCAGAGGCCGCCGATGTTCAGTGAGTTGATCGGACACGGCAGCCCATGGAAGGCAATACGTCGAATGCCTGGCACTTACACCGGCTACGTGAATGCAATTCAAAACTGAAAATAAAATATACCGAAAATATGATTTAAACGATGCAATCAGTGCAGAATTATCGGCAAGCACAGCCCGCGAGCAGCTGCGCCTGAAGCTGTCGGCGCCCTACACCGGAGTCGACAGCGTGTCAGCTGTGGTGGACATGGCTAACAAAGCAACACCCGTGCACATAAACAAGTTACATTTATCAGAATCAAGGAAGGATCACATATGGCAACATTAGCGAAAGAAAGAGGCTCAAAAAGTCCATTGCTCTCCGTTCATCCTTCGCTGTCCAGTGGTTCCTACTGCGCCTTCACTCGGCAGCACTGGCGCGACTTGTGAATATGCAAATCCAGCGTTTCTACGTTCAGAAGACAACTACACCAAAAGATGGACAATAAATCCTTGCCAAAATTCCAGAAGGATAGTAGGAGGTTGGGCCTGCAGTGTCCAACCATCCCATCTACAGCTGCAGCTCGGCTTGCTGGCGCTGTTCGACTTCTGCGACGCTTTCGCCCCAATAATTTCCGTAAAGCGATGCATTTTGAGGATCCCTATTTTCCCCAAAGTTGTTAATCTAGAATAAGCATGGGGAATTATTGTGTATCACGTTGAAACTGTTTGAAACTGCCGAAAAGCGAAGTCCGAAATGCCGCCGTGCTGCAATGCTACTTGCTGATCTCATAGACAAGAAAACGCCTGCCAAGTTGTAGAGCTGCCAATCTGTGTTGTGTAAATACAACTGTAAAGTGAAAATACACGTAGAAGACAAGAAATTCAAAGAGGTGAAATACGCGTCAAGCTTGCATCCGCAGTTGCAGTGAAGCACGGAAGAAATTATCAAAATATGGAGGAGAGTGCACGAGAGAGAGTTGTAGCACACCGGAGAAAATCGTGTCCGACCAAAATTGACATTCCCTGCTTGAAATTTTAGTTTTCTAGGACGGGAGCCAGCTGGCCATTCAAGTGTTCTGAATTAAAGGCCTGTATGTTCTGAATAACAGAGGGCGGAGGTGCAAAAACGCAACTTTGCTTTCTTCCGCATCGCGTTTTTCAATTCAACTATAGCACATGTCCGCTCCCGTGCCGTTTGCTACTGTCTGCTCGTACCGTGACCAGTGGAGAGGAGTTGAAAGCCGCTTGGTCAAAATTGCAGGCGTTGCGTAGGAGAACACTAGTACTAGAAAAACGGGGGCAGTACAGCCACCCTGGGTACGAATGAATGGCCGAAGGAAAAGGAACAAAAAGAGAAGTTCCAGCCTGCTGAGCTAGCTTGCTTGGTGGTTTAAAGATGAGTTGAGGCCGGCGCTTCGATATGGCGAAGCGCAAAAATTGTGCAGAAGATGAAAAGGAGGCCCAGAACCAGACGAGGTGAATACACCGAAGGAAAAGTGACCCTTTTCAGAGCAGCCACGCTACAGGCTCAACGGTCTGATTGGCTTCACTGAATTTCAACTACGGATAAAGTGCACAAAAAAGACTGGCTATGGCTGCTCGTGCCACAGCCACGTGCCCAGATAGAAATAAGGGAAGTAACGAACTACTACTGTACTAACATACTAAACTTGGCCTGCAGGGCATCTCGAGCTTCCTTGTGTTTTCAACAGCTTCCGCTTACGCGCAAAAGTGCTCTGGAGACGATGACGATGGAATTGACCGCAGTCAGCTGCCGCATGCCACAATATGTAGAGGGTTCCGTAACAAATATAGCGCAACAATTCAATTTGTTCCTTCTTGATATGCCTCGTTTACTTCAGGCGATCTTCAACGCTAAATTTGGCACACCAATCTGTAGCTGCAACAGGTCCCCCGAGGAGGCGGGTATCAGATATGTCTCTCGACTGTGAGCGTTGTCTCTCCACTTCTTCCCGAAGGAACAGGAGATGGAGATGAAATGGATACATGCGAATGTGCTTAAGGCAACTGGCAGCCAACACGAGCGGCCTGTTCGCTAATTACCACCCTATATCTTTAGCCCTAGCCCGTTTCTTCTGCCTTGCATGGCACTTTTAGAGCGCTAAACTCCCGTAGGAACAGTTCGGCAAAAATGGGGTAGCATTACTCTTCAGAGACGCACTAGTCACTCGCCAGTGGCGATGCTGGCTTTAGGTGTGTAGTAAGCAAATCGTGGAAGAACACTCCAAACTACCACATACTGGGCAGCCCTCCAATTTCAGAGGAGATGAGGCGCTGCGATCGCCAAAACCTTTTGTTCTCCTGGGCAGTTTAATTTGCGTCAAAGAGATATCCACTGCTCAGAACTGCACAGCCATCTCTACGAAACAGACAAGATGCACAGCCGCAATTTGCTGCGGGCGCCGGCCCGTGGCTGCAAAGCAGCAAGAGGCGCCTCTCCAGCTTCCCAAGAGCAGCAGCAGCAAGGGCGAGCCTCATCTTCCCGGCAGGGCGATGAGCACGACTGAGGCAATAAGAAGCAGAACGACGCAGCAGCAAAGGCACTGCAGGCATCGGTCGCTGGCTGCGTTCTTTGCGATGGCCTGCGCCGTCTTCTTCGTTCGGCCAATGTTGAACTCGACATCTTCCAGTTTGTCCTTTACGTTGTCGAGCTGCTCGTTCTGCTGCTGCATTCGCTGCAGGATCGCCCCCCCCATGTCCTCCGTCTCGGCCACTTGCAGCTGCGTGCGCGCCAGGCTCAACTGACGAACACAGGGCCACAACAGCAGCGCAAGCAGCACCGTGGGCGGAGCCCGCGCTGGCGAAGGACCAAAAACTTCAAAAAATTTCGGAATCTTTCGGGTTTCCGGTGATGGCTGACCTGAGTCTTGTCCTGCACTTCATCTCCCAGCATGACGAGTTGCTGCCGCTGCTGCTGCGGGCTGAGGTCTTGGTCCTGTGTCGGCTCGTGCGTCTTCCCATATCGCTCCAGCAGCTGGTCTTTGCTCACCGTCAGCAGCTGCTCTTCACACTCGGCACTCAGCGCCGCGAACTCTTGCCGCAGCTGCTGCTGCCGCCGCACCAGCCGAGAGATCACCTCGGGGCTCAAGACTGAAGAGGAGCAGCGCAGCTCTAGAGAGAGCGAACGGCTGCAGACAGCCGCCTGGCGCATCCCCACCCACAGCAGCGCACAAGCGAGAGGAATTAAGTGACAGCCATGAGTCTCCTTATAAACGGAAAAAGTGCCAAAAGGGTTCCACAGAAAGCGACAACACACTGCCAGACTGCAGGAGAAACAGTTCAGATCTGTGCTCGGTCAGGGGACGTTAGCGGTACCTCCTGTTTGACTCTGTTTATTTGAAATACTTTCATTTGCCTTTCTTGGCTGTTCGCCAAAGGGGCAGCTGCCAGCTCACTGAGAGCCTCGCGCAGGTCCTCTATAGCCTGCTGAAAACGCTGCAGCTGCTCCTCCACTTCATTGCCGCCGACTGCATCCGTTTGGTAGTCCATTCTCATGCAAGTGTGCTGCAGCAGGCTGCAACGGCTGTACTTCCAAAATGTTCAAATCGAAAAGAGAAAGGGTCGCTCTAGCTTCCGGCTCCGATGCCCGCCATGAATGCAGCCACACATGTTGTCAAAAGCTGGTGACGCCGGTGTTTTGCTGTTCCTGTTGTTCTTGTAACGGTGGCGCTCGTATGCGGTTCACTCTTTCAAACGAATTCAGCTCTTTGCCGGCTCTGGAAGTGCCAGGCACCAAAGTGCATGCCGTTCAAACTTGCGAGGGGATGCAGCGACACGTAGGCTTTCGGAGAGATATACAAGCTAGGGAAACAGGCTTCATTGAGTGAATGGTGGGAAACAGAAGATCAAGGTGCCGTTAGTGGCTGACGCCTCTCCCACTCGCAAAGACCTGCTTTGGGCTGTATCCAAAGCTCCCGCCCTGCGTCTCTTTTGTGCGGATAATAAGGGAACAAAGAAGACCCCGGAGATCCCATATGCATTCTTGACAGCCTTCACGTAGGGCAAATAGGTCTTGTGAGGCTGCTTTGTGTGCGAAGTCGAGAGGAGTCCGCAGACACGGAGCGCATCACCAGGGACGATGGGTAGGAACAAGCGAGTAAAGAGACTCAAAGGAACCCAAGAGAGGCCGCTGCAGATGCCTCTCAGGAAAGCGTGCTTACAGCGGCTTAATGCTGCAGACTTTACATAGAGCACATGTATCTGATCACGCGTAAAGGCACCATGTGCAAATCCGTCTGGTACTGTCCCCTAGCTATTTCCGTGGTTGATTGATCTTATGGACCCAAATAGCCCTCCAATGCCTGTGCAATCAAGCATTTAATGAGAAGAAAAACAATATAAACAGCAACTTTGGCCTACGTGGCTGCCACTAGAGAGCTGTCAGACATACGGATCCTCGTGGGGCCTCGGACGACAAGCTGTGGCGTGCATAGCGAGGGTTTGAGGCGTCTGCATGCGTCAATTTTGTCTCATTCGCAATTTTTTCAACATTTTATACGGTTGTCTAGGAAAAAATTAGACAGCTGAGGCGGCTGCTGCGCGTCCACCTAGTCTACACCCAGCCATCGTGGCATTTGCCAGAACACATGCGTGAACCGCAATTAATGCATTGTATGACAGTTAGTTCATTCTAGTTTGGGGAATTCGGTCCGTCTCTAGAGATGTCAGGCATTCGGGAGTCCAAGGACATTGCCACTGCTCCTGGACCGAGCGGCTTGGCTGAAAGCAGCAACCGGACCACGCGCACGCTGGAAAGTGCAGCCGACAAGCGCCAATAAAACACGCATCAGCAGTAACGTAAGCACAGACCGAGATGCTGTGCAACTCTGCAAGACACGAACCCTCCTCGGTATCAGTAGTCTGTACTGCAAGCCAGCCTGGAACTGGCTATGGTGTCTGGCTGGCGATAACTTTGCTGCAGTGCTCTTGAGCTGTGTGCTAATACGGCACTGAACTGCGCTATTGGCGTCAACCCGCACACGCTACACTGCTAAATGAGCACCGTGGGTAGCGAGTTGTCAGCAAATAGTCGACCGACGCCTTTGCAAAGGTATCAGCGTCACAAACAAAGTAAAAGCTCGGAGACAGACGTTGCCATCTCACTTCGAATCTGCATTGGAAGTAACCCTTCAATCATTAGCAGCTAGCCACGGTGGCGAGCTGCTGCGTGGGTGCTGCGGCGACTGCAGTGGGGAGTATGGACCAGCACTCATGCTCACATTTGCACGAGCCACCAAATAGCCACTTCACCAGGCGAGCTCATGTTTTCAGTTACGCTAAGACCAAGGACTAGGGCCCGTCACTGTCGAGCCTCCAAGCTCCTGGAAAACGGGACTACTTTTAGGGTGTAGCCGAGTTCATGGCCAGCGAGGAAGGGAACAACATCCGTGCTAGTGCCTTCAGCTCCACAGATGACGTTCGGGATCTGGAGGGGAGCACACACAGAGAGATGAGAAATACTGCATGCGCAAACGAAACAGCTGCTGGGCTGCAGGGATGGCGACAGAGTACGCTAAGTCCCGAATATGCATAAATTAGGAAAGAAAACGAAATGACTGAGGCTGAAGCTTAGCAGACGCACAGCTAGCTTTAACATCATCCTGTTAAGCTCAATGAAGAAATTCAACAAAGTAGCCTTAGCGCTCACTCACACCAGCTACGCCAACGGCTTCCTTACCGTGCACGGTGTCTGCTCCAGCACAACGCAATCCTCGCCCTCCACCAGCTCTGCACAGACAGACAAGAAGTTCTGAGCGCTAAAGCCGCAGTTAACTTGTAGGCCACTAAAGAAGAGGGATGTCTAAAACCAATGTGATGGCATTAAGGCAAGTCTGACTAGTTGAGATACTACGTTTTGGCTGCACGAAGTCCTAAAGAGCTGGAGCCTTGGCTGTATTCCTGTTACTTTGTGCGACGGAGTTGCTGCTCACCCTTTTTAGGAAGCCCAAAGAAAGCTGCTGCGTTTTCGCAAGCAAAACTTTGCAATTTGTCTAGGCACCCCGCACGGGCAAAAGTGTCTGCGAGATACTGCACACAAGCAAGCCAGAGGAAAACTAGCGTAAATCTGTCCGTAAATGGAGTTTCACTTCACACTGGCTGCACAACTGATTAGCGCATGAGTGCAAAGGCATCTGTGAGCTAGCCGGTCGCATCACATTCACTTGGTGCGACTCGTTTGCCCCTAAACACGCATATTGGGAACCTGAAAGTACAGAGTTCGTGCTCCGCAGCTACGTGCAATGAAGCAAAACCTACCGCAAGGAGGAAGGGTTGCGTGAATACACCAGCTGCTGGCGGATACGAGTCTTTCTTTTGCCTGTGGACAGAAGAAGCACACCCGGAAAAATAGCTGAACTGGAGTAGCAGGCGCCGCCGCAAGTACCGCTGCTTCACTGAGTGCCGCAGAACAACAGCCTAAGCTAAAATCTGTGGCTTCAATTAGAGCGGGTTCACTTGCCGAGGATGAGGCGCAGAATCCGAGCCTAGAAAGAACTGCGGATGGCCCTCGCGCACGACCTGCAGTCATTCTCACGTAACACTGCAGTAGGGACTAAGCGAACGCACAATGACCTGAACTATGAAGCAACACTGCATCGATACTTAAATGACGCTTCAATAAACAGATATAACTTCTACATGGGCTCATGGGTTCTTGATCCTCTTGAGAATGTGCTGACCTGCAGGAGCGCCTCTCGGTCCTCTGCGCTCTTTGCAATGGGTTTGCAAAAGTTGTGGGACTGAGCTATGCGGGGCTGGACAGATGATTTATCGGAAGAGTCCATCTGGCGCTGAACATCCTCTGTTGTCCACACATCCTCAGTGGTCAGCTTCACGCAAAGCAAACAGAAACGCCCGACACAAAGGCTTCTAAGCTCAGGATCTGGGGTTTCTCGTGGCAAAATAATCTAATGGCCACCCTGATTAAGGTCAGTGGCCCGGCTGTGGCCTCTTAGCCTGGGAAGGGATGAGAAGCTGCGGCTGAACGCGACGCGCACCCGCAGGTGGTGCGCAGTTATAGATGCGGCTACATTAGGTTTGCCCTTAATCGCTTTTACTGCTGCAGCCGTCGAAATGTGCTCAAAAACGATTTTCAGTTTGGGGAAGCGCGAATGGAGCTGAAGACAGACAGAAGCAGCGGCACATGCAGAAAGCTCAAGTCGTATGACAGCCCCCAAGATCGACTTCCGAAGCAAAGAGAGTACCGCAGCTAATAGTGCGCACTGCGGAAACTTCACTTGGCTTAGTTATTTCTCCCAGATGCATCTGGTGCAGCTGTGAGGTGCTCACGTCTTCAAATATAGGCAAGAACATTTCTTCCGCGTGGAGTGTCGGCGCCTCTGGCTTTTCAGCGTGGATGTGCAAACTCATACCGAGTTCTTCCATCACTTTAAAGATATCCTCATATTGGGTAAGGTCCTACGGGAATGCACGCCGCCGCAGCCACTTGATCCCAGCTCAACAGTTCAGGCTTAGCACTCCACCGCTGCCTCCTAAGGAAATAGTACGCTAGTTGGACTGAGAGACAAAGCGCCGCGTTCACTGCACAGAATTATTTCCTACCTCCACGCCGGCCTCGGAGTTTGTTGTCACACCACGCGGGTACAGTTTAACCTGCGCAGAGCAGCGAGCGAAAAGCATGGCAACTGAACAAGTGCATGCGGCGCGCAGTATCCATTGTCATTTGAAGGGGCCCGATACTAATGTATTAGCATTCAGAAGAAAAGCAATTGTGCAGCACTACACATCTTCTGGAGGAGAATTACACCCCGCTAAATGGAAAGCCCACTCCAACAACATGCGACTCCTTCGCGCGCTTGGCGATGTCCTCGGCGTCGATCTCGCGGCAGAGGTACAAGGTCATCAAGTAATTCACATTCGGGTCCTGACAAAGCAACACAAGAGGCATATTTTCACATTCTGGACAAAATAGAGTGGAAACAGTTCGTGAAGGTGGAGAGCTACACTTTTGTTGAGGCTTTCACCTCTTTTGTGTCCCCAGTAACATTACCCAGGTCTGTACACATTCTAGACGGAGTATTCGTATAAAAGGAGAGACGTTGATGAATGAATCAGAGCACGAAGTAGCAAACCAAAGAGCTGCAAGGTGGTGCTCACCCTTTTCAGAAGTTCATTTCTGTATTCGAGCGCTTGTGAGCACGTCACAATCGGCGGCACAGTGTTGGGCATCACCAGCACCCGGTTGCTGAACGACGCACACAGTACAAGCTGAAAGGTTTCCAGTGGCCAAAGATACTTACTGACTTAACATGAAATTCAACTGCAGTGCGATAGGGCAGTCCAAACTTCACGAAGGAGCAGGCTCGCCGTCCGTGCGTTGCAGAGGACGTGCGCGGCTGCTCACCACCCTCCCTTGCGTATTTGAAGCGTGACCATATCCATCAGTTCCACTTGCCGCAGATGGGTGTGCATGTCATCCGCCATAGGCATTACAAGACGCCCTCCGTTAAGGCCCATCATGACCATGGTGGCGAGCCATTAGTTACAGCTGCACAGAACCAAGGCTACCTGCTTCCTTTCAGTGCAAAAGAAGCTAAAATTACCACGAAGGGAATTAATGACACATGCGCGAGGGAAGTAAGGCAGAAGGCTCTACAATATTCGTTGTGGGGCTGTGGCTGGGAACAGCTCTCATAACGGCCACCCAGCGCCGATGGGGCTGCACCATTTGGTGCAGCAACTCTTGTAAATTATTTCGCTTGTGTTGTCTTTTAGACCCTTAGTGGTTGTATCATTGCGTGAGCGTAATCGCTTGCGACTGGTGCAGGCTTCACGGACTGATCATGTCTCCTGCTGCATGCCGTCGGACGGGGGGCTCAATTTTCAGCATTTTGAAGCTATTCACGGCATTGCTTTCGTCATTTCAAACAAGTATATGAGTTTTTTTGCCCTATTCTTGCTTGCTGGCGCCTGAGGTCACCCACTGTGGCATCACTGCAGAGTGTTGGTGCCTTGGATCCCCTCACTCAGGGTAATACTCTGTGTTGGAGGTGAGGAAACCAGCAGGCTACTGCGGCTCCCATTGACGTTCCCATTGTGACAGTGTGCAATGCGAAACCGCCCCCTCAACAAGTGATACGGTCCGGCAAGCTTCTTCAAAGCATACTAAAGACTTGGCCGGCGTACGTCGCTACTTGCTTTCGATCGCCCACTTGCTGTGCAAGGAGCAACGAACTTCAAAGAAATTTCATTAGTTTCATTTGTTGCCGCAGCAGCTGCAGTCGATGCAGAGTGCTGCGTTTGAATGAGAAGGCCGTCAACGTACACTAGGTTCACAGAAGTGTAGTCTCACCATGGGGTATGATCGCGTTTCAGAGTCACGGAGAAGCCCATCAGGCGGTAGATCAAAAGACTACGTGGGACGCCGCAGCGGTCGAGCAGACTACAGAAGCCCAGACCGACGCTACCGAGGCGCGGACTCTTACCGGCGACCCTATCGCAATCGGAGCCCGGAATATGAAAAGTACCGCCGCAGAAGTCCTTCGCCGGCGCGTTACGGCAGAGACTCGCGGGCCTACAGAAGTGGCCGCACTGCGCCTTGCCGGCGCAGCGGAAGCCGCTCGATAAGACGTCCTCGTAGCAGGAGTGTAGATTCCACGGCCAGGAATGAGAAGTACCGGCGGAACGATCCACCAGCCGCTCGCTTTGGAAGCAGGGCTTCGTACCTGCGGTCGAAAGAGGTTAATCGAGCTCCATCGCGGAGCCCTTCTCGCGGCGGTCGGTGTAGGAGTCCAGCGCGAGGGGATCAGTCGGGGCGCCGAGATGCGCGATACCGGTCGAACTCCAGGGATTGGTACCGCGAAAGGCGCGAAGGACAGAGAAGAAGCTACGTTTCCCCAGAACGAGAACCTTTGAAGGGATCTGCATCAAGCCGACATGACATTTCATCCAGAGGAAGTGCACGCCGACCACGCGACACAGATCGGTGCGCCACAAGAGATCGCTCGAGAGATCGAAGCGGGTCACACCACGGCAACGCCCGTCGGCAGTCACCTAGGGTGCCACAAGGACACAAAAGGGCTTCATCTAGTGAACGCGCACGATCACATGGGAGGAACTCGAAGTGGTCTCGCAGTAGAAGCAGGTCAGGCAGTTGGGCCCGAAAGAACAGTGCGGCGACTGCTAGCGGGCGATCACCAGTTGACCGAAGCAGGTCTTGTCGAAGGTCAGAAAGCCGCCGAACAGGAACAAAGGCAGCAGACGCAAGTCAGCGCCCTGAAAGCCCTCCTGAGGGAACTCCCCGACGCTCCCCAGTCATCTCCAGACAAGAAGAGGAGCAAAATCCGACTCGTCAGTCACCTGAGCATGTTCACAAAGATGATGCGCGATCTGCTGGCGACTACAGAAGGGTTGGGGGTTCTTCGAGGAGCTCGTTACAGTCACAGTGTCGATCTCCTCTACCATCGCGCAGCGCATCAAGGGCGCGAACTCTGGCAGAGGCGAGCAAGCACTCAAGACGGTCTGAAGTGCATTCCACTGGTGGATCTCCTTGCCGATCTGCTGACTGCCCGACCCCTGATCTTGTCTCTTCGAGGCCGCGTAACGCTGAAGGCAAGGGAGCGGATTCGGCTAGGCATTCTGTATCTCGCCAGGAAAAGCCGGCCTCTAAGGAACACGGCTCTCCAAAGCATGTAGAAGACGCCGTGCCAGAAGAAATATCTACTACAAAAGAGCTGCAAGAAACGCCAAGGCAAATAAATGAGACCTGTCCGGGATCGAGGCAAGCTGTATCCGTTTCACGCTCTCCGTCAGCCCGCTCCCGGGTTCCTGACGTCGAGCGAGATGAGCGCAATGAGCGCCGGTCCAGCCCTCCAAGGACACCTCCAGCATCCGAGCTTCCCGTTGCAGAGAAGTGTAGGCAGTCTTGTGAGGCAAATGCGCTGCCTACAAACCATGATGTAACTGCCCAGAAGCGCGATTCGCAGGCAGAAGAGCAGATTCACGAGCAGAGTGAGTTGCCGGTTAAAGGGCAAGACGATGCGCCAACAACGGACATTCAACGCAGTCGTCCTTCTCCCCTACAGAGGCGTGATGAGAGGCCAAGAAACGAAGGACACTCGAACGCGGAAGCTAGGCGCCCTAGCGGCGCGGTTTGCGATAGGAACGTCGCATCTGACGATGTGTTTTTTCGGAGGAAGGGTGAATCAGGAGATGCCCATGGAAGGGCGGCTTCGGGAGATAATCTGTACAGTACTAAATTAAACAGGAGAGCTGCAAAACGCAGAATCGTGACTGCCGAACCAGCAGCGTTTCCCGGCGTTGCAGAGATGCATGGATCATACCAAGAACTGTCCCCACGAAGATACTGGAGAAATCCGCGGTTTCCGCCGGATAGGGATGATCGTTTTTTCCCCAGTATTAACAGAGTTCAGCCTTTCGGCTATAATAGATGGAACCGATTAGATGGAGAAGAGCACCATGACTTTCCGCAGCCTCCGTTTCCTGGTCAGATGGGCCGATCTGTGAGGCTAGTAGCTCGACGGAACGATAGAAACTTATTAATATCTCCGCAACAGCGGGTCAGATATACCACGCCTGCCGATTTCCAGCGCATGCAACTTCACAATGGCATTTTTCAGCGTCCAATTCAGCCAGGTCAACGTCATTTGCACAGGACGCCGGTTCCTATTCAAGCAGCTGCATGGCGAAACCGCAAAACGGTAAGACCGTTTTCTCATGATAGCTGCGAACTATAAATCTTGTTTCTAATGCATATGGAAGACTGCCTTTTTGTGCTGCAACAGGCTGGGATTCTAGGGCGAACACCACAGGAGAGAAGGCACGCAGCAGGTAGGTCATATCACTAGTGAATGTTCAGAGGATACAGATACGCTAGTTTTCTCTACAGCACGCATTGCTCCTTGTGCAAATGCGTGCAGCCGCAAGCAGTGCAGACGGGAAGTGGAGCCATGATCTTTTCGAACAGTTGTCGAACGAACCGGAGAAAAAACGACGCAGGTTCAACCTCTATGTAGGTTAATTTTCCCCAGTTTCTTCGCGTTACTATTGTGCATTTGTCGCAATTCTCATTTCAAACTGCAGTAACTGCCTACGTGGTTCGTTGTACTCAGGGCGAAACACTGGAAAGGGTAGATGATTGAATTGGCATGTCGGGAATGTGCTTATGATGGCACATATCGCATCGACACAAGTGCAAAGTGTTCGGGAAACATTCAAAAGAAGGCCAGTGCGATTGCAGCAGCGCTGGCTGCAACAAGGCACGACGCCGACGCCGATGATGCAGATGATGGAAATCCCTTGATGAGCGGTCCGGAACCTGTTTTTGCAAAATTAGTGGAAATGTGGTGCCATACAAAGGTTCAACATTGCACTCACCTTCGTGGTTTGCCCTAAAGCGTTATTTTCGTCACGCCGTGGATTCATTTCTTGCTTGGCGAAAGATATTCATGATATGCTTACCGCATGAATCCAACCATCTGCGAGTTTGAGCATAAATAGCAGTTTATTTCTATATCATGTTTGGGTTTTGCCATACCATGTGATCGCGGTCAAATATACTGTAGTATTTCCGGATGAAGGAGTTTCCGAGCACGAACAAGGGCCCACGGGGCGCTGGTACGTCCTGGAGAGACAAACTATAGTAACCATCTAAAGCCGCAGTAGCATAATGCTGGCTTACCATTGCCATGAAGCCGGCCGCGCAGTTGTTGGGGTTGCCTCTCTGTGTGACGTTCTATGCCGAATGAATAAATCATGCAAGGATTATGACGCTTACGGCATCCAGCTCCTCCACTACGTAGTCCCTTGGTTCCAGGCTGAAGTTGACGAGCCTTCCGTATATATCTTTCAAAACAAATGTGAGCTGCAGACAAAAATTTATATCTTGGAAAAGCGCTAGCGACGTAGTTGTGAGCCTACTGTGGGTAGGGTTCCAAGATTCGAGCAGTTCTCAGCAACGTTGAGGGCTTTGATGAGGGGATTGATGACGGATGATGGTCCAGTTATCTGCACGACAGTAAATGCAAATTGCTTGAAGAGCATACTTTGCAATCTCGTACCAAACTGGATCCTGTGTCAACGGCTGCGCGACAGCCGCGCTTCTCACAGACGCCAAAGGATTTTCCATTGATCTTTAGTCCATGGAGACCAATCTCCCTGTAAGCGTGTCAGTGCTTAAGTTGCTTCCATGAGCAACAATGGGAACAAGGACGAACCAGTAGTCTGATTAAAAAACAATATGAAAGCCAAGTAGTTGAGTAGTAGTGAGCGGATGTCGTACCGAGAGAGATGACGGGGAACCATTTAGGTGTGTGCCCAGCGAAGGTATACTTAGGATCCGCTGCTCCAAACTAAGGAGGCTTTGCAAGCGAGCGTTGCGAAAAGTAGTTTGAACTCTTTACCGAAATCTCTCCAGGCCTATACATTTACATCATAGCTACCCATGCGGCAATTTGAAGTCATGATTCATGCTCATACCGATTGATGTCTTCGCTCATGTAGACGGAAAACACGTTACGATCGAGAACTTTCTGGAGTGAATGCAGCCATGAGCGGCGCTCGAGGAAATTACTCTAACAACGACGAACCTCCTTGACCATTTGGTCGACGATTGGAAGTGCGCTTGACGGAAGCCCCTCTTCGCCCGACACATCGGGGAAACCCAGACCGACTAGCCCGTCGAACGGCAAGTCCGCGAAGGGATGGGTGGATTCTGAAGAGAGAAAATGATGTATACTGCCATATTGGGCGGTTTTTTAGCTTTAACGTACCTTCGACCGCAAGGCCGATTGCCTGGTTGGGCACTTTACTGAATAAGAAGATGAAGGAAGTGCTGTGCAGTGAAGAAGGCTGTTATTGCCTTACATGCCACCGATCTCAACGATATCGCGACCCATTCGAAGGACGCAAGCTCCTGTTCCGTACTGCAACAGGAAATGAGCTACTTATTGAAAATGTGAAGTACGAGATTCTTACTTGAATGAAGGCGACTGCTGGATCTCCAGTGAGTGACCGTATTGGTGAAAACGTGCTGGAGTACTTTGGGTCGAACTTCTCGTGCGGTGCGCATCCTCCCCTGCAAGTACTCAGTATGAATAGTTCAATCGTGTGCTTTAACTAAATTTCTTTTTACTTCTCGCATTCTGCTGCGGGAACCCAAAGATTTGAGGAACCAGTATCAAAGACCTGAAGTTGGATTCAAGTGTGATTCCATTTTTGAGGCGTGGGGAAGCATGATCTCATCGCTTACTACAACAAAACGCCTCCCGGGGGTTCCGATCTTGATCTCGCCAAAATACTGGCTGTTATGGTAGTTAAGCAATTTTTGCCGGGCCATCGTTCCAGAGGAACCGACGCTTCCCAAGGTGGTGTGGTGATCAATCAACTGGGATACCAGCTCCCCAAGACCGGTAAACTTGTATCTGTTGTCCAACTTGATTGTCATGGGAGGCTCTCGCAAAAGATTGGCGTGAAGATCTGCTGTCTTTAGCATCACATCTTCGGGCTCTTCAAGTGTTTCACTGAGGAACCGATGTCGTGCATCGGTTGCAGCAAGAGAGCTACAACCGGCTATGCCGGCCACGACCAGAAGGGAACGCATTGTACCTGGCTGTTCGTGGTTTCGGTTAGTTGAGGTAAGCCAAGGTGAGAAATTATGGCTAGCAGTCAAAATGAAAATGCGTCTGTAGCTGAATGACCGGCTGATCATTCAGGTGTACGCACAGCAGGGAGAGTGAACTTGAATCTACCGCGCACGCGCAAGCAAGTGTGCATGCTTGATTTGGAATATGCTCTGGAAATTATGAGACAAAACCATGAATGCATTACTTGTAATAAGAAATCGACATTGGTTATTTCGTGACCAGTTTGAAAGCTGAAGCGCTGGGCAGTAAACACACCTTGTTGCACACAAAACAGTTCACAGCCGCCAGAACACGAAACGGTTATTTTCACAACAATTATTTGAAACTTGAAAATGCAGCTTTCAGCGTGCTCAATGAACTGATTTTGTGATGCATGCTCTGTAGCACTACAGCTCTTTCCGCTCTTCGCAGCATCCAAATGATGGGCAAACCTAACATTTAAAATTAATTCCTCTATTTTTTTTGAAGTTTTTGAAGAAAAAGCCTGGTCAAATAACTTTCTGACTGAGGTGACCTTGCCGTCTGCCTCGACAAGCACAAGTCACTCTCGCCAAACAGGCTTGAATGCCTTCCGTGAAACGCTAATGAGTCGTAAAGCTAAATTGCGTACATATATGCATCAAAATGAGCAACCCAGGCATAACTATAGCTTCAAGTTCCCCGCACCCGATTTTTAAACCTCAATGGCCTTCCTTGGTGCTCCCAAACCTGCAGGGCGGTGCTCTTGCACTCACCCCGAAATCAAGACGCCTTCCCTCTTCCACGTTCCCTGAATTGCAAAATACAGAGGGTGATGCATATTCACCTCAGGAAAAGGATAATTCCGCTAAAATTTCACATCAAACTCCAAGAAAGCAAGGTAACCTGATGCAAGGCACAATATCTGAACAGTTGGAAAAGGATACTCGCAACAAGTTCTCGAATGAATCTCAGTCAATCATTTCAAAAAGCAGTCACCAGATCGACGAAACGAGAGTACGCTTTAGCTTGTATCATGGCCTTTCTAAGCTGTACACTTCGGACACCCCAAGAGTTGTTGACGAGCAAGATTCGTACTGGGTGGTGCAAATGCCTGTACTGCAACTTTCAACCGGCATAGGCTCTCCTTCTGGTTCCCAAAAGTATAATAAGACTGAAGAGCTTTCTTGTGAATTAATCGGCCGGTTTCTTCGGGAAAAATACCGTGAAAAGCACTTCCCCGTGCTCTCGTCCCGGCAGTACAACTTCGGGTTGGTTTTCTATCTTGAAGACTCCTGGGCTGGCCTAAACATTGTTGCAAAATCAGAGGAGGCATATTTGAAGTTTGAGGCTCTTGTAGAGCTCCAGTTGGTTCACTGTTATGTGGAGTGCTTCGTGAAGGGTCCTTCCCTGCAATCAGTAACGAAGCTATTCGGGAAGACAGCAACTGGCAGTGCTGACCTTTGCATCGACGTAATTAACAGCAGAGTCTTAGGAACCACACGATGCACGAACACATGCCAGTTTCGCAACACAAGAAGCAGTCTTCCAAGTGGCAGCACCTACGATGTCATATCCCACGTAATTTTTCAAATAAGCTTCCCTCCAGTCTTTCTGCCTGAGATTCTCTTGTGCAATGATATTACACTAATAACCAGTTCGTATCTCGAGAGAGGGACGGCCTCAAAGGGGCTGAGCCCCGGAAACCCTTGCGTTTTTGCAATAAGTTTTCCTCATGTACACTGCCCTGGGAAACGTGGCAGATTACACACAAATCTGTATAGCGTCCCTCGTTCTATGACGGCTACATTGAAGGATAAACAAAAATGTTGCATTCCGCCTCTAAGCAAGGTCCTACATCTAGTAAGCAGCTTCCGGATCCTGTCATGCAGGTGAGCTTTTCCACTGTGCTGGCATCTGGCATCATGGACAGTCTGCTAACTGTGTCACTGTTGAAAAGCATGTTAGACAAAGGTTTTGAGGGTGCGAGGTCAAACCGAAGTGTCAGACAGCCCGCCGAGTGCAATGCCAAAGCTAATGATCAAGTCAGTCGCGTTTGTGTGGCGTGTTATTCTTTGTCTCTGTGCACTCTCTGCCCTATCCAGCATTACACAGCGAAAGCGTTGGAATCAATTTACAAAATCTTCACTGTACGTTGGTTTTCTTCTGCGTTCAGATCGCTTCTCTGCGCCGGGCTACTTGCTATCTACCCAGTTGTCGTTTCCGAAATTTTCACAAAAATAGTGAAATGGTTCGAAAACGGTGAACACATGTTTTCGAGAAAACTAGTTAATCCTGCTGTTTCCATTTTTCATAAATGCATGGACGGTTTCTTAAAGCTTCGCCAAATCCTTGATCGATCGCCGATTACCGTCACACTGTTCTCAAATCGTCGACAAGGCTTCGACAGTTCTGTAGATACTGAGTTTTTGTTTGGGAGAGAAGGAGCGCCGTGGCTGGAAATATTTGAAAACACTTCGCACAGCTTATGATTAAAGCAAAACTCTAGCATGGTCATCGATTGACTATTCCCGCCCAGCTTCTTGACACTCTTATACGTTCAGAACTGACAAGTGGCGCTTCCGATTGCTTTTTGTGTATATATCGGTCTACCATTTATTGCCTGTGCCGGCCGTTGCAAAAACTTTTCTCCACCTTTGCTGGCCTGTCAAACTAAACATCTGGACTACGACAAACTGTGCAACTTTAACTGCAAAATGCAACAAAAAAATATCCAAATCGATTAACTATTACAAAACACGTTTTCCATGGCGTGGAAGCGTAGAAAGGGTTTAGTTAGTGTGGTTTGTGAACAGTTGAGTTGTAAATAGCTCAAAGATCCTCCAAGAGCTCGAACAGCGAGAGAAGACTTGGAGGCAGCTCGCAGATAGACACATCCGGGAAGTAGCCGTTTGCTTGTTGAACTTGAGACACGAACTTGTCCTCAAGGCTAAGAAGCTTAGTCGGCGCCTTGACAACTTCTTCGGCTGCAGAACGTTTGTCAGTTGACGTTTCAACAAACTATGTGCCAATTTAACTCACCGGTATCGCCACGACGGAGAAGCGCCGCATCTTGGCCTTTAGCTTCTCCAATGAGCGTGACCTCCTTGGCAGGCTCAAGATCGGCAATAAGTTTCACGACCTGAAGTTTTTCCAGTTTATAGCTTGTTAGATTCCCCCAAAGATCAAATAAACTAACCATTCGTCTTGAAGGGTCAGACAACTTCGTGAAAGTCCGGAGCAAGTGCTTGCGAGAAAAGTCATTATCCAGGTACTTGACTTCCAAGTCCCTCTTGGAGAAGCAATTTGCATGAGAAAATATCTCATCCGCCGATTTCTTGAAGTCTTCGGAGAAGTTGGCCTCCACTTTTGTAAGCTTGGCATGAGCTGCCTCCTTCCAGCGACTTAGCTCTGCTTCAGGCATGTTGGAAATGTAGTCTTTCGCCTTTGCTAGCTCCGCATCAATCATCTTCACTACTTCATCAGGGTGGCTCTTGGAGCCTTCAACGAAGCACTGAAGAAGTGCTGTTGATGCTGCCTGAGACTCCTTTGCTCCAGCTATATAACCCAATTGAGCTTCGGTTCGAAGTGAATCGTAGATGCGACGATTCAGGAACTGGGAGAGGATAGCTAGGTTCACACGTTCCTCAATGGAAGGAACGCCAAGCTGGAATTGAACCAGACTGGCGTGGTCCTTGTCTCCCTTTATGGGGTTTGCAAGTGTTGCCTCAATAGTCTGTTTTTGTTCCATTGCAAGAGACTCCACAGCGTCGTCATGTTCGATGGGTGTGAATCCTGCTTGTTCGAGGAAGCTTTCAGTCAACAAGAGTGACTGATCACGATCTATATTTCCCATGACAAAGGCATCCACGTGGACCTGAAAGGAGAAAAGCAAATAAGCAATGAACGAAACTTTCGCAATGAGTGTTTAACTGACATTCTTGAGCTCGCTGAGCTTGGCGATTGAGTCGTCGTAAGTGGTCTGTTCAAGTGCATTGAGCAAGTCCATGCGACTGAATGCATCATTTCTTGTCAAAATCGCGGCGGCTTGAAGAGCATGCTCAAATGCCATGTTGGTCGCTGGGTCAGCAAGCAATTTTATTTGCTTTTGCTTGACTCTGGAGATTTCACCAATGTTATCAAGTTCGTGCATAGTAATAGTGTGTTGCCTTACCTCTCGAAACGCTCCGACTCTACCACAGAAGGGTCTCTGAGCACACTGGCCACGTGACTCATAAGCTTGTCGAGTTGTGTCTTTGTGTAGCCTTCAAATGTCATGTGGAATCCGGTTCCTTTGAAAGCCAGGCTGTGGGTAATTCCGCAGTACTGGAAATCCGCGGTTTCCTCTTGTAGATGTTCTGCAATTGCAGCAAGTGCAACAGAACCCTGGGTGCGAGAAAGCAAATCTGCCTTGTCCTTTGCAATGCTCCCGCTCAACTGCACAGCAACTCTGGGAAGGGCAGAAAAGCCCTGGCCCTGCCACCACACTGCTGTCCCTGCGTTGCCTCCTTGTTCGCTGATGAGTTCTGGCTCATTAAGCCCAGTAAGACCTGGGAGAATTTCTAGTTCTGAAGCCTTAGGGATATGCAGAAGTGGAGGCGGCATGCGGAAAGCGTTTGGTGAGGCCGTTAAGACGGTCATGGCTACTGCATGGTGCTGAGGCAAGTCAAGCACTCTGAACTGCACTCCATAATATGGATCCGTCTCGAAGCTTTCGACTTTCGATGAAAATTCGGGATCAGCGAAGGCGATGATCGCTTTAGATGGCGACATCTCCTGAAGCAGCTGGTTCGTCAGACGAGGGTCCGCATCAATCAAGAGGGAATCCCCGGCGACTGCATGATACGGCTCGTAGGTCAATAGATTATGAGCTAGGCGTGCTGCTTCATCCATTAGAGATGAGCTTGGTTGCGTTGTGTGGAAATCGACATGCGACTGCTGGGCCAAAGTCGAAACCAAGTCGTGGCCGACACCGTGATCGCGCAAGAAGTTAATGTACGAAAATATCTCCTGAAGGACGAGCCCCCGATGGTTAGCGCCTTTCTGGGTCAGGTCCACTGCGCCAACATGTGAGCATGTATATCCTTTTGGATTGATTTAAATTACTCACCCTTCAAGCCAAGAAGCGTGCTGATGGTATTCCTGTCAACAACTGGAGAGATGCCATCAGCGAGACCTAGGAGCCGGAGGCGCTTCGCCAAAGATCCCTCTCCAGTGTACTCAAGTAGATACGTGAGCACGCTGGTAGGTTGCTTTTTCTGAAAGATTCCTTAGATGCTTTTCTGAAGAACAGATGGCCGCAATGTTTAACTCACGTAAGAGGTAAGAGTGGGTGGAAGACCAAATGCAACCCAAAGGCTAGGCTGCGAAGAAAAGCTCTGGAGGTGAATGAACTTTCCACTGTTGGTGTGGTCAAAAGGCTTGACGGTGTCGAACATAGGTCCAGGGCACTGAACCATCCCGAGCCAGTCAGCGTGACCCGCCGATATTCCTATAACCAATGATGATGGGCGATGCTTTTAGCATCCAGTTGAGCATGATGTTACCTTCGAGTTTCTCCCTTATCAGCGATTCTTGCTCATCAAGAGATCGCGGTGAAATTGTGACGGCAACCTAATTCCAGGAATTTTGTGAAACTTCGAAGCGAATTCAGCAACAGGTGCCCACTTACCATGTTTGATCCACAGTAGTATTTGCTGTGGAAGTCTCTCAGGCGGTCAACCAGGTCAATTCCTTTGGCTTTCGGATTGGTACTCAGGGTTGCGGAATTCCCAGTGGCGAATCGGGACATAGGCCCCTTGGCAAGTGAGCGAATTGTGTACCACGCTCGCTCGTCATCGTTGGGAATGTTTTTCTGGTGCTCGGCGTCAATCGCGTTGACCTCCTTTTCTTCGTACTTGCGGTCGAAGAGAGGAGCTTTGAAAAACTCGGAGAAACGGTCCAAGGCCTCTTCAAAAGCACTGTCTGTAACCTTGTTGAAAAAGACTGTCTTCTCTTCGTCCGTATAAGCATTGTTCGCTCCGCCGTTTTGTGTCAAAAAGCTGTCATAGCTTTCAGGCTCGGGATACTTTGATGTCCCAAGAAACAGCATGTGTTCCAGAAAATGCGCCAAGCCAGGCACATCTTCAGGATCGTACAAACTGCCAGTATTTGCAGCCACTGCGAAACCTGCCTCATTAGATCGAGGATGATGCACCGCTATAGCGTGCATGCCATTGCTGAGCTGGTAGTGGCGGAAATCTCGGTAATCGGCCTCTGGTTTGAGGACATCATTTGCCAGTGCTCCAATCGCAGAGAGTCCAACGCAAAGACCAACACTTGCCGCGTTCCTCATCTTGGCCGGAAGAACGTAGCTGAAAAGGGAAAATTTTGTTCAGTCGAGTCCAGGGTGGAGAACTCTGGAAAACTCTGGCGCACATAGTGGTGTTCAGCTGTTAGCCATTGTGCGGAGTGTCTGTACACTGCCAGGTAGCCCATGCTCCTTGTACTGCAAGTGTCTGAATTCCCGTCTGTAACTGTACGCATTGCGGTCTTGAATCCAACTGAAAGTAATCAATTCTGAGACTAGGCTGGCTTTGGTAATAAACCTTTCAGTGTAGTGGACTCTACATGATTTTCACAGGCGAATGACATTTTGTTCGTGGCGAGAATATAGGCTAATCGTATCATGGTCGGCATGCGTCGACAGAGCGTGATCCTCCGTTGCAACTGAAGCTTTCGACATGGAAACGCTCCTCTAATTACCTATAATCTCAGAACTTTGTTTATTTTCCAAAGTTCTCCTTTTTGGGACTTTAACCCTTCAGAGCTTGCCATTCAACTGTTGAGCCTCACGCTGGCATGCAATCAATGCACATTTGATGATGTGCCTCCCGTAGTAAAACAAAATCGTGTGTGTCTGTCCATAACATAAGAATTTAGTTTATTTTAGTACAACCAGGACGGGCGTCTTGATTCCTAAAACAGGTGTCTAGGTACATTCATAGTGCGGTGCACGCATGTTGCTCATAGAGGCCTTCCTCGCGCTCAGCTGCGCTCAAGCACGATGAAATGTTTCCGCTTATGACTGAAATGTCAAACATGACTCTACCACAACGCCAATAAACATTACAGCCGACCGTGTTCCCAAGGAGGAACCTTCGCAGGTGGCGGATCAGACACACAGAGGAACATGGCTGCCGATGACAGAGAATATCTCTCCTTGGTGAGGGCTAAGCATTGGCAGCAATGCAGCTCCTGACCAGTAATATGGGAACTAAGCGAAAATGACTCTCATTTCAAAGCTTGGGCTGACTGTTTTCAGAAGGTTATGCGGCTTTCGCAGCCATCATGGGAGACTAACGTATGGCCATTTGTTTCTCTCCGCGACGTAGCGCGCGAAGATGCTGATGCACTGCAGGCTGCGACAGAGGAGGCGGTCAATGAGAAATGGCTATCGAGTGCTCATGCCCTGCTACTGCCAGTAACACAAGGGTAGGGCAGTAGCGTCGTCCATAGAAACATCAGCATATGAGGGATTTCGGAAGCCTCGGGAGCAATAAACACTAAAGAAAAGTGTAAGCGTCTCTCTTCTTTCTTCTTCCTGGTTAGGCGAGTCTTTAGTGGGGAAGTTTTCTCGGCATACCTCAATATTACGAACACATCAGCAGTTCAAGCCAACAACGTTAAGCTTCAGGTGCGTCCCACGCTCGCTGATTTTGCAGAGTTGTCTGAGCAGCAAGTACAAGTGTTGAACAGCTGCAATATCTTGTGTTGGCCTTTTTGTGAAGGTTGAGCTTTTCCTAGGGCGCTTCCGATATGTATTATTTGACAATTCTGAGGATCCTGTTTTAAGCTTGAATCCTGAAGATTCGTTCGACTGCACGATTCAGCACCAGCTTGAGGAGTCCGGAACATGCATGTAGGTTATTCGTCCGTGCACTGATTCAAGCTTAGAGACAGACGTAGAGAGAGAAGGCTCCGGTGAATTTGTTGTTTGTGCACATTGTCTCGCACTAGGCTCGTTTGCTCCATTTCACATTACATCGCTTCATCTGCGGAGCCGAAATCCTTCAAGAAGTCATTCAGATTTACTGCTCAGAGCCCATTCAAGGTTACCCATCGCATTGCGCACCTACAAGTAAGATTTTCGTAGCTTTTTCCAGCTTGTAGAAACGAAACATGCACGTGGAAAGGCATGCGTTTGCAACTAGCATGTGTCATTCTGTATTCCACTTTCCTGTTCTCAGGACAAAACAGTTGTTGAATGCACACTACTTAATGTATCTCAGCAGTTTGTTTTTCTGAATGAGGCCACAATACTGTGCGCCGAGGGTTTAGAATGCACCCGGCTCGATTGTTGTGCTCCTGCTTCAGAGTCGTAAGTTTTTGTGCTGTTGCGTTTTCGCTAACAATAGTTCGAATTTCCCTCCAGTGGTGGGTGCTTCTTGCCCGATGAAGTGGTAAAACAGCACATGCAAATTGGCAGCTCGTGTCCAGGAACGGATAGAGTCTTGCATGCTGGCTCTGCGCACAGATTCTGCAAAGGAATTCACAACTTTCGCCCTAAGGACTGTTTTACTGTACTCTTTGCGCTCTTTCCCACAAATCCTCAGCTGTTTTTGGAAGACCTAGCGAAGGTGGGACTGCCCACCTCGCTATTGTAGAATTGCGGGAATTCGTGACTTGCAAACTGACGACAAGATGACCGCGTGCGTGTGCTCTGTTCCAGCACGTGCCGAACTTGGGACAACTAACACTTCAATGGCGCACATCAACCGGGGGAGTTGGAACCTTAAGCGATTACTTGCTGACAAATGTGCCTCAGCCGATGCAGCCGCTTGAAGTCCGTCTAGCTTCATTTCCATCATCAGTGGAGGTAAGACGAGGAGCATTCAGTTCAAACTGGATGGTGCAGCTGAGCGTCAGCTGTTAGGTTTTTCGTAAGTTATTTGTTACTGCAGGTCGATCGGCCATTCCATGTGGAGTTAGAGGTCATCAACAGGCTTAACACGGCTCTGCAACTCGTGCTTAATGTCAAGCTTTCAGAACTCGAGCCGTTTGTCCTGGAAGGCCCAAGCCAGCTGGTAAATATTATGTTTCCCCTAAGTTCGCAATGTAAGCATTAGAGGATCCGTCGCGTCAAGATCCTGCAGTTCTTCTCATTATTCGTTCAGACGCTCGGACCCCTCGGCCCGCGGTCATCGAAGAGATTCGCCTTTGAATTGCTCTGTCTTGAGCCAGGTATGTTGCTTAGCTTGCGTTTTACTGCTCGCGCTCTGTCATACAGAAGACTTCGTGGCATGCCGTTTGCTTGGAGTACGGAGAAAGCAGCGTATCAGCGTACTTGCCTTGGTTATGCCCGCAGGATTCCATTCGCTAGGGGGCATTCAAGTGTGCGATTCCGCAACTCAGCAGCGTACGGGGATCAGTCCGCCATGTCACATATTAGCCTTCTAGATGCTAAAAATACTGAGGAGGAACTGACAGATTTTCATTTTTTCGTCAACAAAATGCTTTCACACGTCGCCGTGCTATCAGAGCACTTGCTTTGCAGCTTCACCAAATGCCGTTAGTAGCCCGGCTGGCAATGAGTGGCCAATAGGGTCTATTCTAGCAGTGAAAGACGCACACCTGACGTCTGAGCTAGGCTTTGCAATAGTGCAGACGCCAGGTATTCTCTCTGCACAGCTGCTTCTCGCGTCACACAGTCCAGGAATTACTTCCTGCTGCAAAGTGCGTTGGCGCCAGCCGAAGATCCAGCCTTCAAAACTGTAGACGCTCCTGGGGGCCTAAGTCCTGTTCATCTCCAGACATACCAGCAACCTTTCCCACCAACGACCAGTGCTCCGCTGCTTCATCTTCTAGCGCCTAAACAAGTTGCACCAAGAGGTGGAGACCAGCAGAATTTACCATATGCGCTGAAGCTGCTACATACAAGCAGTTGCTAGGTTGCCCATAGGCATTTACCTGTAATCTCACTGCTTGCTCCTTCTGCGCTGCGTCCTTCAGCTTCACGCTGACCGCCAATAGGCGAGCGCGCTGCCGGCGCAACTTCGACTTCCAAGCATCTTGAGCCTCAGGCTGAGCCGGGGCTAAAACTGCTGGCTCTGCTGCTTCTAGAGCCTGGCACAGAAACACGAGCCTAGATCTCTTGAAATTGTGGCCAACCCTGACATCAAACGCTTAGTACGACGGAGCGCTGAGGCATGGCGCATACCTTAAAGATATCATACAGAGACGAGTTTACAATCTGGGCACAGCTGTAGATTTGAGCAGCGCGAAGGGCGGCCGCCCGTCTTGGCGTCATGCCTTCGAGTTGCAACAGGTGCTGTAAGGCAGCTGAATCCCCGTGCTCTTCTCCACTTCCACCGGGACAATTATCTTTTCTCGATGGGTCCACTAGGGCCGAAGCCAGCGCTCCCGTGGGCGAACAGGCAAGCTTAAGTTTCCCCGCCAGCACAAAACATATTTCCGAAAGCGCTGCCCTGAAAATATCGCCCGCGAAAAAATTTCGGGAATCACGTTGCCGCTCGTGTGACACTAAGCAGTATTACGTTTCTGCTGATTCCGAAAACGCCTGCGTGCTGACTCTAATTTGGGAGGTGCTTAAAATCGCATGAGAGTAGAACGCACTCTTGAGGACGAAGGATGCGGAGGAAAGACGCAACAGTGGCGGCGACAAGCGCCCCTTGTGTTGCACATGTCATTAGTGCACTTCTGGTGACACCAAACCTGCGAATTTACACCGTTTAACAAGCCGTTTGGTTTACCTATGCTTATTAACCTGGGTAGTGCTAAGCGCTGCGGCTGCGTACAGTTTGCCTTGGCTGCCACTTGCCTGCGCATGGCGGACTCGTACGCTTCCCCTTCTCGGTATATCTCATGCAACAGCAGCGCATAATAAAAACGACGATGAACTTCTAAGTCTACGCGCTCTCGAAGTTGACTGAAACTTAGCCTGAAACAAGTTAACATATTGCACTATTTCAAATAGCACCACTTTCGGGACGTTCCAGAATAACTGTAGGCTAAACGTCCACTTCTAGCTACAGTAGAGGTATCAAACAACGCTTCCACTTCTAACCACAGTGGAGTTATGGGAAAGGGCAGGACCGCCAACCTTCCAGAAAGCAGGAGGTCAGCGGTATCATTTGTGCACCGGCGAGGTACTCCTTGCATTTTGACGGCCTCCCTGGAAATGAATCGCCTACGAATGCCCAGGGCGTCAGCAACTCGCCTGAATGCAACCACCTGCCACGAGACCCATCTGATACTTTGTTTTTGTGGAGTTCTGTAGCTCTTGCAAGTGCAAACGTCCGAGTCTTTAAAACGTGGCACCAGAAGTGATAAAAGCTCTTTGCAAAAGAAAAGCACGAACTCACCTGCAGCTCGAGTCAAGTCTGTCGTATACAGAGAGGTACGACTGCCAGTGTGGCTGTGTTTCGCCTCCAACAGCTACAGCAGCGATAAAGATGAGGTGAAGCTCCGTACACGCGCAAAGACCTGTAAAACCACAGGCTTCGAATAGCCAAGGATCTGTCTCTTTGCTTGCCAACTGTAGCTGTTTTACAAAGAGCACATTGGATCTGCACTTTGCAGCTTGATTCTGCAAAATCAACTTTGCTGACGGAAATGTAACTCTGACCTAGAACGCTCGCCTTGAATATGTCGGCAAACAGTTCAGCTGCTTCCCATGGTGCAAATCCTGCCTCAACCGCTGCTCCTCCCACTTCTGTTGTTGCGATCTGGCCCCCAATATCACTCCAAGTCACCGCCGTTTCACCCAGGTCAGTCACTATTGAGTTATCTTCGAGGTTATGTTTCCCATCCAGGTGCGTCGCCAATGCTTCAAGCCCACGGAAATGTAAGCGGACACTTGACGCAAATGCATCGCTTTCACCAAAGGCCGGCGTTAAATTCCTTTGACCAGTAGCGCCGGCCTTCCTAGCAAAACCGGTTGGCAAGACAGGTAAATTACCTGAAGGGGTCGCTGCTGCATTAATGACAAGTTGCTGAGCACTGCCCGAGGAGTCAGAAACAAGCCCTTCTCTGGCCTTCTCTTTGATTTCACACCCTTGCAGCATCCTGGCAAGAACTACAGGGGACCGCAAACAGGGATACTGCTGCAAGAGCAGCCTGCAAGCCGCCGATAAGCATGCCGAAGGAAAGGCGAGAGAGCGCAGCGGGTGCCTGTGTTTTTCATCAGCAGCTGCTACAACGCTAACTGACTTTTCTGACGCGACCTCCCAATCTGGTCTTCCTAGTGTGGTAGCCAAGAGTTGTGGGTTTGCCTCGGAAATCCCACATGAGCCAATGCAGCCCTTGATGCCGGTGGATTCGTCAGTGCGGCAGATGGGAAGACGCCCACTAGGCTCAGCTTCAATGAGATAGTACGTATGCAGGTAACGAGCGGCTTCGGCAGCTTCCCTAACGAGCAACGTATGCGGCTCCTGCCGAAACAGAGCGCAGCATGAAGGGGCTTAAGCTGTTTCTTACTGGACTCCACTTGCCACAAGCATGAATTCTGAGTGCCTCAAATACAACATTTTCCTGTCGATGACAAAACTCCTTTCCAAAGCAGTAGCCTGAGTACTCACAAAACGTACCTGGTGACCTCGAAGAGTGCAGCGCAGCAGAATAGCTGCAACGTCAACAAATGCACAGCTCGCCAAGCTCTTCGGAGTCTCCCTCCAACGACGGACTAGCGGCAGAAGCACATGTACGGCCTCGAGGAAAAAGCGGCAGAGGTGTTGTCCCCTCAGATTGGATGTCACCGCATTCACGCAGCACTTCGGGCTACAGCTTGCAGAGTCGGACATATCTGCCGAGGCTACGGCATCGAGCAGTTTCCGAACGTGTGGTAACGTCGTGGGTGAGCAAATCAGGTACGCGTCTCCTCTGTAAAGTAAGGAAGTGTCAAACGCACTCGGCTGCGCATAGAAGCATATGAACCTGTTCCAGAGGGTCCCTTGCGTTAGAGCCCTGCTGCTAGAGATACAATATTGCTGCACCACTTTGTCAGAAATTCTCAGTACTCTAGCTAGGTACCACAAGTGGCTCCAGAGAGTCCACTCTTAATTCCTGCATGAGCGAAACCCGTAAGCAAAAACTAGACTAGTTTCTGGAAAACAGCAACTGTAGGTTAAGCACTGCATCGCACTTGTGTTCAAGCCCCTTGCGACCGGCGCGACCAGCCATCTGGTGAAAACGACCCGCGGAGAGAAGCTCATCTCGTCCAAACTGAGTAAATCCAGCAATCGTACAGCCAAACAAAATGAACAGCGTCGTATAGCCAATAAAACGCCGTTGTGCTAGGCACAGGAAAAAGTTGCTGGCAGCTTTTCGTACGATCGGGGCCACGGCTAATAGAATGGCAGGATGAACAGCGCCATAACCACTTTTGCTGTCACAAGTTGGCACTGACGTATAAGTGTTATTTCTTGGACATACGCAGCGGATACGGGTTAAAACTAGTATACCAAGGGAATAAGTTGCGTACATGGGGTGCCCGAATTATGACGCGAGCAGCTGGTAAGTTGACGCCAAGAGCAAGCGTTGACGTGGCGCATAGCACATTCAAGTAGCCTTTGCGGTACCCCATCTCAAGTAACTCCCTTTCCTCCCCGCTTAGACCTAGCAGTGAAAACAGACGCGTGATGTGTTTAAATAGCCAACAGACTCGACAAAATGCTACAAATACACAGAACCGACTCACAAACTGGCACAAATGCATGAAGCATTAAGCTAAGTGAAGCAAACAGCAGGTAAGCAGACAGGGTGAGGAGAACTGAAAAGCAGAAGAGCATCCCTAACGGAAATAGGAGATTCAAATGTCAGCAGTTTCGAATTGAAAAGTCTTACCGGCATGGTGGTAAGCAACACCTTCACAGACTGCGGCAAGCATAGTAGTTGGAGGCAGAAGTGAGATCTGCTTCAGATGCCACTGCAGCTCTTCTCGTCCTTTAAGGTTCTGCGGCTCAACGTACAAATGGGGACTTTGGACCAGCAACTGCGCGAGCAAAGTGACCGGCATGGCGAGAAGCTCTTCCAGTGCTTCCAGATAAGCTTGCTTCTGCTCTTGCTGCAAGCGCCTCTTCTGCTCTTGGACGGCATCTGAAGCACTTTGTTGATTCTGGAGAAGCGGCTGCACAGCCGCTGGGTGTCTGAGCCTTCGCCTTTCGAGAAGAGCAGCAGTACGCTGCCTTAGCAGATCAGCCCAAGCCTCTGCTCGTCTGTAGAATGGCAGCGCTCTGCACGTTCTCAGAAGCAGGGACTCTACCAAGAAGTACTCATTGCCCGAACGAAAACACTTCCTTGTGCGTGAGCAAATGTGGAGGCAGCTACACTTTACCAGCAGTTGCATATGCAAGGCCACTTCCTTGTGCGTGAGCAAATGTGGAGGCAGCTACACTTTACCAGCAGTTGCATATGCAAGGCCTATCAAGCGATAAGGGTCTCTCACTTCGCAAGGAAACTGGCAGTGCGGGCTGTCCACTCCTGCGTGGGGCAAAAAATGATGACTTTGCGGCCTTCTCGCAAAATTTCCCATGTCAGTGCCCCGAGATGCTCGGCATCCGCCTGCCATCCAGCGCGAAGTCCCACGGTAGTTGCGGCTGCTTTTGAGTGCCGCGAAGGGTCTTCTTCACGTCCTGGTGAGGACAGCACTGACGAGTCGGCGTCGGGCTGTTCTCTCAGGAAACGCAGAGCAGAAGCAGCTATGGAAGCATGCCCACCACTTGAGTCGGGTGTGTGCTCCAAGGTGGAAGGCAAAAGTCCTGCTGTTGCAGCGGCGCAGGCAGCAGCGGCTGCTCGCACGGCACGTGCTGCAGCGCAAGTTGCGGCATCCCCAACAGGAAGCAAAGAGAGAGATCCACCATGCAACTTGCGTGCTAGCTGTAGTCCCGATGCCTTGTCCCACGAAAACACCTGCAGAAACCACCAGCAAGCATATGAAATGCGTCGTAATGAAAGCTCCCATTCCACGTCCCTAAGCAGCACCGTTTCCATAATGCTCCTCAGAGTCCCCCGGAGATGTTGTATATTCTGCACTCGCATTTGGGTCATGTATTAAGACGAATTGTAATCCTATTATACTTGGAAAAGCGTTGTTGCAGCGGCAGCAGCTACCAAAGATGGCCTGACCTCTGGACCAACTTTCACGAAGATGTCCAGAGGGGACGGCCGCTCGTCAGTTACAAATAATTCAGCGTTGAGCCAATCCGCAATCTGTGAGGAACAGCAGACCAGCTTTACATCGCGGCAGGTAAGCTAGCGCAGCATAGGATGCATGACTGACGCCGAATACGACTCCAATTTGAAACTACAAAGCGCGCGCCATTAAGTGTGGCAGCGCACCTGGCGAGCGTTCGGTAAGGTAGCGGACATTCCGATCAGTTGAATACGCCTCTTAAGACTTTCGTTAAGAAACAGTAGTTTCGCTAAAACCATCTCGAGCAGATGCCCTCTCTGGGGATCTCCAACGAAGTGAAGCTCATCCACGCAAACGAGGCCAACTGGAAAGTCTTCTCCTACGACTGCCATTCGGCAGTGCAAGCTTTCCCACCACTCATTTGCCCATGATCCACTCTCATCCTGCGCTGAAGGCGGCAAACTTGTTTCTGGCACCTCACATTTAACCACTGCCTTGGAAACTTCGTCCGGGACATCAGCAGTTGCGACTTCGGGGACCAGCAGATCCAGAACAAGCCTATAAAAACACACTTGAGATCCTAAACTACGCATATCAAGTTTTCAGGAGCAGTTTCAGCCTGAAATGACACTGAGTTCGCTTAGAATGAAAAAATATCAGAAGAAGGCTTTCAGTCATATCGCAAGCTGCTCTGGCCGTCAGAGAGTCTAGGGAGTGATGACATGCCTGTTAATAATCATGTTTGCCTTCTCGAGCGTGCAGACAGCCACGTCTACTCCAGCATACCAGTTGGAAGCCGCATCTGATAGCTCAAAAGCATGTTTCAGCAGCAAGGATTGCTCTTGATATTTGTTGCTGGTAGTGTGTGCCATCCCCAGACACTTAAGGGGCAACAAAAGTGCACAAGGGCCAGTCGCGCTGAAGGCGCATTTCAGATCCGCTCCTGTCTTTTCACTTTGATGTTCTTCGGTATCATCCAGCATCTACAACTATGCCATCTTTTTCCATCTCCTTTAAGTACTGGAATCGTGGGCGTCTGCAGTACTCTTGCGGCTCACTTGCTCCTGCATGAAAAGCTTCGACGCGCAGCGTCAATGGGCCCAGTAGCTGGCGAAGATGCTGGGCTTTCTCCGCGCAAAGGGAGACATGTGGCACAATCACCAAGGAGCGCACGCCTTCGAAGAGCAGGCGTCTGTAACGCAACACCAAGTATGAAGACTGGCTGCTAGACCTTACGCCATTTTTGACTAGACTTTACGCTCCATTGCACTTTGCAGATTTGCAGATCCTAAACCACGCGCCGCTTGTACAAAAGTGTTCTTCACTACCATGGATTTCCTACTTTCGAAGTTCTGAATTCCTGTTTTCGTCTGCCTACCTGGCAAGGAGCACTTCGGCCACTAGACTCTTCCCACCAGATGTAGGGGCACAGTAGATAAGAGATCTCCACGCAGGCGCTTCAGTGCCTGAATAAATTGTACCCCAACATACATACACCGAAAACGCACAATAGTGCTTAAGGAAAAGTACGATTGCTGGTGGAGAATATAGGGAACCTCCTAGCGTGCCGAGCCACACTAGCAACGCGTAGAGTTCGCTCCAAAAGTTGAAGGGAGCTGCATCTGTTAGCTCCCTCCGACTGCATCTTACCCTCCGTGAACGTGGAGTGGCCTTTTTTTGGAAGCGCAAGATGCAAACAGTGAGCTTGCCACGGATACAGGCTGTCGACCCCAAGGGAGGCATAAGCCCTGCAACAAAAACGTGAAGGAGACGTGATCATGAGATTTTCTGCAATAGTAGGCGTGCATGTTTCGTTCAAAGGCCCCCGCGAAATGGAGCTTGCCTGATGAGAGGAGGTGGGAGGCACCAGTGCCGAAGATCTAGGTTGCTGCTTGTCCTGGCTGTCAATGAATAAGGCGCAATACTCTCGGGGATTTCTATACGGCTCCCCTTCCCACGAACTGCAAAATCCAGTCAGTTCAGTCATCAGAACCAAAGCCGATCCTACAGGAGCATTTATACTGTCGCCCGCTAATAATGCGGTACAGGGAGCTATTTGGGAATTTGCAGATACACGACCACACTCCAGTGCAAATATCCAAATAGGTTCAGACATGAATTAGCAAATGTGCCGATAAAAGCGCACACCCAAGAAAGTGCGAGGATATATCATAAAAAGAGCAAATGGCTGTAACCGCGAAAACTGTATTTGAACCGGATATGAATGAGCGTTTCATATCAGTCAAGATAGTAGCTCATATCGAGCTGTGAAGCAGCCTCATAAAGCAGTTGGCTAAGCTGCTACGAGAGGAGCAACCTGTTAAAAGCCCGCTGCAAGCTAAAGCGGCCTTTACTAGAGCACCAGTCCCGAAATCGTCAAGCTGCGCGTCGGATGATGCAAACTTGTGAAGTCTACTGTCTAGTTACATGGCAGCTATTCAGCAAAATCCAGAGCACCGGCACTGCAGCGGAGCTTTATCTATGCGACGAGCTGCTGGTGGCAAACGCCTAGCTATCCATTCGGATATCTTGCCAGCGTGCTTGGCAGTGATGGCACGCATAAAAGTCGTTAGCATGAGTGCTTGGCTGTTCGTACAATCACACCGTCCGCCCGATGCATCGATGTATACGCATGCATGGAGTCAAAATTATCAAAAATTATCACAAAAAAGCCCTGTGTCCCTTGGCACATATGCCCAGTGCGTGCAACTAAATGCGCCTATTTGGGTAAAACTACACGATTACAAACCCAAACACACAAATAACTACAAATGATTCTATGCCTTGCCCCCTTCTAACTTGTCATAGAGACCCCTTGTAAACTGCGTACCGCGGATGCCTGCAGCAGTGAGTGTTGCTTCATCTCGCTGGGCAGCGTGGTAGCTATGCGGCTGAGAGTGTTGCATGCAAAACAAACGCGCAAACGTATTGATCATATGCCCCGGTATTCAATGCGGTACTGATGAAGCGTCGGCTGTGAATAAGCATAAACTAGAGTGTGTGAAAAAGGCTGAGCCAAAGTATTCGACTGCGAAGTGGGTGTGGCAGCTCGTTGCACTCGATTGCGAAGATGAGCCTCAAAAGCAAAAAACTGCTGAGGGCATTGCAGGAGATTTTGCGGTTCTTACCTTGCCCACAACTTCACCATCCAGTGTTACGAAGACGGCTTCCTTTGAATTCCCTCCTACGCTCACGCTCCGCCATACGCCGACTCTAGAGGGCGACAGAAACAGATACGCAATCTAAGATTTCCACAAGACACTGCCCGCGGAGCTGCCGCTTTGTGCAGACATGTACATGAGATGCCGCTTTGCGGCGGAAAGCTACAGCAGTGCATAGAAGTACCTTCTCAGAGGATTCATGCCTGGTGGAGGAGGCTTCGTGGGTCGAGGCAGTGGCCTGCGCTGAGCTCGAGCAGCTCCCGGTAGTAGCCATGTCAGGGACGGCTGAGGTTTCTCTCTTGTCCTGATTTCCCTTTTCTTCAGTGACTTGCCCTCGTCTTGCCGGTGCGTTTGCTTCCGCTTCCTCTTTCGAGCTGGCGCTTTTACCGCCTCGGCCTGAAGCCGATCGTCTACATTTTCGTCCATTTGCTGCGCCCCACTATGACAGCGTGAAGATGCTCCTCACTATGAGCCCTCACACAAAGCAAGGTCTGTGCAAGGCAGACAGAACGGTTCATCTTGTTCAGGAAGAACGAGTGTTGAAGGAGGTGAGCTCAACACAGATCACCATTAGCCTTCAGAAGGCCGCATAGCCTCCCAAGAGCGGAAGAATGTGCCAAAGGAGGCATATTGCCATTTTTAATTCGACGGATTGCGTCAAAGACTAAAGCTTGTTTAGGGATGTGGCCATTTTCAAAGTCTTTGTCATGCAGGGGCCCTTCAAGTGCCAAATGGCTTTCTTGAGCCGACTATTCCACTAAGTAAATTCGCCTCATGTCATTTTTTCTTCGGGTTCACATCATTAAGCAATTGTTTTGCAATTTTTTCAGTGATTACGCACTTTTATCTACCTTCTTCAAAGTTGTGTGCCATGCGTCCCCCCAAGCCCACTGGGGCCTCGTGCTGTCTCCAGGCGGCTCCTGCTGTACGTGCTTCTTCTATATAAGAGGAGAAACAGCCGCAAAACATTGTTATTTAGAGCTAAGGCACGTATTCGATATTAGGACAAATTTGCTTCTCTTCTGACCCTGTTGGGCTTTACTGCTTACCGGGACACAACAGTTTTGGCCAGCGTCAAGACTGTAGTGCTTGTGCACAAAGAAGCGCTAACGCTCCCTTCATTTCTTTTTTGCGTTGGGTCCCGTATGTCTAATGACCGGCAGGGATGCGGAATCGCCATCCGGCAGCCGTGGCGCGAAACAAGTGTACGTGGAGATGAACAGCGTAAGCAGGAAAAGGAGATGAACTAACGGCATAACGGGACTCAATACAGTGCCGCATAGGAATACCTCATCTTTATCGGCCCGGTTTGTATGGTTCTGCTAACCGTTTCTGCCCTTCCTGACTGACTTCAGGCGGCCGGCGCCATCGAGCGCATCGTTGATTCTCCAACAGGACAGCATATACAGTTAACACAAGGGCAACGAGAAGCTGCCGCTGCCGCTGTCCAATTTGGTTCTGCGGGAGAATCGAATCATGTGAGATTTTTGCCACTGTCTGGAAGAGCAGGCCTGTCATGATTATTCATGAACATTGTTGAAGAGCAACTCGCAAGTGAACGTGCGATCTTGTGACTGTGTCACTGACTTGCATTGTACAGGGCCAAATGCGTTTTGAATTGACGCTCGATGAAGTTTCTTGCTCTCTTCCTCCCTGTAGCAGCACGTTGGGCCGTTTGCCCATTGTGTCTTCCTTGTGCCGGGTTGACTGGAGAGCTCTATTAGGCACAGGCAAACTCAAGCGCTTAGACCCCAAGCCGCTGGAGCCCGTGCTTTACCCATTGTCTACTGTTTTGCATTCCGGTGAGTTGTTGAGGAACTGGTATGACTGTTCATGACTTCACGTGCTGGGCGCGCCACAGAAGCAGCCCTCAACAGCAATTTTCGTCTTGGTCTTGGAGTAACTTTATTCTTTTCCTGTGAAAGTGGAACAACGTGCAGCCAAAGTGTGATCCGCGCAGTAAATATGGGGCGGGGGTGTTCTTCGCAGGGTCGCTAGTGGCTATAATGGGGCCGAGCGGTTGTGGAAAAACTACATTGATGAGCATTATATCTGGGCGTGCTAGTTTGGCTCATTCTGGCCGTGTGGCTATAAATGGAAGGCCTCGCACGAAAGAATTTGACCGGGTTGGCAACGGCTCTTTTCGCGAGTGTCACTGCAGGCAGCATCCGTGATTGGCTATTCCCGTTTCTGTGCACTCTTGCTTGTTAATAGTGAAACATGGGTAGCCAACACTCATTATAGTCACCCTTTAATTTAATTGGCTACATAAAGTGTTCTTTGCTCCGTGGCTCCTGTATTTGGCTGCAGTTTTCTTCATATGTGACGCAAGACGACATCTACGATGGCAACGAGAAAGTCATTGAGTGCCTCCAGTTCTCCTACCGCCTGCGCAAAGCAGTGCCACGAGAGTGGACCCGTGAAGAGAGACGTACCCAAGAGGCAGAATCTGTACAGCGAATCCTTGACCTGTTGGGACTTGCCGAGGTGCAACAAAGCAAAGTGGGCAACAGCTTGAAGCGCGGAATATCTGGAGGGCAGAAGCGGCGTTTGAGCCTTGGCATTGGTGAGCTCACAACTACGCATTGCAGAAACTCATTGAGTGCAAGGCTGGGTCACGAGCAAGCTGCGGAGCACTGTATTGGTGGGACTACAGGGGAATCAAGACCCACGCTTTTTTTTTGTGGAGCTTAGTATCTCCGGCTATAATCAGCTGTCTGCAGCTGCCCTGTGTGAACGTGCTTCTTAGGCCTTATGAGTGATGCGAAGATCCTGCTGTGCGACGAACCGACAACTGGCCTCTCCGCTGCAGACGCGCGATTGGTTGTTCATGCCCTGCGACGGCTCAGTGTTGAGTGCGGCGTGGCAGTGCTGGCGGTTATTCATCAACCATCCCACTCTATTATGCAGTGCTTTGATCAGCTTTTGTTGCTGAGCCACGATGGACGCTGCGTCTACAACGGCCGCGTGGATGCGGCGCTGCAGTACTTCAGTGCCTTGGGGTTTCCATGTCCCCCACATCAAAACCCTGCCGACTTTTACCTAGACCTTGTTTCGCAGAACAGCGAACACGCCGAAACGCTGGCGGATTTCTATGATGCTTTGATGAGGCCCTTAGTCCAATCGAGAGTCGAGCTCGCCTACGAGTGCCCGCCACCGCCACTAAACAATAACGTTCGTTTTTACTCAAGCTGCAATCACTCATGTTTCCAGTCAAGCTATTAAATCTGGACGAATATAGGCAGTACTAAGTGAATATTCTTGCTAAAACTAAGTGAATATATGAGCGTGAGCAGCTGTGTGTTCTTCGCAGGTCGATGGAATGGAACTGGCTGGTCCATATGTCCAGTTCAAAGAGGTGGGGAGGCGCGCATTTCGCCTGTGGTTGAGGGATCGTTCAACTCTAATGGCAATCATGGGCGACTCTGTCGTCCAAGGACTGGTGATTGGGGCGGTGTTTTTCGGTGTTCGAAGCCGTGCATCCATGTATTATCAGTTATCAGCCCTTTTCCTGATGATTCTGAGCCTCATGGCCTCGTCCCTATGGACTGTGCCGCTTTATGTTCAGCAAAAAGCACAGTATCGAGTGGAAGTTGAGGATGGGTACTATTCGCCCATCCCTTACATGTTCGCGACATCCCTTGTAGCAAATTTCTTCGTATTAGTGGGAGATGCAGTGCTTGTCACTATAATGTGGCTTCTATTTGGGTTCCAGTTCGTTCCCTTGTTGGCATGCTATCTAGTTGGATCGCTTGGATTCGTCATATGCGACGTAGTGACTGCCATCTGTTCTTTGGCGAGCAAGTCGTTTGCGGAGGCAAATGCCTCTGCAACCCTCATGTTCACATTGTTGATGTTTGTCAACGGATTTACAACAAATCCTAAGACGTTACCTACAGGCATAGGCTGGATTGCATACTTGAGCCCATTCTTTCTGGTATTCGAGGCTTTGGCCATTTGTATCCTCGAGGCTAACGAGTTTCAGGAAGATCCCCCAGAAGCCAGCAGGACTCTGCTCATGCACACGAAGGAAGAAGTCTACCAAACGTTTGGTATTGCAGGTCGAGCCTACGGAAACACAGGCAGTGCAATCCAGTGGATGTTGGTGGTTGACTTCGTGCTCCTCCTGGGTTTGATGGCTATTTCGAAGTGCCTTGTTTTTACGTTGCAAGCAACGGTCTTTTTGCCCAAGCGCTACAAAAGCGAGCCAGCCCAGAAGCAGAGGAGCATCTTGTCGCTGTTAAGATGTTGGCTACCAAAATTTCAACGAACATAATTTTTTTGAAGGGTTGGCCTTGGCCTCAACCGTTTGTTGGATGGAACACTACAAAAGTATGAGAATTCAGTTTTGCAGTCAGTGGCAACCACACTTATGGCCCGGTCTTGCTTCTGTAATATTGCTTGGTAGTTTGGGTGCAACACATTTAGTTCGTGTGCAAGGCAAGCTGCTCTGCGAACCTTATCTTGCAGAGCGTAGAGGCGCCCACCCATTAGAGTAGGGGACAAGCCCACTGTTTATGTACTAGCCTCGTTGCATTCATTCTTTTCGCATTTCCATCGAGTGTCGCACTGCATTCTTGTGGGAAAGAGCACACCATATTTCCACACTGATGTGCAGGATGATTTGCAGTGGAAGCTAGATTTTACTAGTTGCTCACTACCGGTCTTAACAATGAAAGGCACTCATAAAATCGCTGGTTGCTAAGCTGGCTTTGCAGTGTAATTCTTCATGTGGTAGTCTTCTCTGTACCACGGTGATTGTCAGGTCGCATCCATCCCTGATTTGTTTGGCGCAGCAGGAGCTCCCAGCTTCTCCAGTGTACATTCAATTTCAGAATCTTTAAAGGAAGTGGGCAACCAAGAAGTGAAGTTTCTTTTCTGGAGGCACATCATTTAATGTGCTTGCTATGTGACTGGCCAGTTTGCTGGCAGATTCAGTATTCTGGCAGCTTCGCAATTTTGCCACGCGGCAGAATTTAAAAAATAAGCTCGGGAAGAAGACAAAATGCTTGTGAACACAATAGACGCATTGCAGTATTCTTGTCTTTAGTAGCTCATAATTTTACATAATTATTACTTGATGTTGCTCTCCTTACTGCTTCGAAAGGGATCGATATCTCGTAAAACGAATTTACGCGCAGCAAAGGGAAAGTACAGTGAAGTGCCAGCCTGCTTCTAAGTCTGCCTTGCCTCTACAGCAGTTGATGCCACATCCGTCCTTTTAAAACTGATTCTAATGATGCAATATAGAGCCTCTCCTATCCTCAAGCAGCATAAGCAAGCCTCATAAACAGAAGGATACTCGGCAAACCAAATAGTAGACCCCTCAAAAGTCAGAGCAGATTATGTGAACTTTTACACTGTGCTGGTAATGCGAGTACGCCCTTCAGCAAGACACATTCATAATAACGTGTTTTTGATGGCCGGAGCCTTCTGCTCAGCAAGGCCCAAAAGGAAAAGCGCGGCCACCGCTGTAAAAAAGTTTTTGCAGATGGCTGGAACTGACAATTCCGCTAGATAGGAGCGGTGCCCCTAAAAACTGAAGACGTCGGTAGGCTTTGTAGCGGATAAAGTGCTACTACACCTTTTGGAGAAGGCCGACATCCCACCGTCAAGCAGCCATTGAGAAACTGTGGATAATGTCTATGCCCCACCATCTCTTGCATATTAGATAATCTCACCGAAGGGAGAAAAAAACTCGTGGCAGTTAGCACGAAGAACAACAGATCATCCGTTTGCATCAACAACTAACACAATTTTGGAAAATGACAAAAAAACGCACATTTGTACTTTCTGAGGGGCTCGCGCGCTTCGTCTAGCTTGCATCGACAGTCTCTCGGGCATATACCCGCCGCCCAATAGTTGCATATATTTAAACTTGAACTACGGCATTTCGTCGATGCACCGTAAAAACTCTTCTTCAGTTGTCGCCAGCGAGCTGCAGCTGATTGCACCGCTAGCCACATCCCTACCCCCAGCATACCGATGATTCTGATACGCTGCGTAAGCGAAGGGTGAACGCCGTATAGCATCAGCTATTTGGAGAGATACTGAGCCGTCTATACAACGAGAGCACCCTAGAGAACTGTCTGTTCCTTGCTCTTTCGACGAATCTTTCCAAGGCAGTTGGCGCGGCTTGGCGCACCGCAGGAAAGGCCTAAAGGTATCTTGGAAGGATGACTCAAATTCAAAAACTGGATCTGTCCTACCAAACCCTGACCGTCCCACAAAGCCGTACAGGGGTAGCCGATATTGTGCATAATCCCCTAAAGCGTATGCCCAAGTCTGCTCGCGCTCGTCTTGAAATCGGTCGAATATAAGCACGCGAAGAGCTGGATTGTTGCCATCTTTGGGGGAGACAGAAGGACTGGAGAGGAGAGCTGTTGGCAAATTAGGCTGACGAGGGTTGCAGCGTGGTCCTGCAGATGCTGCTGCATTCCATGGCTGCGTTCCGCTAGGCAGTAGCGTTGTGAGCGTTCCCTCATGCTGGTGACCAAATAACTGGGCCAAAACTACATCTGAATACGCTGAAACGAGGTCCCTGTACCTGCGAGACGAAAAAGAAGCAAAAGCTGCATTACCTTCTGCAGATTTGTCAGTAGGTGGTCCCTCGTAATAACAATGCAGTGGAGCAGCAAGTAGTTCCTTTCTGACCTTGAGGTATATTGAGGTTCCCAATTGTCCCGAAAAAAAGCCCGCGCATCGAGCTTCACTGTTAGCGCCGGCATTATATGACCACAGATCAAAACCTGAGTACCAATCACACGCATTACCATTTCTTGCCAGTGCTGCTAGAGCCTACATTCTACCGAGGTAGTTCAAAAGCCAAAACACGTGGAAAGGTTCTGATACAGCTATGGCCCCTTCAAAGTTTGTTTTCCTCTAATAAACTGTTGACCATGCCTGTTGTCCAAGGCGACGAGCAGAATGGAGCTCTTTCTCCAACCAGGCGAACTGTCCTGCTGGAGCAAATCACCATACACGCCCCAGTTCTCTTGTATGTTCTCGTTTGTACCAGCTTGTTGGCATTCTGTGGCGCGAATGGAGCAGGGGAATGCGCGACGCTTTTACTAACCTGGGTCAGCTGTTTCTGCGTAATCCTCCAGCGCACTTCTCATGATCGGCACCCCTGCTGCCGAGGCATTCAGCCCGCTGCTGTTCTCTTCATCGAGCTGCACCAGAGCCCTTGCAGCCTTCCGCACTTTTACAGCATATAGGTTTGTGTTCAAGCATAGTACGCGCACCTGGGGAGCCGCTCTCAAATACGTTGAGTAATACATTCCTCGGAGGAAAGTCTGTAACACAGTAGGTAGGCGCAATGTAATACAACACATACAAATGCACAAAGAGTGAAATGCAGTCTTGTCTAGCATGCATTCTGCCCATCAGCCTCAGAACTTGAATTCGGGGTATTTATACCCGCATCGAGCGAGTAGCAGACAGATCAGTTTCATTATGAGTGCAGCTCAGATGGCGTACCTCGCGAGTTATTGAGTCCTGTGGTAGGGCTGGCCTCCATATATTGTACAGCATTTCCGCCCATTGCGTGCGATGTGGAGGGAAAACAGCTTGTGGTGGGAAATCGTGATTGCCCACGACCAGCAGTAATTGCATGGGTTCCGCTAGTTCCCCTGATCTGTTCTTCTGCGGTGGTGTGTTCGAGTTTTGGGGAAAGAACTCGAATAGTTTGTTGGTGACATGCTGTACAGCCGCTAACCTGCACTCGCAGGCCTTTGAAGCATTTCCCACAATGAGTTTGCAATTCAGCTAACATCGCACACAAAGAAATCATGATTTTTTCAGCACTGTACACAGTGACCTCAGGGCTCGCTTTAAAGGCTAAACTTCTTTCGCCCATGCGTGAGGATAGGGCTTATGAAAAAATGTGGGAAAAGAGCCTACACAAGCTTCTGATCATTCTTCTTTGGGGAATAAGCGTAGTCTCCTGTAAGTAAAATCGCTTGTATTGGCGGCAAGTGGTACTGTTCAGCTGCAGTCATGGCAGCTGGCGCCACATCAAGTAATCCAGCGGGACTTTCTCCTTCCCCTCCTGTGAAGTGGCTCCGGGCCACCAGGCCATACACGAATCTGAGAGATTCCTCAAGTAGTCGAGGCGTTGAAGGGGATCCCGCACGTCCAAGCCTCGGTTCGGTTTCGACGTGCAGCAGCCTGTCACTTGGAGTGCAGCCATTGATGTCTTGCTGGCCACTGCCGACTGTGGAATGCACACCGGGGAAACAGTGGGTCTGTAAGTGTATATCGGAGATCCACGCTACGGCTAGATGTCTGGGAAATTTTCCAGTGGCCTGCCCTGGAAAAGGTGCATCGCCGCTAACAGCTGCACGGCAGCTGGCAAACTCAGGGGAGAAGAACCAGGCCAAAAAGAGGTGCCCCAGCAGTGCCCAATTCATTTTTGCAACGGAAAGGAGCGTCGATTGTTCCCCACGGATTGTTTGGGCAAACGAGCAGCTGCTCGCGTCCTCCCAAGTCAAATATACAAGACAGCTAGATGCGCATCTGAATGGTAACACAACTCGTGGTATGCATGCATGGGATAGAGAAAAGCATGTGCGCTTTCAGACGTCATCAAAAGTATGATCGCCGCAGGATGAGTGACTACGGGATCCCGTTCCCGCAAAAGAAACGAGTGGCGTTTGCATCCGCTCCGAAACGCCAGAGCTCCACCATTACACTCGACATATCAACTTACTATCTACTCTTGCGTATTAAAAAGTTTAGAAATAGTCAAAGACGGCTAATTCGTCTCAGGTCTGTGAGGAAGCTACAGTGCAAGCACCGCTCGACTGTCCCAAGTGCGCGTTGGAATCGTAGGTGTTCTCGTGCAACAGTCCCACCTACTCTACAACTAATTGAAGTCAATGCGTGGTTAACGCTTAGGTACAGAAATTATTTCAAATAATTCAAACATAATAAGGAGCAATTCAGGGCTAGCACGTGTTTCTAACACTTTGTGAGAGTTCAGTCTCGACGAACTGTGTGCACTGGAGAGAGGTTCCCAGTGGCATTCTCCCGTCTGCGTCAACTTATGTGGAACTTCTTCCTTCACGTTTACATTTGATTGGCAAATTCGGCGTTTCAAGATGCCAGTTTCTCTGGCTGGGATGAAGTTCGAGATATGCCAGGTGGGGATGTTTTTACATACTTCTGGCGCTTATTCCCATAGCACGTGGCTCCGATTCGAATATACATTGATTTTAGTATTTAAGCATAAGGATCAGACGGTTCTGTGTGTTATCTTCTCCGGCGACTCATTTTTTTCCCTACTGCACTTGCCAGAACGACTACTGCCAGGCTCCAGTGTACCCGTTGCCCACATCTCAGCACGTGAGATTTCACAGCACAAAAACCCATTAAAAATCGGAAATTTTGGGGAAGCTTGGTGGGCTCGGGTAATTAAACAGTTGGGTCCTTTGCAACGACAGACAAAGCTACAGCCAACACTAAACAGAGCCAACTCTGCATGCGCCAAACGCTTTTTGGTGTAACTAGCTCTCCGACGCTAGAACACATGCCAGCTGGCGTGTGCTCAACATCTTAAATCTGAAGTAAATTGCAGCGTCGTTGCTCTGGCGCAGCATATGGCAACGAGGTAAACACCCCTTGGAAAGAAGTTCCAGTGAAATTCTCAAGATTGGTTCTTTAAGTTCGGAAGCTTTGCAAATACCGCCTCAGTAGAACGTGGGTGACGTAGGTGCTTTGCTGCTCGTCCAAAAACGCTAAAAGCACGTATCCAGTTTTCGTCTGGAGAGAACTCACGGGTGTTTCATTCGCCAAAGACCATTAAATATTTCTTGACGTTAAATACAGCTAGTACTAGAAGCTTTATTGGGGCTTTGGTAGCGTGTACACACAAATTTGTGATGCTTCAGTCAAATAATCCTCTTTTGGTGGTGCCACGCCTTCTGGAGAGAAAACCGCGAAATACTTCGTTTGTTCACTGGCATAAGCACACACAACAAAGCAAGTTGTTAGGTTGCAATGAACTTGACCATTCAGGAGCCTAAACAGAGTTTTAGAGCCCCATGACTTGTTGCATTTTATCTCCTTGCATCTGCACTTGAGAGCGTCTTTCACATGCTGCACAGCTCATCAATTTTCGATCTTGCCAAGTCTAAGAAGTGCGCAAGTGCTCATCTTTCGAGACGGTTTGTCAGGTGCAAGGGCTGCCCCTTCCACATTCCGCCGCAAGCCTGCCGAGTTGTACGAACCCGTTGGCGCTTAGTCTGTGACTGGGGACTGCCGGAATATCAGACGTAGCTGAAATCTTTCAGGCTGTTGGCGAATTTGTTGTGAAAATAGTCGACTGACTTCGTTATATGGTTCACTGTAAACTTCTGCACGGATTCAATAGCCTATAAACTATGTTCGTCTTCGTTTCGCGGCCGAGCACATCAAAGGAAACCTTGAGAAACATGGGATATTCCCTTGTTCCCGATGCATATTTTCCGGGTGTGTCGTCCCAAGGAGTTGGCCAGACCAGTGTCGACCCAACTCACAGGTGATGCTGGACGTCATAGGGAGAATAGAGCCGTCACGAGTTGTTTTCATGAGAAGAAAGTAGCAGAGGTATTCAATCATAAGAGCAATTTATCATCCTCAATGCTGTTTCAGTTCGTCCAATGCAGCAATACAAGGACACATGGGATTGGACACAAGCTTTGCAACTCTACAGATACTCTGTTTGGCATTCACTGTCTTTTGAGATGTCCCTGCCTTCTCCCCTTCGTAAGATGTGCATGATAGGTGAGTCTCTACACTGAATACTATTTCGACTGTTTTCTGTGGCCAGTGCTGCAATTCGCCCCATGCTCTGCCGGCGTTTGAAGAAATGGTTCAAGACATTTTGTCCGCCGAAGCATTATGTCACATCCACAGCCCGGATATTTGGAAGCTCAGCTACTCGGGAACACTAAAGCCAAAAGCTTGCATCAATTGACAATGAGCGCGTCTTAGCTCGTATCTATTGTGCATTCGTAGCGAGCGCTGCGTGTCCATGTGCACACAGGCGCTTTAGTGTATTGCCCTCGCAAGTTCGGCCCGCTTATTTTGTGAGAGTTAAGAATTGCGTGATCACCACATTGAGGTCGAAAACTCAGTGCATCATTTTTCAGGACGGCTGAGGTCAGTGACTGGTACACGAGACATTGAAGCTCCCAAGCCTTCGGCACGCTTGGAAACAGAGTTGGTGAAAACGTCCGATAGAACAGAGTGTTCAGTCGCAAATGGAATTTTGTAGTATTTGAAATAACATAAAGGCCGACATTACGTATGTAAAGAGCTGAACTAGCGACAGAGGCACCAGAATAAGACCCCGTAGTTTTAACCGCTGGCTGCTGGAGGCGTTGTGGAGACACGAGGGAGGCAACGATGACGGGGCCTTGATCGGATGCAGTCGCCTGCTAGTCCAATAGCCCAAATAATGTTTGCTTTTTAAATCGTTTTTTATTACCAGAATAGCTGCGCGGCGTCCCCTTACCTCTGAGGCTCATTAAGGTCACCTCAACAGGAGACATTAACTTCTAGCTTTGGTGCAACGCAGGCACATTAGCATATCACGAAGTTTCTCCTAATTTTGAGAGTATACGCTTTATTGAAAGTATTGAAGTAGTCTCTTCTTACAGCTTAAGCATTCGACCGCAACAGTTTTGCTCATTCCGAGTTCAGCTGTTTTCAGCTGGACGTACTGGCGCTTGACGAGCTCGGTTCCTCATTATTTCGGCTTGTGTGCGCATTTGTTTTTTGAGTGGCCTTCTGTAAACTCACGAACTTGTACTAAAGATGAAAATCGAAGAAGTCACGTCACTGGAGCACGCGCAGCGCGTGGCTTCCCACAGTCACATCAAGGGCCTCGGGCTCTTACCTGACGGGTCGGCCAAAGACACCCATATGGGAATGGTGAGCAGTGTCACCCCATGGGAGTCGACACGTGTCTATACTGCCACCTATCCTCGCCCGTTTCCCGCCAAAAGGAATACTGATGTGAATTCGCCTTAACAGAATGTGCTACTCACTTCATCAGCAGCAGGCGACAGTGGCAGAAGACTAAAAAACCCGTCTTGGTATTAGGGTCACATGACGCTTCTCTGCGGGCAAAAAGTACTTATGCCGGTATTTTCCTGCAGCACATGAATGTTTTCTGTTAAGGTGGGGCAACACCAAGCACGTGAAGCTGCTGGTCTCATCGTGGAACTCATTAGAAGCAAACGCATGGCAGGGAAGGCTCTGCTGATTGCTGGTCAGTTCATTAAGGCACAATTCACTGCATTCGTCTTGGTCGTCCCTCTTGGTTGTGGCGTTTAAGCTGGTGTTAGTTTCCCAGCCGCTAACCGTCACAGGCATGTGGTGGAGGGGCACCGTTACATACAGGCCGCAGCACAACGAAGTTGTTATGTGGGTTCAGGCCCTCCGGGCACTGGTAAAACTGCAATTGCCATGGCAATCGCGCAGGAGCTTGGAAGCAAAGTGCCATTTTGCCCCATGGTTGCGAGCGAGGTCTGTCACTGTAGTGCAACTTGGAAACCCAAGCCTTCCTTTTAGCAGCCATCTTTTTCAGTAGCGTGGACACTCCCTGAATAATCAGCTTAGGGAGAGCCTTTCATATGGCTGGCTTTTTCCTCTTAGCTGTCTACACTCTTTGGAGTTTCTTGTTCGGTATGGTTGGGCCCTAGGTGTACTCAAGTGAAGTGAAAAAGACAGAAGTACTTATGGAGAACTTCCGCAGGGCCATTGGCATAAAAATTAAAGAAGTGAAGGAGGTGTTTGAAGGCCAAGTCGTCAGCTTGGTAAGTATATCAGTTTCGTACTCCGTCTTCAAACAGGTTATTTCTGGTTGATGAAGCAGCAGCCAGTTGCAATGAAAGGCACTAAGGTGCCTTGCTCAATTTGTCCTCAAATTTAGAAGGTTTATTGCCGGTTGAGTGAAGCATTAAGGGTCTCTGCTCAAGTTGGTTTTGCAGACGGATGAGCCGTGTGACGCTCTGACAGCAAGCGAAAACTCATCACGCAGCGACCCTAGCGAGGAGGCTCCTTGCCCCCCTGTTCGAATTACTCTGAAGACAAGCAAAGGGTCGAAGGCTTTGCGACTTCAAGCCTCCATCAACAAGGGTTAGCACGGGAACCTTCTATATTTGCAATGTCAGTAAAAACCCGTAGCTCTGGCTGTCTGGCCACTGTGCGATGTTTCAAGGTTTGCTATGCGCATTCAGAGCTGAGAAAGGAGAAAGTTGCAGTGGGGGACATCATTTACATTGAAGCCGCCACAGGTCAGGTGCGGCGAGTGGGTCGGAGTGAAGAATTTGCTGGCCAGTTTGACCTCGAGGCAGACAAGTACATACCTGTTCCCAAAGGAGATGTTCACAAGAAGAAGGAGGTTATTCAGGTAATAGCTTTACTGGCTAGACGGTGTACTTTCACATAGTCCACAGTAACGTTGTGCCGCAAAAAGCAGAAATACAGAGGAAGCAAATCAAAATTTTGTCCTGAAATTTTCTCCTACGTCGATACTTGTGTTTTCTGCGTCTAATGTGGAATCATCAGGACGTTACTCTTCACGACTTGGATGCCGCGAACGCGAAACCTAATGGCGGCGCTCCCCTTGCATCTTTGCTTGGGCACTTTTCGAAGCCACGAAAGACGGAGATTACTGAAAAGCTCAGGCAGGAAATAAACAAAGTTGTCAACAAATATATTGACCAAGGAGTAGCTGAACTTGTGCCTGGTGTCTTGTTCATTGACGAGGTACGTAGCATCGATAAGCTGACGCTGATTTACCTCACAGAGCCATCGTATTAGCACCGCTGATGGATTCCCGCATGAAGGGATGCCGCGCATTACGCGAAGCATAGCAAGAGCCTGGAGCCTGTAGTCGAATTTGCAGGCGAAGCCCACGTGCTGAATGCCGTCGACTTCAGCAGCGAAAGAGGATATAAGCGCTGCGGTGCTTCCCGTAATAGAAAATGTCTTTGCTATGTGCGGGAGGGGTGCAGGTTCACATGCTCGACGTCGAGTGCTTCACCTACTTGAACCGTGCCCTTGAAAGTCCCCTCTCTCCTGTTGTTGTTGTTGCTACAAATCGAGGCGTTTGCACGATTAGGGGTACAGACGTTCTGAGTTCTCACGGAGTTCCAGTGGACCTATTGGACCGCATGCTTATTGTTCGCACACAACAGTACGCCAAGGAAGAAATTAGAAAGGTCAGTAAGGATATCGTTTCTGAATACTACTCTTTGACATGCGAAGTTGACCGTGCAGAGGAACACGGGTCTCTGGGGCACAGCAGCAGCTAAAGACATTGTCGTTCTCATTCTGACTTGCGACTGCTGACAGGTGCTCGAAATTCGCTGCGAAGCAGAAGGACTTTCTCTGACGCCTGAGGCTGCGGATATGTTGGCGTCTGTGGGTGTCCGCACATCTCTGCGCTATGCAGTCCATCTTCTGACTCCAGCTGCCATTCTAGCAAAAGCTGATATAACTGATTATGACTGTGATAATGCAGAGTTAGAGGAACCAAGTATTCAGCTACGGCATGTGCAGCAAATCGATAGTTTGTTTCAGGACGCCAAAACGTCCTCGAAACGGCTTGCAAGGGAAGCAGATTTCTTTATCCAATAAACAAAAAATGAGGGCTACATCCCTAACCTCAGTGGCTGTTAAGCTTCGCAGAAGACCTACAAATTCTTGGAGGCCGCCTGTCGGCTGACAAAGACGCAGAGTAACTTAATAGCATGCACTGATTTGGCAATTAAGCATTTGCTTGGTATTGTGAGAGGAGACACTAAATGCATCCGCAACTGGACTATGCCGCTCTTTCTTTCCAACTTAAAAAATTATTTGCGCGTAGTTCCTTGCCGCCCCCTTCACACACTGCCAGGCGCGAAGCGATGGCAGTCCACACAATTTAAAAACTATTAGGAAGTGAAGTTTGTCACCCTCCGACAATGGTCCCACTTGGATGCGGGGTTTCCGTTTCACACGATTAACAGTAAGATCTGCGGTGGAGTGCAGTTCCCTCTACTTTGGACCTTCCATTCATGCGCGCGCTGACGAGCATTCCAAGCTAGTTCATCCCAGCCCGTCAGCCTTCAGGTCCAAGTTATGGTTTGGGGCTAAAACTGGATCCTCGCACTCCAGTGCGTTTTGTCTGCAGCTGATGGGCAGCAGACTTCTGCAGATGTAGCAGAAGAGATGGGCTCTTCACTTTGACGAGAGCTCCAATGTCGTGTAATCTTGCCTGGAAAACAGTGCCGCATGTTCGCAAGCATTTATGCCGTCTGTCTTTTGCTCTGTGTAAGATAATGCAGCGACTAAACGATCGAAAAGCGCTCACATGCATAAGAGCAAGCTTCGACTTGAGGGCGTTGTAGCGAAATGACATTTGCTGCCTAATCACCTCCTCAGAGCTTTGGAGGAAGTCGCAAGACAAAAGCTCAATGAATTTGTACTCCATGTTCTGCGTAGAAAGACAGCAACAGCCCAGTAGCCTATCAATGATGAAAAGCCGAAAAGAATAGTGTGGCGCTACGCGACAAACTCACGGCCCTGAGTAAACTCAGTTGTTAAACGGCTACCAAATATACCTGAATAAAGTCAAGACGTCCTTTTCCCGTAGTTTCCATTACAAATACCGCGAGAAAACTGCAGACCAGTCCGCAAAGCAAGCAGCTCATGTGAGTAATTGTTAGCACTCAATCTTTGGAGGTGCAGAAATACAAATGGCTCTGCCCACATGCACGAGTGCATCCAATACAAATAAATGCTTTAGCTGACTTCGTGACTGCCACTCTGAAGGTATATGCCTATACCGTCGAACCCAAAGGAGAAAGTTAATACTACAGAAAGCTATAATGGCCGATTCTTAGAGCACAGTGAAGTCTCCCTGCTGTACCTGTGGGGCTCTCTAATGCATGAGTTGAGCATCTTCATCAGCACTTGCGAATAATCCGCGAATTCAATCATCAGCTTCTGGCTTTGCTGCATCTGGCGAAATGACTTCTCATCTGCCCTAGTGCGCACAAATAACAAAAAGGCTTAGCAGTGGAAGTGTTCATGCATCGTAGTTCCGTACAAGTCGAAAGCTAATGAATGAAATCGCTTAGGGTGAGGCGTATCCGCTGAACTATATGGCCCTGAGTACAGTGCTTCGTGCGTGCATACACGTGAGTGTAGTGGAAAAATAGGTCATTCTCGCTGGATGCTTCGATTCGAACTTCCCGAGGGTGCGCTTCTTCTCCCTGAGAAGGAACCACAAACAAAATATGGAAATCGTCGGGAAACACACCGAGACATTGAAAGCGCAAGGCTTTGTGGGAGCCCAATGAACTGACCAAAATTAAAACTTTCACCCTGATAGGCTCGAGCCTGCCCACGTCTTGGGGAGCTTTTGTCCCCTCCTGCATCCGAAGCTCACATGGGACCTCCCTCTCGTATAAGAGAATGTGACCGTCAGCTGTTAGCATCACAAGCACGCACAAAAGCAAGGGCTCAACAAATTTGCCTCTGTACTTCGTGTCTCAGCAGACGAGAACGCCTTATGTTACTCCCAAGTTAAGGCTAACAGTGGTGGAAGGCCGCAATCACGTTTGGATGCTTCTACAGTGACACTTGCAGCGAGACTGTTAGCCAGCAAGTTGCACAGGTAGCCACAAGGACCAAGTACGGCACAAGATGACACAGATAAGATAAGGGGCTTGCCGAGAGAAGGGTCCATTTCATCGATGGCGGAGAAGTCGAAGTGAGTCAAAAACGCGGCGGAGTCCGTAGGAGGGAGCATCCCGTCAAACGCGCAGGCCGCATCAGCTGACGCGCGGTTGGCCATCTTCGCTCAGCCTCTTGGGACACCAGTGAAAGATCTAATTCACATCAATTTACAAGTAATAAGTACACTAGAAAAGGAACTGTGTTTGGTCAAATCAGCGACTGTATTCCTCGGCGCTCACAGTCGCTAGACTCGCGCTCGGCTCACGATTCACATTCACTCTCGAGAGTCACAAGCCGCTTCTTTGTGTACAGCAGTCAATTTAGAAAAGAAAAGACAAAAATCCTTCGTTCGTTTCGTGTGCGGCTCTGTACTTATTGGATTGGGCCTGTGGCAGCCGCATGCCTCACGGCTTGAGCCGGAGAGGGCCTACGGCCGTGCTTCGTCAGAGGCCCGCGGAGGCCGAAACTCACAGTTCCCGCCAGAGACATAATGAAGACAGCATACATCTGGCTTTCTTTATGTAAATTTAGGTGAAGAAAGGTTCAGTGAGTCGTATCTCGCATCACATTAACAATGGTTTGGACCTTGCGGTGCTCGTCCAGCCATACGGCAGAGAGTGCCCGCTTCCAGTCCTAGGGTGTCCCCATGGGAACTTTAGCCAAACCATGAAACAGCCAGCCTATGTTGTGAACCTGTAAAGAAAATGTTGTTTCTCGCCGTAGCATTGGCAACGAAGTAGCACTAACCTCCTTACGCCACCCAGACGAACGCTGCTGAACAGATATACAGGGAGGCCAACGAGTTCCCTCACTACCTATTTTCTGGCTTAGCAGCTCCCCAAATATTGCAATTCACTCCGCTGCATACACACATGATGCACTGGAGACATGCTGGTCTTCACGTCGTTACACCGCCCTCCCCTGCTCTCCGTTCTGTCGTTCGCTAAAATGAAACTACTTCCACCAGAAACGTCTCAATCATTTGTTCTCCAATTAACTGGAGAGGCGGCGCACAAGTAAATAATTACCCCGATGGAAGACAACCTGAATGCCACCAGCGCTAGGCCGAAAGTTTCCCAACAAGCAACTCTTCAAAAACTCCCCTATTTCAAATCTGCATCATCGGTTCACTACCTATACTCCCGAGTTTGCTTTAAGGATCCTTCCTCTCCACGGAAGTTCAATCTGAACTAGTGGCGTCGCAGCACAAAATTAAGCAATTGCTCCCGGCAAAAAGTAGCCTAATAATTCAAAACGTAGCGTCCAACTAACTTGGTGTTGAACGAACTCGTCGAACAAACAAAAATTCATCTAATCTACCTACCCGCACAGTCAAGGGTCTGCACGGTCTTCTTTGCAGACGCTCTATAGACTCCGGCACGCCAGGGCAGCAGTGCACTACGCAGCCGTATGCCGTTTCTGCTTTGCACCACTTCTTGCGCGCCTAAAGAAGGCCAATGCAGAGTATGTAGTACAATAAGACACGCAAAAAAAGCCACACAGTGTACGTATATCCGCTGAAAACTGCCTGTCGCCTGCCGGCAATCCAATGATGCCTTTCAGCGCTAAGCTCAAACCACATACGGTACCACGCCCACTGAACTCGGAATCGCACACCACATGAGTAACACAAATCCCATGGCTGCTAAATGAGGCAATTAGAAGAATCTTGCACCAGATCCAAGGCGACCTAGCAGTTTATCCATGATTCCCCCTTGGCCTTGTGCCCGCAGAGCTGCTTTCCGTTCCTTCTCAGCCTTGAGCTTTTCACTCATTTCAGCGTTAACTTCTGTGGGTGCTATCATGCCACCCATGAAACGCGATTGCGCTGCAGAATCGGCACAACACAGATTCAAATTCCCCTACAGTGATTCACTCCACACAATGCGTTTCAAGGACGTTTCTCCATGCGAATTAATCACTCCCCAAAGTCACAACAAAACGAGCCTATATCAATACTAAAGCTTAAAAAAGTAAAATAACACGAATAGCAGTTTCCTTTAACCTCCGGGAATTCGATACTGACTAACTTGGGCTCCAGTCAGGCAAACAGACAACGGGAAGGGGAAAAAACCACTATATGTAATAATCTCTGAGTCTTACACCAGCAGCCACAACAGCCCTACGGCACTTTGCACACTTATCAACAGCTACAGCCTTACCAAATAGCGCAGAGTTGGCGCTGAAGAAAGAAAAGCCGCCGCTGCCATTGCTGGACATGTGCTCTCCATTGCTCTTCTGTTCCTGCCCAGTTCCTTCCCAGTTGCCTCTCAGCTCTTCATCCAGATAGCCGTTGTCGTACTGCTCTTGTTCCATCGATGTAGGCGATGGCTGCGCCTCTGCTGCGCTGGCTGTAGTGCCTTCGCCTGTCGTATCACTTGGCCCCTCCTTAGACGCGTCGCTGTCCCTCCGTGGGGCTTTCTGCAACAACTCTGAGTTAAGCAAAAGAGTTAGAGGGCCCATAGCGGCGCGCAGCTCCCTTAGCTGCTGTTGCAGCCGCTGTGCCCTGCGAGAAAGTCTAATGTTCACTACCGCGACTCCGTCCCCCTCTTCGCTCGGCTGCCTCTGTTCTGTCTTTTTCGCCGCTGCGTCTGAGCCTATCGCCGCGGCCTGCCGCAACAAACTGGCCGAATTGAGAGTGACAGTAGCACTTGAAACACCCCACACGCGCACAAGCCGCAGCTGCAGATCGCGTTGCAGTAGCTCCAGGACCCGTTGTCCCTGTTGTTCCTGCTGCTGTTGCTGAGGATGTTCTGTTTGCTGTTGCTGCTGCTGTGCTGTAAAGTTAAGAAGACTGCGGTTAGAGGGGCAACGCAACAAACCCCTAAGGCCTAATACCACAGAGAATAGATCTAGAGATTCAAGTGGCTCAGCGTCGCCTTCAGCTTCTGTCTGCTGCTGCTGCTTCTCCTCCTGGCCCTTCTGGACCTGCTGTTCCTCACCTTGTTTTAACAGAGCCAGAGATGCGGCGCAACACTCTCTAACAACAACATCGCTGCTGTTCACGTGTTGCTCCAGAGCGCCAAGCATGTCATTCAACTCAGGTGATTGCAGGAGCAGCTGCCTGTGTTGCTGCAGCAACAGCCGCAGGGACCCTGCTGCCTGGTGCTGCACCCCACGATCTGGATGTTCGAGAAAGTAACAAATCCCCAGTGCCATGCGAGGGATCTTCGCCCTGACTGCCGGAGAGGGGCGCGGCTCGGCAGCAAGCCTCTGCAGCTGGTGTACAATCATCAGCGCGTCCATCTTCAGAAATACTCTTCAACCCTTTGTTGCCGAGGTCACCCTGAAACACTGTAGCCAAAGTCGCTGCCGCTATTGAAATTTGCTCTCGAATGATGACAGAATTCCAGAAGTCTTGCAGATGCTGGGGGTGACGACGCTAAAGCTCGAAACCCAGAGGGCTTACGAAGCTTTTAGATGCGCATTTGACGCAGCGAATTGCAGTAAAATATGTGCGTCTTTTGCCAATAAGGATGATGGGACAGCAGAACACCAACAGCCCGCCAGTGTCCCAGGGGGTCATTGCGGGCGTCCCCGCCTTCCTCCTCTTCAGGCAGTTCTGAAGGCCAAATGCTTGAGTTCGAAGACATGCAATTGAAAGGAACCGAGGAAGTCGAGGTCCACGAGGATTACCACGTGGTACCTCATGGGCCTTCCGGTGGCGTAGTGTTCCGCATGCACAGACGCTGCTCATCGCACTGTTGCGGCAGCCACTCATAAACACGCTTGCAAATCTGTAGTTTCCCCTCCAAGGAAAAGTACTTAAAATAACTTAAATAAAGACGTGCAAACACAAATTTGCGTCGAGACAGAGCTGGTCCTGCACAGAATCTGGTATGTGCAACGACCTAGCGTGGGTGTCTGCTTATGCCAGAACTGAAACTCAAGAAAATAGGACACTTGTCAAGACGCGTTCACAAATAACAAGCCACCTGCTTCACAATGTAACGTGCATCCGTAATGGGTACCCCTATTTGGGCCCGGATGGAACTCGGCGCAGTACACGTAGTTCTGGCTGCCCCGGAGCAAAACAGTGCAGATTCAGTGTGCGTCGAAGATTTTCAATGCATCTTTTTTTGATGGGGTGAGCGTTCGGCTGTGTGGGGCCGCAAGCGAGCTATAACACTACGACGTGGACGCAGCCTTCTTCTGTTGCACTTCAAAGTATGCGACGTTGCTGCCGCCCCCAACGTAGCCGTTTTCTACTACCTTCATTAAGTAGCTAACTAAAGCACTTGATCATCCCCCTACAGGGTTTTTATTCGAAAGACGGGAAGAGCATGCACTGAGCTTGAAAAGCATACACCGAGAGTGGCGTTACAGAGCCTCAACCCGCACATTGAACTTTGGGGCAAATATGGTCGGCAACTTCCACCTAGGCACCTTGGCTCAACTAAAAACAGAAGCAGTGCGCTCTGTTTGCCTGAAAATGAGCCCGACGATCACACAGTGCGTCTGTGGTACGTGGGGCTGCTCCCGGTGCCGTCACCACTTCTGTTTGCACAGAGACTAGGCACGAGGAACACTGAAGCTCCAGGAGCTAAGACCCAAAAGCCAATGTTGAGTTCTATGCCGACCCAGTCAGCCGGGCTGCTGCAGTCGCGGCTGCCTGCCACGTCTGCAGGGGCTTCCGCGTTGCGCGTCACTTGAGTCAGTGGGCCTCGATAACCGACCTTTTCGGCTCCCGCTGAAGCCCACTATCACTTTCCTGAGACAAAGCAGCAACGAAAATACATAAAATGCAGTAGCAATGCGTGCTTCAAACTGTCCAGCTCTAACTTATGAACAAAACATTTCCCCTGTATCGCTGCTGGCTGACCTGAAATTTCGACTTCTTGCTCTCGGCGAAATCAGTTATCGTAGGCACCTACAGAAACCGCAACATCCATGTAATGCAGGTGTATTTTTTTATCTGCCTTTGGGGACAAAAGAAGCAGCAAAAGCAACACAAAGGGCGTCACAGCTCACCGCAGTTTTGATTTGCTGGTATAGTAGCAGAGCTAGACTGTGGGGGTCCATCATGTCCACCCTAAGAGCTGTGTATCTCATTCGCTGCTCCCCATTATAGTTGTCAAACTCTGCCTTGACAAGTACGCGGAAGGAATTCTGCACAAAAAGAGTAGAGCGAGTACTTTGCAGCGCCAGCTGAGAGCGGGGCTCGGTGTTTCTTGATAACGCATTAGGTATCGCTCCCACTAATGAGCAATCTGTAGAAATTTAATGCGTGCGAGTTCCCTGTGTATGGCTTCTAGGATATATTGAACAGTCTGTAAAGATTTAACGCGTGTGAGTCTCCTGTGTATGACCTTTAGGATCGACTGCCAGTCGAAGAAAATCTCTTTTTTCTCTGCACTCCAGCCCCGCACTTCCGATGCAGGAGAGCCAAGCAGCGATTGCCCTAAAAGTCACAACCAAATTCCAGAAGCAGAGATAACTCGATTGAGTCCAGGCGACCACAAAAGCTATGCCGGCCACGTGAACACAAATAAAAGTGCTCATTCGGCTGAACGACGAAAACAAGGTGTAGTGTATCAGTTGCACAGTACCCATGTCTGCGAAGCATCTGCAGCTCAAGGAGCCTGTGGCGTCTATGAACGAAGCGAGTAGCATGTACCGCCAATCAGGAGTTACCTGCAACAAACATGAACAATTGACACTCGCAAGTCGCGATGTTGTCTCAATCATTGTGCATCCAGTACTCGTTGCCATAATAAAACAGACCACAACTCGAGCCAAGCTATGATGGGCGGCGGCCTACGTGGCTAGTGTTGCAAGGATAGCACGAGTATTCATTCGCAGCGTCCTCATGCAGTTTCTTGCGACAGGTGGGGCAGGCAGCATAGGCATAAATGTCCTGCTGCGGTTGCTGTGACTGCTGTTGTTGTTGCCTTGGCTTCCAGTATATCCTGCGGACTTGGGCTATAAAGGCATAGGTCCCAGGCTGCGGCGAAACGGGCGCAGCAGGAAATATACAAGTGCAGGGACAGAACAAAAGGTAACGCAGGAAACGAAAGGCATCAACTGGGCTAAAGTAGCGACACGGCTCAGGAAACAACGAGCATATTACCTCATTTTTGTCCTTGATATCTTTGATACTCATTTCCTGCACGGGCTTTCGCTCGTTCGACGCTCCCTCACTAGGTGGGCCTCCTCGAGACATGTTGTGAAACGAAAGGCTGCTGCCTGTCTGAACAGCACACCAATAGCACTACAAGCTGACACGCTCACATTCAGGGTTCCAATACGCCATAAAGCACTCAATGAGCCGCCGTCGGACCATATTTATTCAACAAAAGCAAGTGTATCGGCAGTGGCATCTATGGCTTACGGTGGTATACCACTGCAGCATTTCCGCTGCGCTCTCTTCTTCCTCAGACGAAAGAAGTCCTGCGCCCGCCTTTATTATTTGGGAAGACTTCGTGGTGCTGGCACTCCTTGCGCCTCGCCAGTCCCTTATGTTAAGGCCCGTAAGTCCGTATACTTGGGGTAGGGGTGCTGACTCAGTTATGGAGTCAACCTATGGAGGAATCGTAGCTCAGAAGAAAAGTTAGGGATATAGTTTCCCAAATTCAGGACTGGCTACAGTGACAACATTTGGAGTAACAAAGACATCAGCTGCTGACTAGTTAAGACTCAACTGACCAAAAGCTGGCGTGTGGAAGAAACGGGTTGCATTGAGAGCTCACCTGCTCACCCCACAAGCTGACTTCCATTTCCACTTGCGACTTGTCGCGGACCTTCAGCACGCGGCGCTTAAGCTCTTCGCCGCTGCTTCTTGCTGTGACAGAAGATATTGGCTGCATGCACACACCCAAATCCCCCAACAACCATTAAGTCACGTAGATTCTGAGTTGAAGCATTACTGAAAAGCAGTTGTTTCAGCTCGTACGCATGCAAGTGGGACCCTCCATAGCCCCTTTTGTTGCACGTACAAGGTGTTCATTTTACATACCTGAACTTCAACGACCACGGCCAGCACATCCGTGGGAAATGGGCACTCTCTTGTAGAGTTGAAGATGTTCCGTAGGGGCATTGTACATAAGCTGCACACATAGCCCAAAGCTTAAGGCTCTGGCCCACTCTGCCCCACTCAGAGTGAACGCCCGAAAGGGCACTGTCCGAAGCCGTATGAAAAGCGATGCTCTCTGAATGCGTGAATTCCGCAGTTGGCTTTTTTATTCTAAATACAATGTGCATGCCCCACTAATTACCTCCTTTTTGCATGGATTGACCCATCATCTTCTGCTGGCTTAATGTCTGAATCGGCTGAGAATGACAACTCATAGTTGTTGCTCAGCGTCGAGAAGCGCTTGTTAGCTACGTTGACCCTACCACGAGAGAAACAGTAAACCTGCGGCTCACAGCACAGGCGAACACTCGGGGATGCACCTCCAGGGCAAGTGCAACGGCAAATCAGCACGAAACTTGTAATGATTTTGACGACTTCTAAATCCGGAGAGACAGCTGCAATTCCTGCCTGACATTTCCTTTTTCAAGAGCTCCATGCCACTTCTCCGCGGCGTCTCCCCAAAACTTTGCTCGGATTAGGTCCCCCTAAAACGCATGAGCCCTTGAGACAATGATAGAGTTATGCGCATCTACGGCCAGAAAACGCATACATTCTGCTGGGACTGTGTATACACTGCTTACCGCGGAGTCTGTGATGTCAACATGGAAAAATCTGCTGTTGTTTTTTGTGGTCTGCAGCGGGCTTTTGTCAACAACTCGAGCCTTGATCTGCCACCGATGTACATAGGGGTTGAGGGAGCTGATGCTCAAGTACCTCCTGAGCGCGCAGAATGGGCAGAGAAACTGAGAGTATCAACCATGGGTAGGAGCAGGGATATTCAGCAGTAATGCTGATAATACTGCTGCATGATACCCTTACTCGCTGGGTCCACTGGAGGAGACAGCCGAGTCTAGCATTTTAGATGTGGGCTGTTGATGTATGGAGTTCTTCCAGATTAGGCTCTTTCTCTTGTGTACGTAAGAATGAGATATATCGGCTTCTGCAGAAACAGGAGCTTCTGGGGGGAAAACTGCCTAACAAGCAGAAACGAGCGGGTGGTGAAATGTACACGCACTCCGGCCGAAACACCGATGTTCCCGTGGTACAGAAGAAGCAAGCTGCCAACCATAAAAAAGAAGAATTAATCTTTAATGGAAGAAAGTCAAATATCCTCAGCAGGACACGGAGAGCCGCGGTAGATTCGTGGCCACTACCATGCCACCCAACCACCTCGGCTACAGAAGACAAAGCCTTCCCAGCAACAAGAGAAATATGTTGGCTCTAGCTCTATGCGTATGAACACTGGCATTAAGACCTTTTTAATTTATAAATGGGCCACTTCTGTCCTGCTATTTCTGGGGAAACGCTCCTTAGAGTGTGGTGCGGGGTAGACATCGGGGGCGATGGTGGGTGGTACTGGCCAATCGAAGGGCAGCACGCCAGACTAGCCCTTCCATCCCATAATAATTCACTGTCATAAAAAAGGAAATTGAGCGTTCAGATCTACGAAAAGAATCCTTGCAGGCTTCTTCAACGAATCCTACAGTTTCAACATGGTAGGGTCTGTGCCAAATCTTACGACTGAGGAATGAGCAAATTGAAGTGACTGGCATAGTTAATGTACATGTGATATTATTATGGAGGACTTCGAAAACTCTTTTGAATGCACACGCTGCTGCTGTATCCTCCTTTAAAACTTCAGTATACTTGTGTGCTTGCAGAAAGCTACTTTATGCCCGTTACACATGAGAAACTACATGCAGTTCAAGTTTGTAGATGCCCTGCTCAATGTCAATGTGCCGAACGCTTCAAAAATATGCATTGAGCACCTTAGCAAGTTACTATCTCAGGTCTATCTATGTTTCATCCGCGCTTACGGTGCGGACACTATTCAGAAAATGGGTATCAGCAAACCGTCAAGGGGGTGAGCAGTGAGCTGGGGAGTTTACACTGAGTGGCTCTACAAAACCGTAGACATTACAGTGCTCTTAAGGTGTCGAAACTACCGAAACAGCTCAGGCAAGCTGCAGGTCTCCAAGGGGTAAGTAACTGGTATCCCTAGTGAGCGGGTAACACCGCAACGGGTCAGGCGGCTGCAATATAGGGTTTCAGGGGCTCCACAATCTCGCGATGCACCAATTCCCGCCGTTCCATATCTCTCCCAACAGGCAGTAATGAGCAAATACTGAAAGCACACAGATGGCGAAAGATAAAATAAACAAGGAATCCACTGGAGATTTAAGGAATAGGCATATCGATTTGAAGCTCTACGGCGCCTTCAACAGTCAACAGAACTTGGAAGATTTTCGCGCATCAAACGTCACTGCAAAAGCGCGTCCTGTTTCACATTCTGCTTGATGCATCAAGAACCTTTGTCGTGTGCATCCTACCTACTCACCGCGCCTGGAGGTGGGCTGAAGACAGGGTTGGCCTCTTATGGTTCTGCTTCCAAAGCAGCAGTGTGTTCCACCAAGCGTCTTCATGTTCCAACAACACGAACGAAGAAGCCTTGTGCCCGTAGTTCGATTCATGGAGCACAGCTTACGAATCGTTTGCAGAGTCAGGGCCCCTGCATTCCTGTGTCCAGCTAATTTCTGTCTCAGGCATACTGTGGACAGACTTATTGTCATTGATTCACTGGAAAATTTTTGGTAGGAGCTTGTCACTCCGCCTAGCTCTAACTTACCAATTTCCTGCAAATCGCTAGGAATAAACACGATATAAGGATTCTTGCAAAAATTTAGGATAGGAACCAGCCAGTTTCCCACTCATTTGAGGCGATCTTCCTTCAGGGAAGCAGCCGTAGCAGTCGCGCAAGCTCAAAAGATTTTGGGTATAACTCAGAGTGAAGATTTTTAGTTATTGGGTCACTTGCACACAGGACAGAAGCCAGGCTATGTTCTCCCGCATCAGGTTTACGTTCTTCAAATAACACTTAACAAAAGGATGCACTCACCACGGATAACTGAATATATTTTCAGAAAGTTACTGTAGGAAGTGATTGCTAGCATCTAGGCTTTTTTGTAGCCTACTTTTCTAATTGAGGACTATTTACATCCCGGCTTTCCACCAAAAATTTTATCTTTAACACATATAAATATATTAAGAATATCTAGACATTGAAATGAACCATCATATTCCCCTCGTATGTAAAACGTACGGAAGATAGATCCTACGCCATGAGCAAGATAAAGAGCATGAACAAAGTTCATTTACTGCTTCATAGCAAATATCGACAGGCCACCTGTAGTTAACAAAAGAAATTGAGGACACTGCCGAGAAGATGCGGTGAAATAAGGCCACTTTGGGGACTGCGCCGATGCATCGGGTTCCAAAACAATATATACATTTGAAGCTACCACAAGATATGATAATTGTCTGCGTACAAGTGGGCCAGTGCCGTCAGCCCCAAGTCAAAAGGGACCACCAGAACGCATTGCGCACACTAAGGTAATTTCTCGAGCGCAGCCCTATACTGCGTCTAAAATTGTGGATATTTAAAATTTAAAAGATAAATGTGAATTGGGCTATTCGTGAGCCTGATTCTTTGCATTGGTACGAGGTGGTCTGCACCGACTGGGGCTTCTGACGGTATTGCGTGCTTAACGTGGTACTGCCAAACGCTCACTTATGCTGGGTCCTGAAATCCTTAAGCGATTGTTTACTAGCATCCTGAGATCTATAGGCTAATCGGAGACCAATTCAACGGCCTTGTCACCTAATGGGATACACAGAAATTGCAGCAACAGCTCATCGCAGTTGCTGCGCTTGCCTGTGAGCCATGGCTTTCCTCCTTTTTACTCCCCTTGTGGAGTAGTCTTGCCCCACAACATTATGTAATCCGGAGAGCTCGGTTTCCTTCTCCTTTGGCACTGGCCGCCCCACAGAGAGAACGCTGCGTATGCATCCGAAGACAAGATGCTCTTGTCTAGAAGCGCCGCGACAATCCGGAGCAGTGCCTGTGTGCGCCCACGATTTCCCTTTGCTTTAACTTACCCAAACGTACTACAACAGCCACAGCTGCGGCAGCAGCAGCATCTGCGAGCGTTCCAAAGCCCTTGGCAACAGATCGCTAGGGGGAACAGGGCTGTGCCCTGCAGCGTCCTCGATCAGATTAGCGGGTATGGTCAGAGGCTGCCCTGTGACCCATGTTCAATGCGACCTGGTACACACATTGCCCTAAGTGGTTCGTACCGTCACATCACATTTCACCCTCAGAGAAAAGTCGTTGGACACCGCCTCGTAAGTACACGTAAAGCCGATGTGGTAATTCCTTCCATGTCACCCAGCTCACACGGTTTCATGATCAAGGCACTTGGCGTTTCTGCTTCAACTTTTGCAATGCAGCCGCTCAGGACTGTAGCGTGATCAGTCTGATGGGGGCTTAGGCACCTCGTTCCCCTAGGTGCTCCACGGCATAAGAAGTGCTGTTGTATTCATCGCAGGAAATCATTGCGGGAAAACACAGAAGGCGCAGGCTTCTGCCACCGAAGGTCCCGCTGCACCCCTCCGCTGCAGCAGCAGCGGTAGCGGCAGAACGCGCAGCTCCCGGTGTGATAACTCCGGCTGCTCCCCAACAAGACCTTTCTTTGTTTGAAACCTACAAAGATTTACAGCTACGGTGGAAGCGAACAACGAGGTCTGTAAATGCAGCCGTGTACCGTAACGGAGCCATTAATTTTTGTTGCAGACCTTTCGTCTAAGTCCCTGTCATTCAGTGAGTTTTGGCCTAATGGTTGCTTTCTTGGATCAGGCAGTCTCGCAAGAAATTCAGTATCGCGAGAAAATGGAGACAGCATTTGGCATGCCGGCCGCAGCCCGAACCTAAGTGGCTCATTTTCCTCCACCCACAGATGGGCAAAGGGGCTACTGAAGGGCCTCGGGACCAGAAAATCGGCCGACGTCGGGCCGCCGTGCCGCATCAGCCAGATTCAGAACACCCTACACAGACGCATGAACAGGCAAGAGAACACAGTGACTTACAACGAGGAAATCAAATCGAAGACGGCCAAGAGGAAAAAGAGCAACAGCCTGTAGGGCAGCAACAGTTGATAGCTCCAGCAGGAAACATTGGAGCATTCCAGCGCTTCCAGGGGACTCACAGCGAGCGACCGTCTTTTCGCCTCTCGTACGACCCCAAGGAAATATTCTGTGTCTTCAAGAGCAGCGCTTCCGCGCAGCACAAGGCAAGACAAACTGCACAGCTGAACCAGTTGTGGAAGTGCAGCAGTGGTAGGGCGACCAAATGTGGGACCCCGCTACTCGAGCATATTCGTTTAATGCATAAACTTTTCCAGCAGCGCGTCCGGACAGTCGAACACTGGGCCCAAAAGAGATTTCTGAATTTCCTCTACAGGTGACAGTGGGAGATCTCGTGCAAACTGAGAAGCTGCATAGAAAACAGGCCGGTGCGTAAGACGACAATTCTGCCGAAATCCGGTGCATTGAGGCTACTGCCAGTGCTAGTTGCATACGTGCACCCCGCAAGGCTCGCGGCGATGCGATTTGTCGGTGGCTGCAGGCGACAAGGTTGTGTTTGGAACGGTTCTCATCGCCGGTACGCGCGAGTGGACTGTACTCGGCAAGCCCACGTACGCACTTAGCCCCTTGCGCTGCACTAAGTATGAATAGGCATTTGCATGCGACAGCAATTCCACACGACTGGGCACCACAGACAGCGTTGAACTCTCGTAGAGCCCTCCAAGAGGGCTGCAAAAGTTGCAAGATGCGCGCAATGCAGGTTGTGTTCGGGTTGATGCTACTGGGTTCTATTCAACAAAGTGTCCGTGGTGCTGCAGGGTTCCGTTTGCGCGCGTGAAGGGGGTTATCGAGCAACAGGTTTGTTAATGCGCTTTCGCGGTTTACACACACGGACTGTTTGGCTGCGGGTAACCGACAGGCGAAGACACAGAACTGTTGTTTGTTGGGTTCAGACTCTATGTGGGGAGACCCTAAGTTTCCGGTACAAGAAAACGAGGAGGTCCTCTCGCTTTCTCAGGCAAGCCGAGCCCTACTGGGCGGGAACTCGGGAAATAGCACGAAATCACTGTTAGGATCGGATAGCGCACAATGGCCACTACTTAGTACCGATAATTTGCAGTGGGCAGTCAGCAAGGCTCCGATGCTGGTAGCTTCGTGTTTCCAACAAACGAACCACCTCAGTTGCGTTCTTAGATTAATATCAGGCCTTCTGAAGCAGACGAATGGCAGCATGCAAATTTGCAGAAGAAACCCCCCTTTTGTGGTAACTGTAGTTACTTTCTCTATGTACAGTTGTATCTGCGTGATCAGGATTCGCCACTGGGTGACTATGATCAGAATAGAGGAGATCGAAGTCGATGTGCAAATGAAGGTCGGCCCTTGACTCCCCCCACCGGCCCTCTTCTCCCTCATATCTTCTACCTAAACTTATGTAGTTATACTGTGGGCCAACAGTTGTCCTGCCCTCAGCCAAAGTGTCTCAGTGCTGGAAAGCGGTGGTGAACTAGCCGATTTTACGTAATGCCTGTATGTCTGCGCTGTGCACCTGCCGCAGGAAGACCCCCCAATTCAACGTCCCAAAAGTTTGTTGGATCTTTGGGCCAACCGCTGGCTCTACCCTGAGGAACTAGAGGGTACGGAAAAGGTCAAATAGACAGAAACAGGCCCTGCAGAAGTTGCCGACAGCCGTGGCCCTAACTGGTGATAATTCCCCACAAGAAAGCATCATGTGCCTTTGAGTCTTTTCGGTGATGCAGGCATTAAAACTGACGCCAATGGAAGACCTCTAGTAGAGGGTGAGAAAACTTATTGTTCTTTCATCAACAGCTGTAGCTGCAGAAGCCACAGAACCAGGCCACAGAAGAAGGGGATACGTGCGTGTTTGCGGCGCTGCGTTCAGCTATTTACAATGGCGAAGAGCACCAGCAGGGCACATATCACCGAAGAGGCTTGGCAGCTTGCTACAGGTTTGTTTTTTGTTCCCGCTGGTGCTGCTACTGCTACGGTCGCTACTGCAGGCAGTATAGCGGCCACTCATTAGGAATATATCTGGAATGTATCTGTCGTGGACCTGACGTAATTTGCTTACAGGTGGTTGCCCGACCCAAAAGCAACGCACTGGAAACGCTGAACCTCCTCTTTCAAGTAGTTGACTTGAATGTGCAACTCTGAGTTAGCCAGTTTGCGAAACGAGACCGTTAGCAAATAAAAACATGTGAGATATGCAATGAATAGCAAAAGCACGCAGAGAGGATAGGCCAAACGACACATTCTTCTACGTTTGCTGCCGCCCGTATCTCTGACTGTTTCCCTCTCCTGCTACGCGTCAAGGCCGACGAACGGCTGGAGAAGCTCCATGATAGCCGCAAAGGCTCCAAAGCCTATGCTGCCAACAGCCATTGCCCGGGGGCCTCCTAAAAAACCGCAGCAAAAAGCGAGCCCCGGTATCTCAGTATGATTCGCTGTACAGTAGGCGACAAATATTCAATCCCGCCGTTGCCAGTTCAATGAAGAAGTTATATTCACATTATAGAAATAGGGGGGCAATAAAGACTAAGTGAAACACCGGTCACCTGTTTAGCAACATCTCAGGCAATAGTACTTCCACAGGGAGCAAAAGCTGCCAATGTAGACTAAATTCTCTTGGAAAAGTGTCGCAAGAGAGGCAACAGGCATACAAATGCCCGCGGCAAGATGGAAGACCGGGCAAGAAACACGCGACATATACGCAGGTCATTTAGTGGCTGGAGCCTTCAACATGAGCGAACCCCGGGGGAACACAAAAATCCAAGGAGTTTCAATATTTACCTTTGATTGCTAAGATAGCGCCTGTCAAGCAACCTCCGTAAACGGCTCCCCGAAGGTCGTGCGTTGCTCGTGCCTGGGAAAAAAATATAAGGGGAAGATGGAGCCTAGAGAAATCTCATGGAGGAGGAGCACTGCCCGCACTGCGACGAGATAACAAACTGGATGGAGGAGGAGAGAGAATGTATATTTGCAGGGAAGGCATTCAAGCGGGATGAATATCCTGCGATAGGGTTCTACGGTGGGAGCGACTGCGGCCAACTCAGCGGTATTCCTTCAGACACACGAAGATAAACTCAAAAGACCGCAGCCGGTCCTTGTGACTGGGGGGTTCAGGTGTACCGCACCCTATCAATGATGCATTCCGAAAAGGAATATAAGCCTCCGATCTTTGCGAAGTTTTTTGCGGTAGATGCCACTTCGGGCACAAATGTTTTGTACTGTTCCCTCAGCTGGGCCCTGAGCCCCAATGTGGTATTCACATCAACGGGCTTCATTGTGAAGAGAAATGCACCCAAGAGAATCCCTGCAACGAAGCTCACACAAGGATTTGACTTGTGGCCACTAGATGCGCGTCAGGACATGCGGAGGACTGGACAGGTGGTGTAGCCGTTTCAGAAAGCACTGCAACAAAAACTGGGCCACACTAATAGGATATGGAAAATAAGCTGAGAGTGCTAAGTCTGCCACGCTGATTTTTTCGTACTTCTCTAGCGTACTAAGCTGGTGCTGTTCAATGGATTTTCCTCGCAAGCTGGACAAGGGACGAACACAGCTCGATGATGTGACTAAGTAAGCAACCCACCCACGAGGCCACCTCCTACCCCCATTGTGGCTGCTCTGACGAGACAGCCATCGTTAAAGAAGCTCTCAACCGCTCTCTGGGCTCTGAGCTGCTGGATGATCTCTGCGCGTTCCCTGCTGTCCTCTTCCCCCTTCATCTCAAAAAGAGATAAGTTACGATATTGCGGGGAAAGAAATACGGACATAGGGTGGCTGTACATTGTATTTGACAGGAAGCCGCCGCCAGATGAAGTGGAATTCGTGCCAAGGGACCCAAGGTGATCATTGCTCCCTCCCGATGTCTCCGGCATCAGCAGTGGTTTCCTTTTCTGTTGGATAAAACACTCGTTTGTCCACCCACACCTTGGTAGTCAATCTTCTTCTGAAACGAAAGTAGAGTAATGCCAAGGCATAGAGGCACCAAGGGCCCTTGGGCCAGACGCAGCAGATTGTGCTCTAACGGGAAAATGGCCCGTATGGCAGTACCATGTTACACTTACGCTGTAAAAAATAATTGCTTAATTTCTATAGAGCGTCACAGCTTTGCGTGGCTGAAGACCGCATGCTAACCCTTCAGAGCAGCTGCTGTTCAGTCCCTAGGGGGGCCCCAGGGACTCATTCTGGACGAAGACTTCTGTGGAACCGCAGCTCCATCTATTCGCCAGTACATTATCACGTGAAGTCTTTTCTGAGGCGCTATTATGCTCTGCATAAAGTGTGCATAATTGTACCTGCGGCTGCGAAGTGCAGGCAATGTACAAGGAACTGCAGTATCTACAGGCATAGCAGGAGAACCAAGAACGACGCAATCGAAAGGTGCGGCGGACCGCAGTTAGGAATAAATACTAGCCTGAAGCAATGTGGAATGTAGTCGGCCCACTAACAAACAATTGAATGTGGCACTTGTCGATGGCCGACAGCACAACAACCACAGCCCCAGATGCTGTTCCTGAAGTTGATCACTCCCTTAGCTGGTGGCAGGAGCGGCAGCTGCCTTTGTTGGCAGCTACGGAGAACTCAGGTGTTGTCCTGGTAGTCGGTGGCTCTGACGGCTCGGCTGCGCTTCGCTGCTCCGTCATCCTACCGCTCCTCCTCTTGCAGCACGACTGGGCTCCTCAGCGAGTACACCGGCACCAGCCTCAGACACATATATTAGTTGCCCTGGAGACAAGAACTGCATCAGACTCAGCCGCAGCGGCTGCCAGGGAATGGGGTGGAGGGCGTTATGCATCATGTATTAGCACACATAAAAGCATCGTCAGCAGCAGTACCCAAAACAGCAGCTCACCTCCCCGCCTCGTGTATCTTACAACTAGGCAATTGCTGCAGCGGATCCTACAACAGCCGTTGCTATCGAATTGCTGCGTTGTTGCGCTCGAAGTGTCCTTACAGCACGGCTTCAGCACCGAACTACTTCTTCCACTACTGCGCAAAGTGAGACGAAAGAAACCTGCGCTGAGGGTGCTGCTATTGCTACCTCCTGCAGCAGTACAGCCGCAGTGGACCCTGCAGCTGGCCCAATTTTTCGCCTCTAACGAAGATGCAGCAAGACCAGATGCTGCAATTATTCCGTACAGCTCGGTAAAGGCCCTTGAGGCTGCAGCGCAACAACAGCAGGAGTTCCAACTACGCTTCTTCACACCGAAAAGCAGCCGATGGGATGTTAAGCAAAAAGAGCCGAAGGCGAGACCTCAGCAGCAACAGAAGCGGGAGCTCTCAATATCGAGTTCAGACTCTGGGGAGCAAGCAGCAGCAGTACCCTTTACACAGGCTTCAGGCAATGCCGAGTCTTTGGAATGCAGCAGCAGAAACAGTAGGACAAGAAGCAGCAGTGTTTCTTGCGTCTCGTCAGATGAAGTGGTGGTCTTGGGAGTCACCGCAGGGCAGCCACGCACCCCTCGTGGGAGACCCGCGAAACGGAAGAAGGCCAAAAGCAAAGACAAGAAACTGCAACAGCGTTTGCGGAAAATCCAGAAAAAGCTTAAGAAGATGAATAGCAGCAGCAACGGCGCCAAGAGCAGCAGGAGCAGTGCAAATGTCAACATCAGTGGGTTTTCACCAGAACAAGCAGCTTGTATCGAGCGAACAGACACGCAGGCCGACGCAGAGCCGCCTAAGCGTTTCCTATATAGTACCTCGCACGCGACAGAACCACTTTTCGGCAGGAACAGCGACAGTGAAGCATCATCAGCAGCAACAGCAAGATCCGCTACAGAGCTGGAAACACAAGGAGGAACAGCATCTGCGCCTCCACGAGAAGAGCCACCAAAATCTCACGAGGGTTTAAGCGGCACTAGAGCAGAGAGCCCGCCGTTGACTGCCAGCCTTCATGAGGAGTCCTTCATCTCTAAAGGAAATCTTTCTTCAGTTTCAATAATATCTGTTGCGCTACCAACAAAACGCGTAGCTGTTCGCTATCTTAAGAATGCCACTCCCAACTTCGTTGGAGCTGCTGCTGCTGTAGGTGAGCAGCAGCCACCTGTACAGCCATATGCTTCTTCTACTACCTTTAAGTTCTTTCTCTGTGGTCGATAATATCTGGCTTTTCGTCCTCTTGTGGTACGGACAACAGTGTGCCCTCTGTTTTCTTCAAGAATCGCAAGCGCAGCAAGCCAATGATATGCTTTCCTGTGGTTTTACCTACTGTGCATGATTTTTGCTGCAGTCTCATTGCTAGTGACTGCTTCTCCAGAGGCACAAGGAGGGGCTTCGCATCCTGGCTCAATATTTGTGTTCGTACCGTCTCAAGAGGATGTCACTGCACTTGCAGAAAGGCTTCAGCACTGCTTACAGGAGGTGTTGAAACAACCACAGCAACGGGGACAGCAACAACCGAATCTGCAGAATCCACCGGTGGAGGTCGTTTGTTTGGCTCCAGGTATGCCCAAATGTTCTTTCGAGGCGGATTCTGCGTTTGCAGTCGTTCAGTGTGTACTCTTACGTGGGCCAAGAGCTTTCACTCTTTGCGTCTTTATCTCCCCTCATTATTTTGCCCCCTGTCTTATCGTCCACAGGTCTTCTGTGTATTAAAACGGATGTAGGAATATTTTCAATATATTTCGTCTTTTGTACATTGGTGCGTATGTGGGTATTTATGCTTTCCACAGATTTAAGCCCCTCCCTGCCGCCTCCCTCCTCCGCCCTCCGCATTTTCATATCCCCTTCTGTTTTCCCTCCTTGTGTGTCGCCCGCCGTTATGCCCATTAGATTTGTCGTAGATTGCATGTACACTCGAAGATCCGTCTTCGATCCATTTCTTCGTCTGCATCGATTCTGCAATGTTCCCATCAGTGGGGCGCTTGCGGACCTGCGGGCATCCTTAGCAGGACGATATGCGGACGGAGGCTGCTGTTACCGTCTCTGCACTGCGAGTGCATTCGCAGTTACTTGTGCGCGAGGTGCTGCCGCATTTGCTGCTGCCGCTACAACTAGTCACAGGGAGGCCTATGGAGAGTTACCAGCGTCGGCCCTGGAAGACATTGCTCCGCTGCTACTACAGCTCAAGGCGTTGGGTATACATTCTCTGCACCGGCTGCCGTTGCTGCAACCACCACCCGCTGCTGCTGTTGCTGCTGCTGGTGAACACCTACTGCAGCTTCAGGCGGTAGATGACGGGGGCCGTATAACTAAGCCACTCGGGTGCATGATTGCACAGGGCTTACTTTCCCCGGAGCTGACTCGCCTTCTCGTTATCTCTACGGAGCAGGTGCGGCTCCGTCCTGTCAGTGTATTCACAGCTAGGTCCTTCAACAACAACGCGAGCAGCGGCTTGGCGTAAGAAGCCAGCATCACCACTTCCTACTGTTGTTTTTTTTCAGGCGTTTGGATGTTCCGTAGAAGCAGCAGCGCTCTGTGCTCTTCTCGGCGGGCCTCCTGTGTGGCAGCGCCCTGCTTTAGAGAATTGTGGCATGTCTCTAAAGGACCCTCTGATTGGAGGAAACCGTCGGAATGCATCTGCAGCACGACAGCGGCTTGCGCTGTGTCGCGCGCTGCTTGGAAGCATCGAGGGAGACGCAGTGACGGCCTTGAATGTCTTTAACCAGTACTACGATATAAAAAGCGAACAGGGAGCTGAAGAAGCCTCCAGATGGGCGGAGAAGCACCTTGTTGATGAGCAAGTGATGTGGCGTGCATCAAAGATGCGAAGGGTGATGCTGAATTGGATGCAAAAATCCGGGCTGCCTTTAGTGAGTATCCTGCCGTTCAATTGAAGCGGCCCATTCTTGTTCCAGTAGTCATAGTCCAAAGAATGCAGAATTGGTGCTGCTTAGCATTCATAGGCGCTACGTGGTGAGTCAGGGCACCACCAGTTGAAGCTGAAACTGCTTTCATGGAAAGTATGCGTAGTGCGGTCTAACGCGCTTGTTCAGTTGCACGGTGGTGTGTGGTGCTTGCAGGTGACTTGCAAAGGGGACTGCAAGCCGCTCCTTCGTGCACTGGCGGCAGCATTTTGCCTAAATGTGGCAGAGAAAACACACGACCAGATATACAGGCTGTTCAGACTGTAAGGGTATACATAGTTTATGTAAAACTTGGACATGACTGTCCGCGCTCTTACCCTTCTCTAGCAATACCCTTATTGAACAATCGCATGGCGCGCAGGTGCTCGAGATGTGTGCCCATGATAAAACGTCCATGCTGGCGAGTTGCAAAGAGCGCATGAGGCGTGTAAGCATGCACAGCGTTCAGCGCTCTGTGCGTGCGGCACTCTTCAGCCCTAGGTCAGCAAGCTCGCCTCCGTTCGTCATACACCCCTCCTCTGTGTTATCGAACTGCGCTCCTCCATTTGTTGTATATGGGCAGGTGAGCCTCACAGTGTTTCCGTAGAAAGACATTTCCTTATTGCAAATTCCAACGTAGGAAAACGGCGTTTCCGTGACGCAGCTAATCCTCTTTCTCCTGCGAGTCGGTTCCTTAGGCTTTCATGCGGGATGGCTGCGTTTACATGCAGCAAGTAACAGCAATCGATCCACAGTGAGCCTTGCGACACTCCTTTTACTTAATGATGCATTTTAGTGGTAGTTTCTTGTGTGCGCAGCTTTGCCTGTTGTGGGTTTCCGGGGCGATCTAGTGCCTGGGTACTCATAAACGTATCTTCGAATTTCTATATGGAAGGCTTGTCGTTTTGTGTCTTGGATGTTGCAGATGGCTGCCTGAAGTTGCTCCTCATCTTTTCACAACGAACTCTGCAGAATTCCTCACATAGTCGTATCAGAGAGCAGTAATATATTTGCATTGAGTATTTGTGGATTTATTTCCTCACGAGCAATTCCTTATTTCAGCCGGATTCACGCTTTCCCCATAAACTCCTCGTGCCGGGCCATGTCTCGCACAACTGCGATGGAAACTTGCCGTTATTAAACTTTTTCAGTATTCTGCATATGACCTTTAAGACTATTGAATGTGACTTCCGTAGACACATTGCAGGGTGGAAGGAAGCAAGGTGCCCATCACTTGCGGCTACCCGCGAGTATACGTAGCTCAGATACACTGAATGTCCAACTAGTAGCAATTCGCTGAGTCAAAATGCACTACTGAAATAGTAGTTGCAATTTTCATTGATTTGCGTGGTCACTGAGAGGCTAGCTAGCTGCCACCTGGTGAAGTGAAGCAATGCCTGTGAAGGACTACGTGTGGCTTTAGCATTGCTGTGATTCACAGCCGGCGGTTGTCACTTGATATGTATTAGATTGTTGTGCAGCATATACCGGTGTCTGCTTGCCGCGCACCCTGGGCCACAAGAGTTATTCGAGGACACTACGGCCCCTGAGTGGCACAGTGCATTTACAGCAGAGCCTCAGGAAACGAGCACGAGAACACAGAAGAAAGATGGGTGATTAACCATAAGTTTGCAAATGTGCTTACGTGCTTAGACAAGAGTGGCTGGACGGACATAGTTTTCTGTTGGCAGGGATTTCAGCACATCGAGCATGACGGCGTGACTGTGCGCACACATTGCTGCTACCGGTGACAGGAGTCTACTCTAAGACTTCAGCATGCCTTTAAGGACATATTAATGTTAATATAATTGAAGCAACTCAAAGTACTTTAATAGATTCCGCAGTGAAGAGCCCGTACGCCGCACGAAGCTGTACTTCGCGTACAGCAGTCTCTACAGAGTTGATCTAGAGTCGGCAGCAGATTCCGCAGTGGAAGAGCTCACTGCAAGTGGTCACTGTAAGCTAATATTACCTTAAGTAGAATATTAAAGCAGTAAAGGTTTTTCAATTTAGTGTACGCTATTGTGCTGCTGGTCCGCTGAGCCCACAGACATTTTCTCCAGTTGCTAGCGATTGTGCTATCAGAGACCACCGATTCCCTTGAGCTCGCTGCATTATTTTGCAGGAGTTCTTACAAAATCAGACTCAAAAAAATTCTGCTAAATTCGAATTGTTCATGCCCTATTTTTGATATCTTCTTTAGAACTTATCTCATGTTGCAGGGGTAGAGGCTCTAGAGGCTGAGGTGACCGCCAACCCGTAAAGAGAAGACAACAGAGGTCAGGCAGCTGTCAGCGGAAGCTGTTATCAGAGCTTCTTGGATAATTCTGTGCACGAATACGTGCTGGGCTTGCATGTATCACTGGAGTTTATCGTCTTTCACGCATTTTCACCGCTGAAGCTACAATGGACTCTGCAGATGGCGTTGCGTGGCAAGTGTTCCCCAGAATAGCCTATGAGCTTACAACAGGAATACGGTGCTCCGAGCTACCATGTAAGGTAGAACTTTACGCGCTTGTACCGGAGGAGGTACGGCTAGGGACCACTGGACCCATGAGTTCTTTCCTAGAAGACAAGAGCTATTCATTGTGGAGGTGGTTCTACAACTGCGCCGCCAAAAATATTCTGACCCGCAGAAAAGAGAAACCTCTGTCGCTCAGAATTTGCGCTTCCCCTACATCCTCGACAGAAGTCCCCAAGTACTCAGGAATGGCAACGTGTTGCTCGATGCACCACATAAACCACGTACAGGGGTCGCTGGAACTCAGTCAGAACACATGTGAGATTGAGCTTGAGGCATCATACGCCTTCCGGGAGTGGCTTGTTCGAGAGACAGGCCATTCAGACTTTCAAGCAGACTGCCTCGAGCGAGAGGCAAAAGTTGCCGACAAGTATATACAAGCGATTCAAGAAAGGCTCAAGAAAGTAAAGATGGCTCGTTCCGTTTACAGCATGGACCGACAGGATTTCTCTGCGTTTATCCCTGAAGATGCTATCGCGTCTAGTGTTATAACCCGCGTGGAAAGTGAACTGCAGGCGTTGGACATTCAGGAACTGCTGACGCCTTATCCCGTTACGCCACCTCTCGCAACGGAAGATGCAGAACCTCAAGCAGAAGAACAAGCAGCAAGCCGGCCCTCACACAGCGAGCGCGAGCTGGAAAAAGTGCATCCCGAAAGAATCGAATTTTTAACTTTCATATTCGAGTCATGCCTGTTTGCGGCGAATCGCGAAGCTTGCAAACTTGATAGTAACAATGTCCCAAAGGAGGGGATTCCAAGTTGGCACACACCTCCCATAAGTCGCCCTGAAGCGGTTGACAAACCACGACACAACTTGTCTCTGTTCCTCAGTTTCTGTGGACTTGTCCATCCTCTGCAAAAGGGCACGGTAATGCCAGATTGCCTCAGAAGGAGAGAAGTGCGTCGAAGCCGTCAAGCACCCAGAGAGAAGAGAGAGACTGAAGTGAAAGACGAACTAAGGAAAGCGAGAGCACAGGAAAAATCGAAATTGAAAGAACCCTCCAACGTCTCCCCCGAAGTGGAAAATTAGCTAACAAGTACTCCAACGAATGTAGAGATTTTAAGATAGAACGCAACCACCGCCATCAGTCCCCATATGGAGGATTGCCTTGAGGAGCAAAGAAAACCACTCCTGAGATAACTGGGCAGCAGCAGCACGCCCAAAAACGGAGGGAATTCTTTTGCTCACTGATGCAGTGCACTTGAAGGCGTTCTACACTGCTCGACTGAGTCGAGGCCATCGTGGTCCGAGTTTCTCAGTCTCTTTTGTAGCACATGCAATTTTTAACGTTTTCGAATAAATTACATAAAATTCCAAACTGAGTGAAAAATGCAGCATGTGAAGCTGACTAGTCTTAGTCTTGTGAAATTGATGCAAAGCAGCAAGTTACTATCTATTTCCAACTTAAGACTACAACAATGCTAAAGAAATCGAAATGAGAAAACCATCAGTGTTAGGTCACGACCAAAGCTACGCCGTAGTAGTGAAGGCGTCCGTCTTTTAAGCATATACCATACAGCAGCGTAGTCTGTACTAGCCACCTTTCACGCAGAACGTAAATGCTGCAGCAGCGTACGGTTCTCGCGCACGGAGCCTCCCTAGGAAGCTGATCTGCTAATTTCAGCCTCCACTGTGCAAACGCTAGCTTAGGGACGTACTGGCACTATTATCCACTTCCAAATGACTCGTTGGTATCTAAATACAACTTCCGAATGCGTGCAAACAGGAAGCACGGACAGAAGTATGCGCTGTTTGTCACGCAACGCTCGAGGAATCTGAGCTACTGCGCATGATAACTCCAGCTGGTGTAGCTGGCGTGACTTCAATCTGCAGAGATAAACACAAAAGTACTTGCAGCATTGGCCTATCAGGACCTGCGAGCTATACGAGCTGTTTACGCAATCACCTAAATTTGCAACCCCTGGAGCCTCAACGGCATTACAGGTACCACGGTACCACCTGCCCGTTTGAATCGAGTTCTAAGCATTTCTGCTGGACAGTGAACCCGTCTACCTTGTATCGGACACGTCGAGAAGAAATCAATCCCCATGAATTGTCAAATGAGAGGATTAAGGTGCCCTCCTGTTCCGCCGTGACGACACCACTAACTCGCCTATAGCGCACAAGCCTTGAATGAAAATGCAATTGAGTAGAAGCTGGTGTCCTGCATTCCTTGCAGGTTTTCTATCAAACTCACGCGTTTATCATGCACAATACCTATATGCATCATACAGGGCTGGTGGTGAAACTCGGTATACAGGCTCACTTGCGAGCAGGGTACTTGCGGTGCTCCTCGAGAATGCTCTCACTCCCTGACTGTACGGCGCAGATTCACAAAATCTGAGCTACTGTAATTCAGCATGCAGGGTCAGGCCAGATGGTTGCTAGCAGTGCATGTATCGCTTATCTATTGACTCACCTGAGACCTCCAAATTGCGCTGAATCCCACATCAAAGTCTTCAGCTACCCATACCCACTCAACTACAGATTTTTGGGGCACCTGCAAGAATCATGAGGCGCAGCAAAAAAATTAAATAATTCCTCTCCCCGGTGTTGCGGATTGCACATAGGGGGGGCATATCATGCGGTCTGTGTCCTGCACGCCCTGGCATTATGGTCTGCTGCCATCAAACTTTGACTGCGTCTCGAGTAAAACTTCCGTATGTTGAACGCACAAGCTCCATAGCTTGGTTACATCGCCTCGCCCCCACATTCAGTATCATGCTTCCTGGACCTAAATCTGTGTCTCTGCAGCAGCAGGACATAACAACGGTCACAATAAGCCTCTGTTTGTGCCAACAGATTCAGTGTACTTGTGGATGATGACAATGAAGGATTCTCAGTTTTGGACTCTTGATTTCGCACGTCCATCTAAGAGAGGCCCAGGAGCGCATATGGCCTTACAGTGGAGGAAAGTCAGCCATTGCAGAGGTGCAAGTGCCACCCAAAGAGGGGGGAAGAGCATAACCTCCAACGTTCCGAACCAAGACACTTTCCGCGTCGCTGCCTGTAGATAACACACAACAACACAGCTGCATTCTAGGCAGCTGAAATGTAACACTTTGGAAGCAGTGATTTGCATTCCAAGGAAGCCTAGCAGTTCGGGCTATGACTGACTCAAGAGTTTGATCTTGTTGATGGTTCTCTCTCTTAGCCACCCGCGAATAGCCGACCAAAGAGTTGAAAAGGTCCGTGGTGCATTGATGAAATACATAGTACCGATGGATTCCGGGTAGTTCTCACTCGCCGAGCTAATTGTCTTTCTAAGCAAACTGAAGAAACCAACATAAACGGAGGGATTTGTTAGCATATGTCCCCACAGAGAAAAGCGTAAGTGCAAATTTACGTTTTACCGCAAACTACGTCTAGGCGGAGCCTGCTGCAACGCTACTATCAAGCTTCGCACTTCAGGGCTCGCCGATTCAAAATCCGGGTGGAGAGCCCCTGCAAATCGATTATTGAAGTTATTCGAACCATTCTGTTGAACTTACGAGACAGCCTGAAGCAAGATAACAAGCGAAGACACCGTCCATCAAAATCAACAGAAGCGTACGTAAGTAACACCTCAGCTACACAAATTAACACCATGAGTCATGCAAAATGATGGAACAAGTGGTCAACGCCAATGCAGATAATAGGTCACCCTTTATTCGAATGTCACACGAGACGCACACATCAAGCAGCATGCAGCGAAACTCCAAAATTGAAGCATGCCACCGTAGGAAATCGTTCTCCGAGACCACCGAGAATAGGCCACTTACGTCTAATAGCCCTGCACACAAACACAGTGAGTACGCCCGAGTTATACTCCAAGTCTTGTAAAGAAAGGGGGCACAATGTGCTGGGGTTGCTCCTGCGGGTTTGTCACCCTTAGCCTTCATTTAGGAAAGTCAAGCTCGCAATATGGATGCAACCTTCCTAGCTACGTGCCTATATACGACCCCCACCCAGCACCTAAGTGAGCATTTCATATTCTTGAACACGGCAAGGTCTCTTAAGAACTTTAACTTTGGCTTGATAAAACAGGAAAGCAATCGTTCCAACCTGGCCGCTCTATGGAAATTATGTTCCCTTGCTTATCTAGGATCACTGAGTCTAACGCCTTGTCGCTGAGGGCTACAAGCAAACTGTTTCCTCCCCCTAGCGCACTAGCTGCAGCCGCTGCTGCAGCGCAGATTGTGAGACCGGGGCTTTTGCCTTCGTCACGGCGTAACACAGGATTTGTGGGGAAAAACCTAGTGACGGCCGCATGATTTGGGGAGGCTTCAGGCCTCATAGGCAACAACATCGACTCCTGCAAATGCATCAGCAAGCCAAAAACAGCATGAACACCAGTGTTTGCACCCGCAGTGGCAATGAAGCGCGAATACGACGCTGCCTATGGGTGGCAAAGATGGCCGAGGGTTCAGAGCTGGCACGGTGGAGAGGTTGGAAACTACATACCACAACTGTCCTCCTGTTTTTGGAGGTAAGATTCATTTCTTCCCTCCATTTCATGTGGCGTCGATAGGCATTGCTGGCAGCTGTGACATCATAATCGAAGCCTTGAAAGTAACGCAGGAGCCGAGTGCTACCCGCTAACTCGGGCACCTCAGGATATGCATCTTCGGAACCTGGCATTTCCGGTGTTGCAGTAGGTACTGCACAGCTGTCTTCTGCAGGTCTCGGTATCTGCTCCGGGACTGTTGCGGCCGCACGTGTCTCCCTGCCTTTCATAGGCCTGCTGAGGGTTCGGCTGAGGAAGGTAGATTTGGCTTCGGCTGATGCAGACGAGTCGGTTTCTCCATCTATGACGGTGCTCTCAGTCTGAATTTTCCTGCAGAACTCACTTCTGGTCACCCTAGCATTCTCCGTGAAAGCCTTGAAAGCCTCTAGCTGCTTCGCCGAAGGATTCGCAGCCAGGAAGAACTCAGGTGGTCCTTCAACCAGCCGAAAATCATTTGTGCTCGGTGCACTGCACATATGGCTCGTCAGGACTTCCGGTTCTCCAAATTTTGAGCTTTCACAGGGGTAATGGAGCTCTGGCTGCTCCAGAGGATCTAACTGCTGCACAACATGCATTTTCTCTCCCGCCTGCATCTTGCCCAGCTGAAGGCTTGAAAAGTACTGATAGTTCCAACCTTAAAGGCTTGACACCCACCCAGCAGCTAACTCAACGGACGCGAGCCAAGACAACGGCTTTAATAGCCTTTGCAGCAAGACACGACGGGGCCCACAACGGGGACGAGAGCCGCCAGCTTCAAGGCAAGTTGCGGCAAAGGACAAACATAGATTGACGATATGATTAGTTCCGGATTCATGGTTCACCTGCGCACTGTCAAATTAAGCGTATTAAAATAAAGTCAAAGCGGCTGCTGGTTGGACTCGCGTCCCTGTACACTTTGCTGCGTTATCTCGAACGGCTACCGGCTTGGTGCCGAAAATATTGTGAAAAGCCTCCTAGAAATAGAAACAGGTCGTGGCATTTCACCTCTATACAATTTCATTCAAGAAGAAGAACAGCCACGGCTTCAACCTCAACGAGGGGGGAACAGTTGCGTCGTTGCAGCCTGCTCTGTCTCTTATCCAGAGACTGGCTTTAACAACTTGTAGACAGGCTCGTAAGAGGCTTTGCAGTAGTGCAGAAAGGACCTCTGTCACAGGTACTGAGCAGCCCTACTGCCGTGAACTGCACAGCTACTCGAGCCGCAGCCCTAAACAGATCGTGGAAAATAAATATTGGAGCTTCTTCTTGGGAAAAAAGCTCACAGTTTTAATCAAATGTGCTCATTATTAGTTCCGAATTTAAGCTGCCAGATTCAGCTTGCCAAAGTGAGCTTTACTAGCAAAAAACGCACGACGTAGTCAGTCGTATGCAGAAGCATGCAACCGTGGGTTCCTCTCATACGAAGTACTTCTGTGAGAAAAATTGCGCCCCATCGGCAAATATTACAATGAACAGAAAACTTCGATTCTGCGTTGCTAATTCTGCTGAAGACAGCAGCACCTGCGCAAGTTTCTGCTTTAAACCCCTTGTTCATTCCACCCGACAACGCTGCGTCGTTCGCAAAGCTGAGAGATTAGGGAACCCTCACTGACTGGCATCTAATGCGGTTAATCAGAAAGTTGTTGCCTTGAAAAGTTAAGCTGGATCTGGCGCAAAATCGTGGAGGTTTGTGGATGATTAGGAAAGCGCTCGAAAGAGGAGCAGGCAAACTGGACGAAGTGAAATACTGGGAATTGAATGACTTTGATGAGAAGCCTTCCAGAGTGCTGTCAATCGCTGGACGCGATTGACACATGGCAAAACAAATCCCAGTCACCGAAGGCTTGACAGGCCTTAAGCCTCAGCAGCTGTATTCAGCACGTGCTGGTTTTTATTTTTGACTGCTAGCTTACATTACTCGTGCAGCATGTGAGTAAGAAATAGGGTTGGAACACCTACGCAAAGGCACAACGCGACGGGTTAACGCTCGCCCGGCTATGGCCTATCAGTCTCCCGCTTTTCGTATGCTTGTAGTACGCTACTAGAGACGTAGCATAAGGCGCAGACACTATGTAGCCAGCTATGTGGTCGTGATCGCTGTTGTACAGCCTGTTGGAGTCTTTTGCGAACGCATTTCACTCAGTAGCCTAAGCTGATACGTTAGATCCAAAAAAACGTGTGGAAAGGAAAGCCAGTTTAGCTAACAGTTGCTGCGTGCCAAGAATAGGGGGCGCTGAGTCCTCGAGTCAACGGGAAACCTGTAACCGCGAATCTTGTGAGCGACGCAGCGTGCATCCCGTTGCTGTTGATACAGGCACCTCTGAATTCGGCGCTCTCATTGAGCTACTCAGTATCTCAAGTTCCACGTAGCCTCGATGCCTCAGGCAGCCGTAGGGAGAGCGGAGTGGTTCGTTGCTTTCCATGCTGCGCTCTGCAACGTGCCAACTCGTTTTAACCGACTTTTTGTGACACAGGCACCTCTGAATTCGCCGCTCTCATTGAGCTACTCAGTATCTCAAGTTCCACGTAGCCTCGATGCCTCAGGCAGCCGTAGGGAGAGCGGACTGGTTCGTTGCTTTCCATGCTGCGCTCTGCAACGTGCCAACTCGTTTTAACCGACTTTTTGTGACAAGCGTTTCATTTTCCTGCTATGTGTTTTCCTGCCTGCCTGCTTATTCGCTTCCCAGGTGGAAGCTTCATTGCCCTTTTTAGATGTCAGTGAGATATTGCTAGTCTGCAGTAAATATCCACGGATTCATGTAAGCTCCAGCGTACATTGTTTGATGGAAGAAGCTCAAATGCCTATATTGTCTACTGAGGCGCTTAAAGTACGCGCACTTGCGTTTGAGGTGGGTAACATGGACGGTCTTGAACAAACCAATGACTGAAGTGCCGGAAAAACGTTGAAAGGACTTGGTGGGACTAGAGCAGAGATGGCACTCGCGATTTGGGTTCTTGAATCATTCCGTCGTCGTCCTGCAGTGCAAGAAAAGCCAACAAAACGATGATGTACAGGCTTGTGGAGGGGCATCACAGACGAGCTTTTATTCTTCTTCACAAAGATGAAGATGATCATAACTAAAGGCCTCTACCACTCACTCTGGTATTTATGAGTGGGTCCACCCCTCACCACCCCCTAACTCAGCGGCAGCACCGAACAAGGGGGAAAAAGCTGTACGTTTACTTATGAGTCACATTCCTGAGTTTAGTTGGAATAGAAGGCAAATGTTGATGGCTTTGCCTCTGTTAGCAACTGAGGGAAAGCATGCCTTTTGTCTACTGTCACTGTTTCCATCACGTTGCTGGAGTTGGAAAAGAAAGTCCTGACAGTAAGCAAGTAGGACAGCATACATGTGAATGCAAAAAACGGAGTTGGAACTTATCCGTAGCAATGTCCCAGCGCGAATCTGGTGGGAATGTGGCGGCGCTTCGGAACAGGCTTCAGGCTGTCGAAGCAAAAAAGTAGCCATTGAGGTGAGTAGCTGACACCGTGAAGTGTACGACCCACGCCATCAGGAAGTGCATATATGAAAGTAACAAGGGGAAAAGGCAGACTAAATTTCCGGTAATGGCGCTTTTCCAAGGGTGGAAATACGTGCGCTGGTGCCTGGGAGGCTTTCCGAGTTAACTAAAATTGTTCTATATCTGCCTGGGGACCTCTGCCGTGTTGACGTAGAAATTTCTGGCTACACTTCATGCAATGTTCGAACAAGAGCAATGCAGCTCGTGTTCATCAAGGCAAAGCGTTTGCTTAGGATGGTTCCCTGTTATGAGCGACAGTATTTGCGTCTTACTGAAGCAACGCTGATCTAACAAGGCACCAAATTGACCCAATCTGAAGGTTTTCGTGGATAAGCGCGAAAAACTTGACTTCGAGGATGCCGCTGCTCGTGACGTCATTAGCACTAGGCCTTTCTTCAAATACGTAGCGCAGTGCTTTCTAAATTGCTTTCCAATGAACATACTGCTTAATTTTTCCAGAGTGTAAATCCTCCACGGTTGTTCAACAACTCCAACAAACTCGTCTGAATTTGCTTGCAAATCAACTATTTGTGATGCCTTCACTTTAATGATTTCGGGCCGAACGAATACTCAGGCCTGTGCTCTACCCGTTTACTCCATCAGCCACACTGGATCCAATAGAAAGGACGCTGAAGTTTGATGAAGGGAATAGCTGTGGAAGCTCACATCAAAGAGCGGAAGACGTTATTAAGAAGTAGAAACATCAAAATATGCATCCAGATGAAGCAATGAAGCGATTTTGTCTCTTTGGAGCGGACCGCCATTCGCAAATGCAGAAAAACTCAAGTCGCGAAGGGACTAGGCGCGAACACTGCTTCACGAAGACCCTTTCTGTTTAGCACTACTTTGACTTGTATCCCAGCATATGCCAGGGGAATATGGCTGGCCTTGCGCGGTCACGGAACAGAACAACTCCCGTTGCCAATTTCTGTAAGTGGAACCGGAAAATCCAAAACCGAATGAAGTATGATTTCGTGTTCCAGCATACTTATGGTGCATCTCTTCGCGGGCATGGTCTAGTGGCTATGACGTCTGCCTAACACGCAGAAGATCCCGGGTTCGATCCCCGGTGCCCGTATTCTTTCGCTTTGCCCCTCCGTGATGGGGCAAAACTGCAGGGCCATCCATATTGCACGAGAATCCATAGTACAGTCATCTGTAAAAGTCAGGTGGCATAAATCAGCCACCAATAACTATTAAATGAGAAACATTCAGTAAGATGTCGCGTTATACGCGGAGGCAAACAGGACGTTAACTTTCGCCCCTCGTTGCGCTTGTGCATATGTGCCTTTCCCACATTTCTAACGCCTTTGCTGTGTTGATTACTCGGTGAAAAAGTACAGGTCCTTTTGTGAAAGTGGCTGTCACTTCAGGGCCGAAGGCAGTAAGTGTGCATGTTAGGTAAGAGCTAGAAGTGCGCACACAACGCAGTCGATAGACTTGTGTGTGTTAAAAAAGTAATCTTTAAGGAGTGCTCTGCATCAACTCAATTCAGCATGATAGATGCGTATCTGGCGGCTTGTACAGCGGGCGTTTGGAGAACACCTTCCCCAGTAGCCCCTTCGGCCTTGACTTAAAAATACGGTAGTTGAGAGATGAAAGTGAAAGCAGAAAATGGAGCTCTCATCGACTAGTCTCGGTACTACGCCATATGCCTTGCGGCCTTTGCTTCCCTCAATAAATTTGCAATTCAGTTCAATCTACTGTTTAAAAAAGGCCACAAACTTGCCTTAAATGCTGAAGCGCTCAACTGGATGAGGCTGCCTCGGCTTCAAATGCGTAAGATACAGCGTCCCCCCAGCGGTCCTTAGCAGTGGATGCCCCTGCATAGCCCGCTGGATAAGTCGCTCCCCGCGATGACTTTGCTGTTTGCGGGTGCCGCGAGGTAGCCCCTTCGCCATCAGCCTCTACCCAATCATCTAGTACGCAAGGCCGAGCGCGAGAAGAAGCACCTCTGTCCTGTTGTTGATCGGAGATGGTGCCTTGGTGCGGCTGCTGCAGCTCAGTGTCCGCAGTGCTGTCAGAGTTTGTGGAACCCCTTAAAAAGGCACCCAGTCCAAACGCCATTCGAGACAAAATTCCAGTAGTCGCTTGAGACCCTCTCTCGAACTCCTCAGGCGTCCAGCCCAGGCGGGCAAGTGCTTGCTCATGTTGAGCTTGACTGATCGCACGCTTCCTTCGAAACTCTTCCAGCATCTTCCGCTCTCCTGTCTGCACTACTCCATCTGCAAATACCCCCGCTAAGAATGCGTCATAGCTAAAAAGGGCAAGTCGTGCAGCTTGAGCACGCGACCGATTAACCAACAAGGTCGTCAGGCCCTGAACTACAGGGAATCCCAGATTTTCGGGTTCCCGTAGTACAAATGCAGCCAACTGCTCCAAATCTAGACAAAAGACGGTTGTTTCGGTGATACAAGTTGCCGTAGACGGCGCTGTCACTACTCCCTCCTCCCGAACGCTCTCAAAATCATCTGAGTCTTCCTTCGGTGGTGCGCTGACCTCGTGTAGTGGCAGTTGCTTTTGCAGTCTTCGTTCGAAGCCCATTTGCTTCCCATCCGACGCATCAGCACTCGCTACGTCAGTTGCTGCTGCGACTGCCGCTGCAGCTGCAGCTGCAGCAGCTTCCGCCACCTGTCGCGCTCCTTCTGCAGCTGCGGAAACCCCGCCCTTAACAACAGCAGCGGCTGTTGATGTCTTCATTTCCCCCCGTGAAGGAGACCTTGTTTCAAGCGTTTGGGGCGACTCCGCTGAAAGTGCAGTAGCGGCAGCTGTGCGCACTGCAGCAGCAGCGGTTGCTGCAGCTTCTGCAGCTGCAGCAACTATGCCTGTGCCGGGTGTGGCTCCCTCTGCTGCATCGACACTGCTTTTAGACACTGCGGTCCCTACTGGGGCCGGTTCTGTGTGGGCTCTCGCTGATTGCACTTCTAGTGTGGACTGCAGCAGCTTCTGGTGTGGCCGCTGTCGTCGTCCACGGGTGGAATCGGCATCCTGAGCCGCCAACTTAGCTGTTTCTTCTTCCGATGGTGCGTCCCTTCCATACGCTCCCATCGCCACATTCTTTCTTACTAAATCTCCGCCTTCAGACATGCGATTCTGCTGTGGCTGCTGCTGACTAGCGCCTGTATGTACTACCTGCTGCGTTCCTGACTCTACTGACAAGGCAGGGCCTTTTTCCTGGAGACTGTCGGGGGGTTCGTCTGCGTGGCTTGCCAGCGTCTCAGGAGGTGTTGCTGCTGTGTGAGAGACTCTCTTAGCTGACTGTTTCCTCAAAGCAGCAAGATAAGAGAGAAAGGGTTCCACACCGAGGACAGCCCCTGTGTCTCCCCCTCTGTAAGTGTCCACTGTCTCTCCCCCCTGAGAGATCTCGACAGCTCCACGCGCCACGAAACAAAGTGTCTCACAGTTGCTGTTTTCTTGCTGCAAGACGTAACCCTGCGGGTAAGTCTGCCAAGCGCCGAGCCTTAGTAAACGACGAAACTGTCTTGGACTCATCCCAGCGGGGAGGAAGTACCTTTGAAATAAGTCGAGTTCGTCTGAGTTGAACGACACCTCCCGGTGCTCAGTGTGAACGCGCCACAGCATCACAGTGTTCAACACCAAAAACACGACATTCCACAGAGCAGCATCCGTCAGTCGGGGCCGTCTGGACCAATTATAGGAGAAGTAACACAGCCCTGCAAGCAAGTTGAATGTCCGAAGAAGCCGCATGTCAGCCATCAACGTGGCCGTTAGAGACAGAAGAGACCCAGCAGTAACCACTACATTTCCGTTTCGATACATCCACTCAGAGATGGATGCGCAATAAGGAGCCAACAGACTACGTAACTGCCTGTACATCGCACGCATGCGCTGACGCAGAAAGCAGATCGAAGGAGGTCGGCGGGCAGAGGATGTGCGTGAGGAAGCCCGGCCCACTGGCACCCTCAGAGGCGCCGCTGACGCAGCGCTAGCAGGCTTTGCCTTGACTTCCTGCGGCATTTGCTCTTGTGATTTTTCGTGCAGCTGATCTTGTGCTTTCTGCTGCACCCGTTCCTGCGTGTCCTCTTGACATTCCCTGACATTTGACGCAGTTGAATCGCTTCCACTAGGAGTGGCGAGCGCTTGTGTTTCCTCATCTTGCATCGTTGTCTTCGACTGGAATCCGTCAGAATTAGCTGCAAAATTAGCAACAGTTTCATCTACATCAGAAGCTGTGCGCAATGTTTCTTCTTCTGGGACCTTAGAAGCCGGATCAATTGCTTGGTCATGAATTCTTACAGTCTCAAGTTCTTGGGCAGCCGTAAGCTGCTGCTGGTGCTGCTGCTTAAGCTGCTGCTGTACTGCATCCCCTTGTAGATCCTGGCTGATCACTGAGCTTCCACTAAGCAGCTGCTTTCGCAGAGCTTGCAGTTGTTGCTGCCTAGCGTGCGCGAACTGCCTGTGGTTCACGACTGATTGCGCTTTGCTGAGAGGTCGCCACGACCTCAGTAAAATCCGAGGCGGCAGTCGTGGCCTCGGGCCTGTACGTGGCCCGCCCACAGCTCCACTTGCTGCTGCTGGTGTTGCTTCTGGAGTTGCGCGGCTACATTCTTTGCTCCGCTGTTGCCTAGCTCGGTGGAACAACGGCTTCAGTAGTCGCTTGATTGCGACGTTAAACAGGATCGGGAACTGGAAATTTATTGCCCCACCCCAAGTTACATCTGGAGAGCCAGGAGACCCTATAAGTCCTAGAAGGCTTCCTTGCCGCCGCCGGCGGCCGATTCCACGGGACGCTGATTCTTGTTTAGAATCGCTCACTGCTTCTGCTGCGTTGTCTTTTGTAGCGCAATTTGCTGCTCCTTCATCGACGGCTGCTGTTGCGTCTGATGTCTCCAGTTCCGGCAATCCTAATTTCTTCTGGGTCGGAAATGAAGCAGCAGATGTAGCAGGGTTAATACCAAAACGAATCATTCTATCCCCTTGTGTCCGCATCGCAAAGGCAGCAGCAGCAGAACCACCGGGCGGATCTATTGAAGCAGCTTGGGGCAATACGGCACCTAACCAAGCCGCTGTAGCCTCAAAACAGCTCCGGGCAGCCCGGCCTCTGCGCCGACCAATTACAACGTTGTTTTGCTGCTCTAACTGAAGTCTATCGTCCTTCCCAGTGGCGGAGCAGGTGCTCGTTGTGTTGCGGGCCTCCCCTGCATTGACTCGAGCTCTAACGTATCTTTTGCGCCTACCGTAAACGCAACATACCGCATCCGAAGCTTGTGAGGGGATGTCGCTGGGCAAATTTTCAGCTGTTTGAAGATGGTTCTCGTTTCCGTACGCTGCGTCTTTTGTGCCGTCTGGCCCATTCGAGCTGCACGTGCATCTTTCTCTACTGTAGGCATCTCCGACTGAGTGTTCGTTATGCTGCCGAATATCATTTTCGGCTGTAGGATGCTCCACGCGCTCCGAGGATTCTGTAGAAGCCGTCTGTATGACGTCCTCAGGCGTGCCATGCAGACACTTTACTTGTGCGAATTGATGCGGGAGCTGCTTGTGATGCTGCTTCTTCTGCTGTTGAAAAACATGCTGCTGCCGTGCAAAAGGCACAGATGAGCGGACCAGTGGGACGATCCACCGTCTAGTGCATTGTGGTCCTCTGATACCCGCGGCAGCTGTACCGCCAAGGGCAGCGCGTCGGAGGGCAGGTAGTGCAGTTGCTGCTGGCTTGGGCGCTTTTCTGTGGAACAGACTAAAAGCATGCATCTCTGGTTTTCACATTTCGGTCTTCTCTGCAGAAGGTGTGATGATGACGGTCGTCGCCCGTTGGCAGCACATGAACCGACGGTTGCAAAAAGTTCACCTTGTACCAGGAAACCACCAAATGTAGCTGTTATAAGCTCCTACTTCACGCTCTGCAGCTTTTTTTGGGTTTTCTAGTCCCGGAAAGTCCGGAAGGCAGGCCAAGTTCATGTGGTGAACTCGCTGGAGGACCGGGAATGCACGTTGCTTCCGTCACAACTAAGTCTGCGCATGGGGAGCTTACGCTGTTCAATTGAGCCAGAAGTAATGGAAAGACAAACCTGGAAGCTGCGGGAAGCCGAGCACGCAAGTCCTGAAGTCACTTCGGGTGCCGACTGTCTTGCCGCCCTGACTCACCTCCGCCACCACAACAGGGTTCCTGGGAGTGCGCAGCCGAAGTTATAGTATTAATGAAGTAATCGTCACCCTCAGACTACTGAAACTCTTGAATATCTTAAGCTATAAAGGTTGGGGGACAAAAAGTGACGAAAAATGTCTCTGAGAGTTTCCTGAGAGCGCCGTTGTGGACAGCGTAGCTTCATGATGAACACAAGTTGCTGTGGCCTTTGGCTTCTTCCGCGCGTTCCCCAGAAATGCAGGAGTAATCTAAGTAATTACTCAAATCTTTTTTGTGGAGCTTACCAGCAAGAATGACAGCTTTGCGATAACAAAAATTTGACGCTTATAAGCATCGGCTTCAACGTTTGCTCGCCGTTGCTCCGGACACAAACTCCATTAGGGGAGTAGTTTTGAATGTAGCCTCCCTTGGAAAGGAAAGGCACACGAAGGCTAGGGTAAAATCTTCAGCATGGGCATGCCAAGTAAAAGAGTCACAAATTTAACGTCGAGCTCCTCAACTCACTATGCTTGCCTGAACGTGCGTACCAGCGTGAACTCTCCTTGATGCTTTCATCTGTCCCATGCTTGAGACAATGCACAGTGGTTGTGCCACGGAATCAGAAGCCGCTCGTAGGTTGAAGTGACTTGCAAGCCATTACTGCTGAAATGGGGGTCGTTCAGGAGGGAAGCTTTTGTTCTGACTTGAGGCGCGGCTACACCTCTTTAGCGTGCGAAAGAAGTCAAGGCTTCGATTTTACAACATCCTGAAGTGTGGATCCATGGAGTGATGCACAGCTATGTCTGGAACTTATTGGCTGCTGACGATGTCAGTGTCCCACTTGATGTCCGCTAGAGGACGCTGAGAGTAAACTTTACATTATTACTGCTCTATTTACGTAGGCGCACTGGCTGCTTACCCACTCTTTATTGCTTCTCTCAAGGCAACTACTACGACAACTGCTATAGCCATTCCTTGTTTTGCTTCATATGCTTTGCATGCCTGCATCCACTGGACGAGGCATGCAGCATATTGCATTTTGTATGGCCTTACAAAAATCCGGACAGCAAAGGGCAGCTTTTAAGGCGCTGTACACTTTTAAGAGGGGAAGCGAAAATGAAGTAACCTTAGGCCGAGCCCCGCCATGTTGGACTTTTCGTAGCTAGCCTAGTTTGCCCATGGAGAACAGGTTGTGTTGTGATATCACAAAAATGGGAATATCCCCTTGGCGGCTGGTTGAATTGCTTGTGCTAGCAAATATCATGTGTTCACTTGCCACAAACCTTTGTTTTGGGCTGTTCCCCAACAGTAGTAGCTGGACTCGTTCCACGAGTATATCAAATAGGAAGCCTGATATGAAACAACAAGATCAGCTAAGCCGAGGATTTTTCGCGACACTGCTGGAATCCAGTAGGATGGGCTGACACAGACCGCTGGTTCCCCACTCGTTGCAGGCCCTATGTCTAAGAGTGTGATAAAGGGAAGGAGAGAAAAAACACCGATTGGCAGCTAGCAAATAGTAACTACTCACGAGACACAACGAAGAGAGCACATTTCCAGTGGAAAGCAGACCAGCTGCGTTGCGTCATCATTGTAGAATGGCACATGCTAGAGGAGCTGCGTCTCCTAGTAACTCTACGTAACTTAGCAAATTGGCAAGTGAAGGCTTTTATCATCTGGAATTATGAAGCTACACGGGCCTGAAACAGAGCAGCAAGGATGCAGAACAGAACTTACTAGTGGAGATGGGCAGCTTGCAGAGTACAGCTCAAATGCTGTGACACAAGCTCTAGGACAACTATATCCATGCTAAAACAATCAAAAAATGCATTCAAGGCTTGAAAATGTAATTTCGGATGTTCCTGTAGGGCGTTAATATCTACCTTCTCTTCCCCTTCGCCGTCAAGTATGCTGTGGTCCGGTACCAGCAGCATCGTGCGCGTCCCTCAGCTACCAACCAAAAGCTGGAAAGAGCGCTTACAGCACAGCCAGAATATGGCATGGTGGATAAATAATGAACAAAGAAAAACTCATTTGGATGGGTAGCCCAAAGGCTCTTTGTTGCTCCCATAAGCCAATCCACAGAGGCCGAGCCGTTCATGCTCGAGATTCCTGCCCCGCCCACCTGAGGCTGTAGGATTGCTCCGAAATTGTGCCGGCAGCTTTCTACCGAACTGTGTTGGCTTCTGCTTTGGCTCACATGAAGCAACATAAAGTTGCTAATCGTTCACGATGATCCGTATCTGGTCCTATTTGCGCCAATGGCTGGTCCGGACCCCAAGCGCATGTACCTCGCGATCAATTCGCAAAACATAGATAGCCTCAAGAAAGAGAAGCCATATTGGAGCAAGCCATTTGTATTCTTGAATCCAACGTAAGCTGTGTTCCTCGTGCGTTGACCGTACGCTCCTCCGTGAGGCTTTAAGCTAAAATCTTGATCTCTCCTGATAACTTTCGTTGTGACTGCTAGAAACATTAAACCTTCTCGTATTTAGTCATAGCAAGGAGTTAAGTTAAGCTGTGCTGCTTGTGGGATGTGGCAAGCTCAGCGGGACAGGCATCAAGTACACTTCTCTTCAGGCTGCAATGATGCTTAAGAAGATGAAAATTGTGGATTTTCTTCTTGACCAGCCGGCATTGGACCTTACCGTGAAGAGCACTGACGGGAAAAACACTGTGACTGTTGCTGTCGAGGCAAAAGTATGGTCCACGGTCTTCAGTGCAACCCGTTTGCAGTTCGCGTGCGCGACCATAGGCTCTTGGTGCCCCATTGGTGAGGATGTGCCCAAGATTTCGTGAGGTTCCGCAGAATTTTTTGAGTGCGTTCGCTGCAGATGGGAGTCCCCACTCTGGAAAAAATTCTTCACAAAATCGATTTGCGTAGTCTTGCGGAGGTCGACTCGTCGGGCAAGGGCCCAATAGACTATGCGGATCCTGGTTCAGACGGTGAGCGCCGCAGCTAAATGTTTTTAAATACAACCTGTGTAAGTGTCTCTTCATGCATGGCATCAACGGGCTGCCAGACGATTAGAGGGGCATCCCCATTTTGCGAACTTGTGCAGAGGCTTTCAGGCTTTCACGCTTCATGTGACGACTTTTTTATGTGATGCTTTTGAGCAGTTTATGAATTTCTTCATTCTATGGGGTGCAAGACACGCCAGGAGAAAGAGGTAGCAATGGCAGGGTTTTTTGGAGAAAACGTGAAGGGTACTGTCCCTGGAATCAATGAGCATCAACAGAGGCGCAGGGAGGCAAACACACCTAGAAGGAAGTCAGGCAAGCGGAACAAGAGCGCTGTCACGAGCCAATCAGAATCCCAAGATCAAGCGAAGACGTCTAGATCGGCACTGTCGGATGCGTCTAATGGCACTGTTGACGAGTTAGACGCCACCTGGAGGCGCTTCGATGACATTGATGAGCTGGAAAATGCACTCAAAGCTTACGTAGATGAGTGGGGGGACGATCATGAAGACGGAGATAGCTGTGTTCATTGGCTTAAAAGCATCGCACGTGCCAAGGAGACTGGAAAGACTGAAAAGCTGTTGGCAAAGTGGAACGACAGCATTAGGAAACTGAATGGAGACGATGAAAATGAAGCCAAAGAGGAAACGGTAGAAGGCGACAGGAAGAGCGTTAAAAGCAGAAATTCTAGGGGGAGGTCAACTCGTAGAGCTTCCTCGACAGGCAGCGTCGATACGGAAGTGCGGCAACGAGGCCGCTCTACAGGCTCCATCACGGTGGACCCGGAAGCCATCAAACTATTCTTTTCAGGCAAAGCTGGGGACCAGGTAACTTGTTAGGGCAGTTTTGTAGGGAGTGTTTCTGCAGTGAATCGTTACAGCTGCGGAGGAAGCCTTAGGAGAACACGTGCATCCGTAGCTGACTTCTGCGCGTTTTCATTTGCTCAGGTGAACTTTAAGAGCAAGGGAAAGAACACACATCGCCTTACTTATGTCGTTTCGTCGAGGTCGGCCTCGGTTGCTCCGTCTGAAAAGCGAGCTGATTAGAAGGAAAAGCGAGGACGTCAACAGCATTCTTGTCTTAGAAGCACCACTTAAAGTTGCCGAAGCAGGCTTCCTCATTGACCAGACTGCTGATTGTTTGCCACATTCGCACGAGACGGCCAGGATTTTTTCCGACACCACATGTGGGGCAGTTTCATCTTCTTGGCATAGCAGTTGAGGCCAGAAAATCTTCAGGCGGAACAGCCAGTGCTAGGACAGGCATTCATTGCACGCTGGCTTCTCCCAGCTCATACGGGCCACCACGGTCATGCTTTGAAGCATCTGTGGGACTTCCAAGCTATTCCCAAGCCCCAATCGGCGCTGCCACCTCGATCGCTCACGCCGCCGCGTCCTCTCTCTTGCGTATACTTGCTTGTTGGGGAAATGCACAATACGGATAGCTTTTGCACGTTGGTGGCTTGCTCGTAGGTCAAGCCATCCAGGTCATACCAGCAGTTTTTCGTTTTAGCAGTGGAGTTTGTGAAGGTGTCGGTTCGGGCGGAGGTCGACAAGGCACGGAATCCACTATTGCCACAGGATGCGGAGATCAAGTGCCAGTGAAATATCAGGGTGCTCCGTGCAGCTATCCCAGCAGCCCCCTTGACCTGAGCATGCTGCTCAGCTGTTTCTTCACTCAGCCCGCCCCCCGATTTGCTTGTTCTCTTCGGTACTCAACTTCCTGCCCTTTGCAGGGGGTCCCGAAAGAGTGGTTAAGCGAGCAGAGTGCACTGGCGAATTTTGCGCTACAGGCTTTGCACGCTGGTGTATGTAGCGTCCATCTCCTTTATATTTATTCTACTGACAGGTATACTACGTAACTTTTCTTGCCGCAATGGCTGGGATAGCCAAAGTACATGCGAACTAAAGAAAAAAAATTGTATTGTTGCGCCAAAGAACTATTCGAATCCTCCTTTGGTTTGACGCCACTTCCGGCTGAACGCCGTCTCTGAAATGCATGACGCTTGACTGTTCATGGAATTCGCCGAATTGATGCCCCTAGCCGTGCTGGCCTGCCTGTGCTAGCTACCCATGGAAGGCATCCCATCCCACTCTTTGGCATATTTCTGTTCCAGGTCCTCTTCCTTGGGCATGGAGAACAGGTGGCGAGCTATCGCCCTTGCTTCTCTTTTGTTCATGTATGCATGCAGGCTGCCGCCCGCAGAAAACATGCACGATACGCAAACACTGTCTGGCATAGTTGCAAAGCTCGGATTGTTCTTAATGTGGTAGACGCTTGCAATCGTGTGCTGCACCTCGTCAACTTCAGCTGCCGTTGTCTTCGCAGAGGACTCCTCTGAGACAGAATCACCAACTGCGATGACGGTCGTGGGACAGACGATACAAATGACTCCTCCAGCTGCACGAACAACACGCAAAATTATGCTTTCCGACTGAGAGTTGTCGAGCATGCCTGGCTTCCACTCTGTCTGTACGTACATGCCACCAGGATCTCACTGTGTGGCGTACCTTCAATGCATCCGTCCTTGTCTCTGCATGAGGAGAGGTTTAAGACTTGCTTGCAATTCTCAAACTCCAGGAGTTCAGAAGATCGGACCACACGAGCCTCCGCCAACAACAGAAAACGTGCAACGGCCACACTAACGAAAATAATGCGCCTTCTCACAAAAGTAGCCATTAAAGCAGCTCCTTCCTACAGCGCAGTGCACAACACAATTAGTTGGAAGTCTTTCAAGTTCTTAGGCGGGTGCGGAACTCTATGTGCACGCAGAAGCAGGAATGTCCTACCTGCGCCACACGCCAGCCCCGTGCACCCAACCTTTTCTCTTGGCCCCCTTCGCCTTCGCTATGTTTAATGAGCAGTGTGATTCCGGCATGCATCCATTTTATTTTACTCTTTAAGAGGCTGTCAAGCTGCCGATGCAGTTCGCTTGGTTGCGACTGCGTTTGCGCGACCAATTTCTTGGGAGTGCGAGCCCCCGCCGTTTGGTAGGAAATGTTCACCACATCCGCCAACCTCTTTGAAAGAAAAAACATTTTCTTTCGCGAGTGGACCCGCCGAAAAAGCAAATTCGGATCTAATGATGCTATTGTCGTTGGGCTCCGCAGGTCGTCGGGCAGCTGAAAAGGCACAAACGCGAAGGGACTGCAGTTTGCTATGGCAGCGAAAAACACTCATACTACACTTGGAGCAAATCACTTTTAGTCCAGCAAATATCTGAGCACTGCGATGCAGAGATGCGCACCATAGATGTCTTGTCACTCAAACCATAGAAGTCCATGATCATTTGCACATCGCAGGCGCCTTCCGCATCACAACTTGCTGGCAAAAGAATATGGAAAAGGCTTCCTGGCTTGGATGCAGCCGAAGCAAGTGAATACAGGCTCTCCTCTTCTTCCTTGGCAGACAGAACATCTAACTTGGCTGCAGCAACGTCATCAGTGTATGCCAAGGATGCTACAGTTTGTTCTATGGGTCTCTCTGGTAGCAGTTCTCCGTCAAGTAGGGGATTGACCTCCGGCTCCACTGCATAGCTGGCCTTGACGCTGTTTTCTTTGTGTTCTGCTTCTTCTGAGTTGCTTGTCGATTCTGCTCCGCCATTGGGGCCTGGTGTCTGGCTATGTAGAGTGTCCCCGTTTCTCTGGGGCTTGAACGGGGTTCGTTCCTTCTCCTCTGTAGCTGCCCTCACTTTGCTTTTGTTGCTGATGAAGATTTTGCTCGCGTCAAGCTCCGCAAGTTTACGTAAACAGCAGACAAAGAACCCTCCCGTATTGTTGTGATGGGGCAAGATGCGAACGCACTTCTCCAGGGACATCATATCTGCTCCCGGAGGAGGAAACATGGTGGGCCTGTGTAGCAGCAGGAACCCTTAAACACAGAGACACTGTCAAAGATGCTATCAATAAGTAATTGGAAAAATAGGACTTATCAAGCAAAAGCAGAGCCCTGGGCAAGGCCATACCGTATTCGGTGACGATATTCTTCCGGTACCTCATCAAATGTGCGATAGAAGGCAGTCCCGTTGCAGTTCTGCACGTCTGCCTGTGAGGGCTCATCTTGAGCTGACGAACGCTTCTTGGCAGGAGGCGAGGGTACAAGCCAATGAGGCTTCCCTTTGGACCATCTGAGACCTGTTGGTTTTGCATATTCACACAGAAGCAATGCTAGCACGGCTGTACAAGAAAACTTCAGCTGGCGTGGCCAGAACAGGGGGGCTCCATTCTTTCAGGTTAACGAACTCTGCCGCGGCAAAAAGTAACCATTAATGAGGGACAGTTGCTCAATCTGTTGCACCTGGCAGGTCTGGGGGATCGACAATCTCCACACGGCCCTTTTGTTGGGACAGAACAGTTGCAATGACTGCCTAAAAGCAGCAATCGCATTTGATGAGCTCCGTTTGAAAGCAGATTTCCAGAAGCAACCCCTGCTGTAGCAAAGCAACTGCCAAGAGAGTTTGCCTACTTCGTCTTCTAAGGGGTTCAGCGAACAAGTCGAATATACAATTTTGCCGTCCACGCGCAGGAGCTGGAGGCCACGGTATAGAATTGAAAGCTGAGCACAAAGTGATTGGGCCTACGCAAAAGGTTTGACCTTCGGTACTTGCTTTGACCGCTTTCTCAGCATCTGCCACTTCGAGATCACGCCGTGCTATTGTTGCTGCAGAGGTGACTATAACTCAGCAAATACCTGGATGGGGTGCATGCTATGGCCGCCGCCAGTGTTCCAGCTCCTCCACACGTCTAAATTTTTCCGCAGAGTTCCGTCGCCACTACACGGTACGTCAGCTGGAAAGTCCAGTAAAATCGACCAGATACAAGCGTCGTGTTGTGCTCTGAACGTTTTGTGTTGTAAGCTTAGTTACGCTTGCCACGCGTGAATATAACCACGACGCAAGAGCTCACCCAGGATTCTGTCGAATTGCAATTTGACCTAAGGGCATGAGCAAAAGCCAGATATTGCAAAGCACCTGCAGGCTCAGAGCTGGCATCAGAAAATATGCTTCGGTGCACAGGAATTTAGTTGTCCTTAACTTGCAACCCCTTACCAACCTTGTGGGAGCCGTCGGCTGATATGCTATGAAGCGTCGGAAAGCAAGCAGCTGAGCGAAATGCAACAAGCACAGCGGCCAACGTTCTCTGCAGGTGTGAGGCCAAACCAAGGTTCTAAAGGCGAAGAACTATCAAAGCGCTCACCGTCGAGACAGGTAACCGCCACTGAAGGAGACGCTAACCTCTGCAGTTGGTGCGTCAATGTAACTGCACGCTTCAAATCAACGTCATTAGCGATGACTGCGCCTGTAGGGTTGCACATAAAGGCAATGCGCGATGGATTTAATGCAGAGATTTCGACGGTAAACGGATAGCGTGTGCTCAAATATTAGGCTATGTGAGTCACGCTCGAAAGGGGACGAAGATGAATGTATAATCAAGAAAGACACTCAATTTTGTGCTTGCTCTGCTGGCTCTATAATGGTAATCTTTGAACTGGAAGGATATACTGTCTAGGCCATGATGCTTACCGTCCACTGGCGGGATGCCGACAGAGGATCCTTTTTCTGTAGACGCATGAAGCTGAGCCTTCCACTGCAGCATGTCAAGCATTTCTGATGTCTTTGAACCTGAAGAAAGTAATGAACATCCCTCTGAACTGCATGCCCACACCACTAACGTTGCTCATATGAATATTCGCATATCATCACTGACTGTCAGTTCAGTATATTTGAAGCAATGATACTCATTGCACTTGCGCATTGTTAGCTGGCTTGTCACAATATGGTGCAGTATTAACGACGAGACCACTTACTCGGGACAGTACAACCACATGGAGATGAAACCAACTAGCGCAGGATGATGAGTCTCTATATCTAAGAAAAATGGCAGAATTACCTGGAGATGAACACATATCTAGCACAAGGTGGTGAGGCTGTATGTCTAAGAAGAGGCACGGCAGCATGCTGACAGCCTCTTGTCGCGTGAGTGCTCCCTGCAGTCGAACAAGGTAGCATACCATGGAACGAAGGCCTGAGTAAACAACTCAATACTTGTCATGAGATAAAGTCCGATATTCTGAAAATCTTTCGCCGAACAGTGTTTACGCCACACAATTCGTAGCTGCTTAGGTTGAATCATGTGACGCTTACCCTGAAGTCCTCGTTGATAATTTGTTCACGGATTTCTTTAAAAAGAAGATCTTTTTTCATATCAACCTTGCTTGTTGTGTCCCATTGCCCTGCACATCGTAAGCTATCCCCAATACAAGCCATCATTCAACATTATCTTCTGCTGCCTTGAGCACTTCATTAGTGTGGACCACGAAAGTGGAGACCCAAAGAAGTGCAGACAACTCACAAGCAAGCTGATGAGGGAAGAACGGCAATCTCCGGACGGTACTTTTCCCCTGCAGAAGTCCACATCGCGGAAACGCATTCGCTGCAGAGCAGCCAACAGGGGAGCCCCCATATAAGCTAAAGTTTGCGTTAGTTGTGTGTTCACACCAGCATGCACAATCCTGACAGGATAAAGCTTACTTCCGCCTGGCTCAAGTCGACAAGCAAAGCTCGTGTGCTTCGCCAAAGTGCAGAGGAGACATTAACGCGTACAGCAGCTGCAGACGCCAACAGTATTACTAGACCATGTATCGTGGGAAGAATGACGGACTATTTGGCAAGTGCAATACTTCATTTATCGAGGCCGGCGACGGAACAAAATGCCACTGCCACAAGAACACATTTTCCCCTCAAAACTTTTGATGTATGGCCCCTCACAGCCTTCACTGTTAATGGGAAAATCACTTAAATCCCACCTGGCAAAGGGAGTCGCTGGATGGCCATGAAGTCGTCCCACTCCTCATTAGGGCAAATGCCTTGCCTCTGCATGACACAGCAGCGCACTATAGACTATACATGAGCATTCTGTGACCAAAAAGCGTGTTTTCGACAACATTTGTAGCTAAAAGCAAATCAGCCAACTCTGCTTCCGCCACTCAAAGATGCAATGTTCTTTCGCACGCAAAGCAGGAGTCCAGACGAGCAGATATTACACTTCGAGCGTGGGTGTTTGAAACACCCACCTGGTAGTATTCCTCGAATGCTGCATTCTCATAAATTATTTCATCGTACGCCTCTTTGGCTGGTTGAGGCCTTTCGTCCTTATCTGTACCTCCAGTTACCCGTGCGTACTTGGCAGCCCGCTGTCTACCCATCATCTCAGCGCCTCTAAAACGGCGCTTGCCTCGAGCCATTTCCTGTGTATACGGCTAGCAGCTCAGTTGGACAGCACTGTTCTTCCCCAGCGGGGAATCCCTTAAATGTTCGCCCCTGATGATCCTTCGTCAAGCGAAATTAAGATCTGAGTTTGTGACGCCAGGCGAGTATGGATTCATACGGAACTGAATGTAAGAAGGATCCCTGGCTGGGGCTTTATGCCAAAGACGTGGTTAACAAACGGTTTCTTCCTTCATATGTAGGCCCATGAAAACCAAAGGAGAAGACTACTGAGCTTTCCCTTGATACTGAAGACGCTCAAACTCAACCTATCGAATTATTGCAGGCAATCTGAGGAGAAACGCCAACAAGCATCTTCCGACTCATGTCGAAGCTACAAGTTGACCACGCATATGATGCAGGTACTTCTGCAATAGTAAGTGGATCTTCAATGCTTTTTGAACGGGGCCTACTGGGTTGGTTCATAAAATGGTAATCCAATTTTTTTGTCGGGACCCAATGTATTAAGCACCGAAGGCACACTGGCTGCTGCAAGTTGAGCTCCACAGGGCCCCACAACACCAATGACTTTATTTGCGACTCATATGGACAAAAATTCATATTGGCAAATAGATCAGGCTTGTCTTCTTACTAGTTTTGCTTCTCGAGCTGGTTTGTGTGGGGTATTTCTTCCTCTGTTTGTTTTTCTCGTGATATTGCCCACTACATCCGTTCAAGGTCTCCGCGGTTGTTGTGTGCAGCACAAAAATAATAGCGTTACCGCCTGCGGACTAAGCGCTTTTATATGAAGTTGCGATAGATTTGTCGGCTTTTAGTTGCTAATTTGCGTAGGTTTGACAGCATCCGCTGCGAGTACTTGATCTAAGACCGACTGGGCCTGTCGAGGCACTGCAAAAGCGCCAGCACTTCACGTTTCAAGCATGAACCTCGTTGAAATGCCAACTATTTGTATACTCCCTTTTCACATTTCGCTTCACAGAAGCATTCGGTGCTACTTTTTAGGCCTTTTCCTGACTTCGAGTTACCAACACTTCAGTGGCGCTTGCATTGGTCTCAGCGTCCTCTACTCCGATTATCCACAATTTAACAGTCCTTAGTCCTAGTTGAATAGGTTATCGGCTTCGTCGCTGCTTTTCCGGTCTGGCTCCCAGCAACTCCAAAACCTCAAGCGTATGGCGGGTAGCTTCATGCTCCCCGTGTGTGTGTGCGTGAACTCTCTAGATTGTTTCCCAACTGTGCCGCTCAGACTTATGACCTGTGGTATGTCTGTTATGTTGGTTGTCTCAAATTTGACGTGAAGTCGTTGGGTATGCATTGATTTCACCTGTGCCCATTTTTGTCGTTGCACTCCTTCGAATTGAACGGTAGAGGAGTGTCGCTTATTTGCCTCCCCTTCCAATTCAATCCATTAAAACACGATGAAACTTTTAAACCCATAAGACGTTGTAGCTTGGAAGCCTTCGCTTGAGCCACGCGTGCTGCACTCTTGTCACTTCTACTTCCAGTTCTATTATTAGTACCCCAGGCAAAGTTTTATTTTCACGGCTCAGGAACATACTGAGTGAGTAATGTTGCTTCTGTGTTGTATCGGCATGCGTGCATGCCAGCAAAAGCAAAACCCGGTTCTCCGATTTTATGCACGGCATCGACAAAAAGGAGAGTGCAACTATCGAAAAACCGACACTGATCAGAGGCACGATTCTCTCCCTCGGGACATTTGCGGCCAACATTGAGGGTCCCTCCCAGCAGCACTCGGTTTGGGGCAGTAGTTCCCTTGCAGTGAGACACTAGTGTCTAGTGTCTGTAGGGTTATATTCGGCCAGTTTTCTCAAGATTAGTCAGCTGATTGTGTCTAGTGCACGGAACTCTAAGTGTGGCGTAGGATGCTGCTCTGATCTCCGCTGTTAAGCCTTAACTTTAGCTAGCTTTGAGAAGCCGTCGACGTGCTTAGTAGAAGAAGAGGCTTTCCCTAAGATTGCCTTTACGTAGAGAGTGCAATGCAGGCGATTCAACTTGCGTGCTTCCAGAAACTAAAGATGACCTCCTGCTCCAGCTCTTGCTGGAGCAGAGGTCATCTGTGCGTGTGTTCGCCCTTCTGTTCGTGTACGCTGGACAGAAACGTTGGCTCCAAAGAAAAAGCAGCAAGCAAGCAATAGGTGCACTTTAGAAAATAAAATTGAAGATTAGCATCCAAAGCACAATAAAAGGGCCCACACGCAAACACTGAAAATATATTGAAAAAATACCAATTGAAATGTGAAAGAAACAAATTAGGAGTCACCATAGTATGCAGGAAATAGCTCCAACGTGTCTTTTCCGTTCTGGCTACATAGGATTACACGTAACGCTACTCATTAGAGACACTTTTCACAGACAAAAACACCCAAATGGCATTTTACTTTTCAAGGGGACGAATCACCCATGTCATCCGCCTAAATGAGGCTCCTCAGGCAGACAGGCTTCCATGCACTGGCTTGTACCCGTGCAGTAACATCGACAACTTCTAACATTCACAAATTTTGTCAAGGACACTTTACATCCTTAACAAAAATACGCCAGAAGCGGTATTTCAGGTTGTGTGTTCTCGTTTTCCCACTGGCATTTTCGTTTCCTCTAATGAGCCCAAATATCACTTTATTCCAATCAAAAGCACACAAGAGCCCTACGCGGTTCATTGGCTGCTGGAAAACCCAATAAGGATTTCAGTAGACGCACCTTATACCACTACCACTTTAAGTATCAGCATCAGGATAATGGTGATTTTGCTCCCGCGTAGGTTTAAGGGATTAAAGTCATTGCACTACATTCAACAGATGCGTACAAGTGGGCTAAATAGTGAATAAAGGCGCGTCAAAGCAGAGTTTGTTTACAAAATCGGAGTAACTTGAATGTTAGCTCTTTTGTTTCCGTTTGTTTCCTTTGGTGTTTAATTTTTCCTTCAAATTTGCATATTTTGGCAAGCTTCTACGATTATTTTAGTGTTCTTCTAAGAAAAGCAAGCTGATTAACGTGTATTGGTACTTCTACTTAGGTGTACACACGGGCAGTTTACAGATATCTCTACGTGTTTTCAGGTGGTTAGGCTGTGCATTGCATCAGAAGCTCAGATTCCAAAAAAAAGATAGGGCTTTTCTGAAGCAATTAAGTAAAGGCATCATTCAGCCTGCCTTTCACGAGTCAAGCAGAAACGCTTATTGGCTTGGGCAGGTCGCTCGGAACGAAAACCTTCGGTGGAGCCCACATTTGTTTTGAAGCGGGATAGCATTTGAATTCTTTATATCTTTTATCAAATTGTTTTTGACGTGGTTGCGGTGAGCGTGCGGGATGAGGAGCACGAGACCCCGGTTGCACCGCTGAAGCGTGTGGGCCATCTCTGCTCTTGTAGCATTTAGCAGCCAACTGCGGCAGAATGAGAGGACAAAAAGCCGACAACTGCTCTTTTCAGACTTCCACGAGCTGGAATAATGACTGGGGTGAACCACGATTTTCAGTGTCATAGCGTACCTTCTGTCTGAGCACTTGTTCCTCTGTCCGATGGCTGGAAGTCCCGTTGCCACTGGCATTGTGTCTCTCAGGCCTCGAAGTTGTCTGATGAAACGATTTATCTTTTGCCGCGTTTCTACGACAAGTGTAACTGCATAGCATAAGGCGGCGCTCATGCTCTGCAAAGTCCCGTCTATATTGTTCTACCGTTGCCACCAGTGGCTTGGACCTTTCCAGCCGCTCAAGAAATTGCTGAGAGGTTAAAGAGCAAATACAAAGACTTTCTGCCTCAAAGTATGAAAATAGTTCTTTGATTGGGGTCCGTGACAAGGCTACATCTCACTTGGTTCTCTTTGACTATTTTCCAATGTTCCCTTTTTCTCAACCCAATGTTGAGGCTGCGAGGCGCCACTGGTTTGGGCGGCAGACGGTACGGTCGGTTCATCGTAGTAGCAATTGTAGTCAACATCTTGAAGTTGTCATGTGCCTGCATCTTCTCCTTTGAGCGAACCTGATACGATTTTCTGGGTCGCTTCTGCTGCTGTTCTGTATTGCCCATGAAAGGTTTAGCATTATCTATGTTCGCTCTTACTGCTTTCAAACGCTCTAAATGTAAACGATGTTCCAGTTCTCTTGCCCGAATACCCACGATTGGGTTACCATGCGTACAGTCTGTGCGGCGGTTCGTGCAATTCATATTCTCACCCTTTGCATTGCCGGGCCATACACCTCTGTAGAACTCAAGTGAGAAGGCTAAGGGCTGAGCTGAGCATTCAACTCGTCAGCTCCTCCAAGGTTTGAAACGTGGAACTGTACCTAAGCCTCGACACATGAGTTCTGCAATACTGTCATGGAAGGGACTGCCTCCCTCGAACAGGGTGGCCGTTCAATTGTTCCGGGAACAATCTTCGCTTCGCCCGTCAGCCGCCAGGAATTGCTTTTGGCTATCAACTATTCTTCTATCATCTCTCAGTCCGGGTCATTTTGTGGGGCCCGACGGCATTGTCGACGCTCCCCAACAAACAGCAGGCTCCTCGCTATACATCCAAGTACTGCATAGAAAACAATGCCCAAAAACTGCCTTTCGTGTTTCTGGTGAAACTATTTCATCGATACTACGGGTTAGTTGTGCTCATACACATATCTTATTTAGAAAAGGCTCCAGCTTGCAGATACCGAGAATGCGTGCCAAAGCCCCAATGCTCGTGCAGTCGCCTTGCATGCCAGGCCGATTCCAAATTTTCGCATCACTGCATCCTCAAAGCAAGCCCTTTACGAGTCTTTAAAAGTATAATATTTGTCTTGACAGCAGCAACTGCATCTCACACTGTGCTGCACGGTTAGAAGTGGCTTCAAGGCTAGACTTCTAGAGGGTCACCAGCCAGCTGACACACGGCGTGCAGAGCACGTAAGGCGGCGTGTAGAGCGCACAAGAAATCTCAGATACACATTCAATTTGAAATCTAGTACAAATATAAGATTAAAGACTCTATTAGTATGAGACTCCTCTTATGTTGGAGTACTGCACGAGTGCGTCACCTAAAATACTTCGTGCAACAAGCCGAGCACCCTGGCGACGAGAGGATAAAGCTGCTTCCTTCCTCTCAGAAGCCATCCCCTGCCACGCCTGGGCTGTTTCGAGCATTGTTAAAGTAAAATTAGGCTGCCAATGAAGTGTCAAAAGACTTGCCCCCAAGCTCGGCGCGGCGAGCAGGGGCAAACCACGCACGCAGCAATTCGACGGGCCCTCTTGCTAAGTGACAGTACCTCCATAGCACTTGAATCTCGTTTTGTGCGGGAAAACGGATTCGCAAATATATTTGACTCTGGAAACCTAGGAACATCAGAGTGCTCCCCTGATACCTAGCAGATCCTGTGGACAGGTAGGCTATGAATGGCAAATCGGCGAGCTGGTCAATACTTACGAGCCAAGCGCTCCCGCTTCGTTTGGCATCCTCATGCTGAAATACGATTATATTCATGAAGCTTGTCGTTAGGGACTGCATTGGCGGCAGCAGCAGCACCCAGTTGACCCTGCCGATCTAGGGATTGCCCGCAGCGGGAAATGTGACCCAGTGGCTGTGATTTTATTACCTACGTAGGAGTGATAGAACAATGAATACGGAACATGAAAGCTAAAAGACGCAACCTTTACATCGTATCTGAGTGGAATCTGACCAGTTAGTTCAAAATATCCCCCTAACTGTTTGACATTCCTGGGTCACGTCCAATGTCGCAACCTTTCTGTTTGATTAATTAGACAACACTCCTTCCAGTGCATTCAACCAGCATGAAAAATATTTCTACGAATTCTCGCCTCTCCAGAGTGAGCCGGTTCAAGAGGGGGCTAACAGTTTATTTGGAACATTGTTTTTCCCTCTGCCTCACCACCTGCTGGTGGGCGATAGACTACGTTGCCTCCGGAAATCACGAAGCGATAAGCAATCCATCAGAATCTGCTTCGTTGCAGGCAACGCATGTTGTGTAAATCTATGGCGTGTTCACATGAACTCCGTGCAACAAGCGTTTCAGAGCAACTGGCTCATTCAGTTCTTCTCAGCATGAGCTTCAAACTCGCGTTGCATGCAGTTCTAGCCGTATAGATCCATTTGCTGCACGTTGAACGGTAAAATAACACACGAACTCGGTGCTAGACACTAGCAAGCAAAGAGATACGTTTGTGGGCTGGGGGGGCTAGAAGGAGGTGCTGAAACCCTGTCGTTCGAACTGCTCTTGGCTCCAAGTGTGCTCGAGAATCTAAAGCTTCAGGCAAACTATCATATATTTCTCTCTGCACTTCACCATCTGCGTCAGCGCAGCTTTAGGGCTATCCAACCTTGTTTCAGCGCTGTATACAGTAGAGCACTTTCACTCTTTTGCCCGCTGAACGGTGTCCTCACACCACTCCATGCAACGACAGATTGCAAGCTCCTGCTGCACTCACGCACATTTAGACAGGGTACAGCAACAAGAGAAGCCCCTCGCTTAGTAGCTTGAAGATGTCCTGAACCTGCGTTCTGTGCATTTCGTTGGGCACAGCAAGAGGCTCAAGTAAAAGTAACAATTTAGATTTCCTCAAATTGAATACCGTTACTTCGGAAGTGCTATTTTGCGCCCGAATTCCTTTCGCAAAATCCCCTGTAATGTCGTCCAAATGGTGAGCTTCCTGTGCGTTGTATACCATAGACAGCGATTCTGGTAGCAGCTTCCAGAAACTTGGCATATTTCACTGCCTCACAGTTTCAATGCCTCTACAGACCGTGGTATTGTATGGTCTTGCGTGAAGAAAGCTGAAACGCCTTGTTGTTGCTCGCGCCAACCAGCGGGCTCGCGCCTTCGCACGACGCAGCTAAACTTGTAAAACTTGCAGCCTTGCACGCTTACTTACATCATGCACGACATGAGACATCCATCGACCACGGCTAAGGTAGCGTGACTTTTTTGGAAAGAGAGCAGCGCACCGACGGTAGCAAGTCCCACGATATGAACACTGTGGAGCTTCCCTAGCACAGACGTGAATGAAAGTCAGGTAGTTCCACGGTCTAATGCAATGTATATACTAAGCTTTGCAGCATGGGAATCAATCTTTGTTGGCTTCTCCTGTCCCGTTAGCAGTCCAAATGGCGGAAATGATAAACTGGAGCTGGGCAGCTTGAGCAGAAATATACCCACACGAGCTGTTCTGGATTTTCTCTTGGAAACAATTAAAAATTAGATAAAAATAAACTTTGGCTTTCGATACACGTAAAGTTGCAAGTATTTTACGTTGCGCATCTGGAGCTGCGGCACAAAGAATTGGAACGAGGATTTTGAGAGTGATGAGTGAGGCCCACTTGGCTACAATACATATAATGCAGAGTATTTACTTGATTAAAAAAAAGAATTGATGAAGTAATATGAGCTGCCCTAACTTTTAATGAGTTTGAAGACTTCGCCTTGAACAAAGACCCAGATGCTTCAGCCCCCCAGCTTGCCATCGGGGACTGTGTCTCGTGTAAGCACACATGCGTATTGTTGAGCGAGATCCCGTCTTAATAAGCGTAGAAACTGCACATTTGCATGTGGGAAACGCGTCAGCTGCACCGTATATGCTTTAACGGTGGGGAAGCCAGTGGAGAAGACCGGAAGTTGCACAACGTTCGATCGTTCAACTAGACGAACCTCGAATGCTCTTCAGCGAAATCTCTAAAAATATTGCGGCTATAGGCTTTTTTAGCATTCAGGCTGACGCACACACAGATTGTGGCATTCCCAATTCTCTCGTGTCAGAAGCAAGCCTCCTAAAGACGACAGAGAATGAGCAGTTTTTACGGAGCTTCTGGAGGCGACGGTGATGACAGTACTTGGGGACCTGGAGCGTGCACATCCCTTTCCCAGCTACATGGCATGAAACGCCTAACACTTGGCCAAGTCATCGGGAAAAAACGCCGCAAGGAGAAAATCGTCATGTGCACGGTGCGTTTGCTGTGTTTCTTGCGTGGATCCTCTGAACTTGGGCGTTTGGGAGCCCCCCAGCCTTGCTGCTGCACTGCTCAACCGCAGCTCAATCTTTACAGGTGTACTTAATGATCGGAAAATGGATGCACCTAGATGGATTGATGGAGCGCATTGTTTGCTGCGCATTTGGCCGAAGTCGGCCCTTCAAGTTTGAAAGTGCGGAGTCTCTTGGCTGACTTTACCGCGCAGGCGTATGACATGTTCACGGCACGAGTTGCAGATGATGCGCTGGTGGATATTCAGCTTGTTGGCGACTCGCTTGCTAATGTTGTCATGGGTGAGCTTTCAAAGATATGTTATTCTGGGTGTTTTCCCCAGATGCTTACATTAAGTCTGCTGGCCTGGTGCGCAATAGGTTGCGACTACGTATCTCTGCTTCATGAATGCAGGGGAGCCCAGGACGACAGCCGTTGACCTGGACACTATGATCTTGTTCGCCAAGCTGGTTCAGAAAGGTGCGTAGTCACCTGTGTGGAGGGGCATCCTCACTGGAGTGGTGGGTATGCATAGCAGCGATAGCTATTCATACCGCTGTGAAAGTTCTGAGCGAGATGATTTGCCCAATGCGTACATCAGTTTTCGATGCCCCAGTCCCCCATTTGCGCAGGCAGTCGGCGATCCATTGTAATGTTCGACCTTCCATATGGTACATATAATACACCAAAGGAAGCAGTTGCAACGACGGTTAGAGTGGTCCAAGAGACGGGTATTCAGCTAGTCAAGCTGGAAGGGTACCTTCCGGATGTTGTAAGGGTACGTTTTCTATGAAACACGCAAGGGGCATCCACTGGCGTAGACCTGTCCAAAGTAGCCATCCAAAGGTTTCAGCGACACGCACAGCCAGTTTACGAGTCGAATCCCGTTTTGCTTGTGGTATGTCTTTACATGTGCAGGAGGTACAGAGGCACGCCGCAGTTTGTTGCCACATTGGCTTGCTTCCGCAAACTGCCACTTCATTTGCAAGCACAGGTTAGTGAGATACGGTTTGCATGCCTGCAAGTTTGGGGGGCATTGTTCCTGCACTTCGACTCTAAAACAACACATACTTTAAGGTGAATGAAGGGATCCTTTTTTTTACAGGAAGCACAGCAGCAGATGCGGAGCGGCTTTTGCAGCAGGCAGTTGATCTGCAAGAGGCAGGTAGGTAGTTCTTTCAGTAACGCTGGCGAAACGGCATCGCCATCGTGCTCGTACGGAATTGCAGGGGCCACGAGACTTGAAGCGATTATGCATGGTCTCTTTAAAATGCAGGCCAGCTTGTAGTTTGAGGCCGATAACCGTGGACTGGAGGGCAGTGCTTGTGTTTATCGATGAAGGTGCTTCCTTCTTAGTACTAGAGATGGTTTGTGCGGAGGCGGCGGAGCTAATTTCCAAGAATCTAAGGATACCCACGATCGGCATTGGCGCAGGTTAGCTACTGGGCGGAGATGACGTTTCATCGAATACCAGCGCAGCATGCAACACATGTACTAAATAGAAAGATAATGGAGAAGCAGTTAGGAACGTGGCTTCAGCCGCTAATAAATGTTTGTCCCTTGCAAAAGTTATGAGGCGTGTGCATTGATCATGAGGTTCTCAGGTGCCGGGTGTGATGGCCAGGTTTTGGTCATTCACGACATGTTGGGGCTCTGTGGACCGGGCACGAAAGTATTCAAGTTTGCGAAAAGGTATACGTGATGCAATGCTGCACACTTTTGTAGTGCATCGCCAGCTTACGCGGATAAATCGACGATTGTTCCATCCGTCTACCGGCACCGAAATTGATAGGTCTTGCTTTCTTGCCCAGTGTGGTTCGACGCCACCGTGAATGTTTCTTTGCGTGTGGCGTCCTTCAGGTATGCCAATCTATATGATATGGCGGTCTCGGCTATAGGGACGTATAGGGCCGAGGTGGTGGCAGGTTCTTTCCCGAAACCGTGCAATTCAACCTTCATGAAGCCAGCGGAGAGCGAGAAATTGTCAGCAATTTGCTCGAGCGGAGTGAGAGCTGCCATAGATATCCAGGCTTTACCTTCAGAAGGCGGCGCCACAGACACTTCCGCTTCCAAGACAGCCGACACGTGCTCTGGGGGACTTGAAAGCTCGTCGGACTCCAACGAGGCTGATTCAAGAGAGCCTTACAAAGTTTGTGTATGGGGCGGTGGTCGAATGGGGCAGCTTTTTGCGTGGATCATGGCTGGCTCGATATCACCCCCAGTTAATGGAGACTGTGCAGGGTGGCAGCGCATGCAAATGCGGGGCACTGAAGTTACCATCTGCACATCAAGGGAGGACTTGATTGCTGCTTGTGTTCGGAAACAAGGAATGTTGACTGCACTGCAGTCCGCTGGAGCTGCATCGTCATCAGTCCCCAGCGATCCTGAGAGTGGCGCTAAGCATTCCTTCATGCTGACGAACGAAATGGTCCAGAGTGGCTGTTGTGCTAGTGGGGCAGGGGAGCAACGGCGGGTAAACGTGATTTCACGCAAAGCGGCAGAATCTTTGGGCCGAGTTTTTGATCTTGTTATAATTGCTTGCAACTCAGGAGATACGCAGCAAATAGGTAAGCTGACACATGAGTCCCATATTGAACGCGTAAACCTGACGGCGCCCACGAGGAATTCTGCTTTTCTGCCTTCAAACATTCGAATAAATCTGCACGAATGCATTGAAGACCTTGATGTCCCGAATGCGTGCGAGTTCTTCCCTCTCATGTGCTTACGTCAGTGCAAGCGCAGCACTGCTGTTTAGGAGCCACATGTGACTGCAGCTGAATGCGCTTTCGGGGTCGCACGAGCTGAAGGAATCGTAGCTTCTTTGCAAAATGGGCTGAAGGCCCCGCGAATACTGCGAGCACTTCATGACCGGCTATTACTATCAGGAGTGAGGGAACGTGCTGCTTGCTTAGCTTCTCCACCAACTTAAGTGTGTGCACTGCACAGTGGGAGCAATCCTTGTGGTTTCGTGTGTCTTCAGGGCAAACCCTCTCCTCTCGTGTTCATGCCGACGTCCCTTGCTGCGGCTGAAGAGGTGTGAACTGGCGGATGAATCGCTGGACACTCTTAGCACTTTTGGCGTTGTCAGAGCACAACCACAGATAATAGATTGTTTCGCCTTCCTTACCTACACGTGCTGCTATCTTCCCTGAATCTGAACTGGAAAATCTCGGATTCGCACGGAGCACATGCCCCACAAAAGCTTCTACATTGGTTTTTCATGATCTTCATCTCCGATGTTGGGCAGCTTGCTAGATTGCCTGTTTTCAGACACTTGCACAAGATACTTCATGTGGACGCCAAAAATTTCTTGGAAATTGGAAAATAAAGCACCCAGAAATTTTACCGATTGTTCTCAGGAACCACTGCACGTGCAGAAAGTTGGCAATGGCCATGTGAAGATCTGCGGGCATATGCATCGAGCATCACAGAAGGCTGAAGAGCTGTATGCTATGCTTCGAGCCAGAGGTATTCCAGCTCGCGCATCTGCATAGAGGCAGCGAGTCCAGAATGCACTTGAGGCGATACTTCATCTGGAAAGTCTTTGAAAACTTCGAGCTTTCGAACGTAGTGGAGACGTGTGTAACTCGCCCATGCTTAGTTTTGCCACCCAAAGAACGATGCAAACGGCTCATCTGGACAGGTTGCCCACCGGCTGTACTGCTGTTGCTTAGGGGTCTCTTGTGAACTCCTGCCGTGGTACAAGTTGGACGAAATCTTATGGGAAAAAGCAGCAGTGAACTGCTGCATCAACCCTCTCGCTGCGCTGCTGAACTGTGCCAACGGCCAGCTTCTGGACCCCAGAATGGAGCTTGCCAGGTGTGGATGGGCAGATTTTCTGCCTTCATGCTGTTTCGGAAGTTGTACAGATGTATTTTATGTGAAGGCATTAGAACTGTTCTTTCTTTTGTGTTCCATGCGCACGTCTTCAGGAAGCTGGTGGTGTCCGAGGTTGTGGCAGTTGCGAGGGCGAAAGGCATTCCGTTGACATTTGTATGCATCATTAATTCCACTGGTAGTTCAGCTTCCCGTGTTACCTGAAGCTCGGAGTTAGTGCTTGCAAATACATGTTTAGCTAGGTGCGTCTTTGTATTGTTGGTTCTTCAGGCTTCTGCCTCTGCCGCTGTTCTTGCCGTCGCCCGCGCATCAATGAATAACATTTCTTCGACACTATGCCAGCTACGTCAGGGTCGCTCGTTAGAGCTTGTAGATATTTCTGGAGAAGGTAAACTCTGCGCACTCTGGCAAACAGAAACAAGATCTTTCATGCGTGTATAGTATACTTCACGTCCCCATGTTCCTGGTTTGTGAGTGTTCAGTCATACGAGAAGCAAATGCAGTTGGCCTAAATGCCCATGTAAACAGGCTGCTTCTCGAGCTTGTAGGAGTGCTTGAAGCTACGAACGTTCGTCGATTGACCACTACGCAACCTGCTTCCTAAAAATCGAGCGAGGAACGAGTTACACAGTGGAGTAGAGAGATGATGAGACTTGGGTGAAGTGCACCCCCTGGTTGCTCTGATAGACGCATGTTGAGGAAGACTTGAGCACTCTCAACACTAAAGCTGCCAGTGAATGGTACGGGTGGATTCAGCATTCATCCAGTTGAGCTTGCACTGTGCATACAAATTGAACAAGTGAAGTTTTTTCGACAATGAGCCTCCCGAATGTGTAGCGCTTTCGCGTCGGCAGAGTCCTGCTGACTTGCGACGGCTCCCCCAGGCGCTTAGTACATCATGGGCAGGAAACCCCTTTTAATGGTTTCAAACCGCACTCATGCACTGCCTGCAGTCCAGACTACATGCAGTCCGGTCCTTCTGTTGCGCAAAGTGGGCCGTTAGGAAGCTAATTTCTTTGCCACAAGAGCCGTAGAATAGTTAGTAAGTCAAGTTGCTCTCAAACAGTTCACCCAAGTTTTCATTGAACCCAAACTCTGGCGTCACTAGCTGCAACTGTCACAACGAAACTGGACTAACACAAATCGGCTGAGGTTGAAGCAAGCATCACGCAGGTTTTGCATGATGCAGCAAACGTTTCTCGGCGGCTAAGTAGATACGATCCAAGCATCCTGCAGGCATGGATGTACCCAGTGGACAAATTCAAGCAGATGAAATGAACTGCTCCTCCGAAGGAGCCTAATGCTTTGCTTGCCATTGGTAACGCGCCTCTTCATGATAGCTGTAGTATTTCTGAATGAATGCATACGCCGACTCTGGTCCATGCGACCCGTACGGATAAGGCTCCGGTTTGACCCCCGGGCTGTCGATCTGCTTGAGGAGTGGCGTGAATATGCGCCAAGCCTCACGCAGCTCGTCTGCAGCGCAGATTGACAGATTGCTGGAGCAGGCACTGATGATTTCGTGACCAGGTGGGAGAATTCAACTTGCTGGAGAATTCAACTTGCTGAGGTGGTCGCCCGGCAGTAAACGCACCTGTTCTAACGAAATTCTGTCTATCGCCCTTAATTACATCTAACAATAGGCGCTCGTAGGCATCAGGAAGGCGGTCAACCTGCAGTCTGTCCATCACTGCAACCCAAAGCACGACAGCAAAACGGTGCAAGCTGCACGCACGCTGACGCCAGAAGTATTTGCCATGTCACTTGGTGACCACTAGGCATTTTCACTTCGACACCGCACCTGATAGGTCTAATTCCGTAAGCTGAAGCCCCGATGCAAGCCCCGGCTTCTTCGTATAGAACTTCAGATAAATAGCCTCACGAGGTTGTACCTGAAACCGCGCTCTACAGCAGCTCTTGCGAAATGAAACTGTGCACTAGGAAATATGAACGAATGGTCAGCAGCCCAATGCCGGCATATGCCCAGTGTAGTTTGTGTCGCTGAGCAACAGTCCTTAACCGGCTCTGCTTACGATTATGACGAGTTCGTTTTCCGCGAGTTCCTCCTCGGGGTAAAAAGACTGAGCAATGGGACGCAGCTGAATGCGAATTTCCGTGCAGCGCTTCTCCAGAGCCTTGCCAGCCTAAAATAAAGCAGAAAATCGGACACGGCCGCCAAGGGACAACACAATGCACTTCGCTTCTTTCCGCCAAAGCCCGCTTTGCAAAGTGCGTCAGTCTTAGTAAGAACTTGCCTTAAAAATAAACGGGACGTCTCGCCATCGTTCATTCTCAATCCACAGTGCGCACGTGCAAAATGTAGGCGTCCGAGAATCGGGGGGGACTCCGGGATCCTGAAGCGCAACACTTGCGGCAGTTCAGAGAGACAAATAAGCAAGTTTGAAGCTCTGCCAAAAACTTCCATAAGGGAAATAGCTCTGGTAAGCAGGCGAAACATACATCTAGGTAGCCTGGTTGCGTGCCGTCGGGAGAAGCAGTATACTGCCCCAAGATTGTTTCCTCTAGCTCTGTAGGAGGCCACTCAGTATTTCACACAGCAAAACTTTGAGTGAGTTCACTTGTCATGGAATATCTGAGGAAATAGCTGACATATGGCTGGGGGAAGGGCATGGTGCTCAAGGAAGGTGGAGCCAACTATTCCACTGCAGCATACTGATAGCAGGCATCTGTTTCAAAACCTTCACTTTCTCATCTCTGACATCCTCATCGCTCAGAGAAGCAGGAGGCTCCATGGCTATCAGCGTCAACAACTGCAGCATGTGGTTCTGCATAACGTCCCGAATGATGCCTGCAATTAAAAAAAAATACGGGAATTCTGAGACAATCACGAACCAGACGAAAGAGCACTTCTGAAATCCCTGACCAGTACTGCACTTACCGTAGCTATTGAAGTACCCGCCACGACCTTTCGTCCCAATGTCTTCTTTGAATGTGATGCGAACGCAACGTACGTTGTGCCTGTGGAAAAGCTGCATGAAACAACTCAGACCCACACTACTGGCAGCTCACAATCTCTGAGGCTCCAAGACTGTAGCGCTGCTGTATGGTATTTGGCCGGCGGGCTGTAAACAAGGCTAACATGCCTTACGTGTTTAAAAGCAACATTAGCAAAACGCAGTGCAATGATCGAGAGGGTCATCTCTTTGCCGAGGTAATGGTCAATGCGGTATATCTGCAATTCATCCCCAGCCACAGAACAAGTGCGAAGCGCTGACTCTGCTGACTGCGAAACATCCAAAAGCGTACTGTGTCGTTTGTTCAAGTAACATAAGAAACCTTGTGCCCTTGATTCCTCACCTCGCTTTCGTTAAGGACTTCCATGAGATCGTTTGACAACTTCTCTGAGCTCTCACTGTCGCGTCCAAAAGGCTTCTCAACTACCACTCTGTTCCAACCTGATAAGTGCACAGAAGATGGGACCCTATTCCTAGGAAAACGGGAAAAAGCGCCCAATGGTTGAGAAGCAACGACTTCTTAAAAGTCGTTCCACAAAACACTCTAATTTACAGGCAACAGGGTATTCAGAGTGCGTGTCTCCAAAACGTCACGTGTTCAAACAGCTGTTCGGGGGTCTCTAGAGTGCGGCCTACCCTTTTGTGCCCAGCAGTGCTTCCTGATTGATCGAACGCTGAGCGCGAAGAGCTGTGGCGGAAGTGCCAAGTAGAACAGCCTGTTGTTATTTTTCTCCGGCCCTTCAAGCTTGTCAAGGTAATTGCTAAGTTTCTTTAGTGCAACGGCATCGTCGTAGCCGTCGCCACTTCTGCGATTAGTACCACAATCACACCAAACTGCTTCGAGGGCAATAAAGCAATAGGGTGTGTTGGCACTACCGAGGAGTGACGAACGTTGCTTTACTTTTGTTTCAACTGTGGGAAGGACCGGCACCGGCACCATACCCGCTGCGTACATGTATGTGCAGATGCGTCGAAAACGTTCTACAAGGTCATCGCATTTGCTACTCAAAGGCGCCATCTGACGTGAGAAGTAGGTTGATAACTCCCTGAACAATCAAGACACAATAAGGCTTTCAACCTGTCGGAGCTCTCCATAGGGGCACTCTCACTCTCACTGAGTAAAATTCTACCCTCCTAAAACTCTACACAATTTTTGACTGCAAGTGCCCCATCAGAGGGATTTCAACGCACTTGAGGTGCTCTGCAATCTGTTTCCAGAAGTCTTCTACATCCAGTTTCGAGCGCGCAAATCCCTAGACAAGATAACAGATCAAGCAAACAAACTGCATATATAAAAGCATCGGAGCATCCAAGTCACCAGCACATAAGAACTTCTGAAAGCAGTGCCTCAAAGGAACTTCAATTAACTGCCACTATTTTTTCTGTCTGAAAGCGTATGGCAGCAACCTACTACGACGTGCACATTTGGCGGGAGAAGACCTTCGCAAAATAGGCTGAAAAGCGCGGGACTGAGGTACAGCCACCCGCAGCACAGGAAGTAGCTGGTGACGAAATCGACAATCCCTCTTCCAGCCGCACTGTTAGAATTAACTATGCAGGAGAGCTTCTAAACGGCTATATACAGAATCTGCTACGTATGTCACATGCTGCGCTCACTATGTCTTCCTCTTCGCCAGGTCGCCACTGGCACCAAAGACGATGACAGAAAGATGATGCGTGTCCAGTACATTGGTGCTTGTGTGCTTCACAAGCAGCGGCCGGTTCGCGTTCCTCCTTCTTCTTGAAAAGTCGTCAATTGAAGGGAAGGAAACAAGATAGCATCCCCCGCTACTAATTACTTCACGTGCCGGGAAATTAAGTGGCGACTGCACACCAAGAATGGCATACCAATCCACAATGATGAAAAACACGTTCGCTAGTGCATCAGACAGAAAGAAACCTAGCGGACAGTTTACCACACCTGTTCTGGGTCAGTTTCCATCTGGAACCACGTATTCAGCTTTGACTCTCCCTTGATGAGAAAAATCTTGCGGCTTGCTCCAGCAAGGAGGTGTAGAGTAACAGATATCCGGTCGTGCACGTCAAAACTGTTGAAGACACGCACCACTTAAGATTCTGCGTTTTTGTGTGAGGTTTAAGCTGGAAGTAGTAGCAAATCACAGTTAGGTTGGAACCCTCACCGGTCGGTGGTCGAATGAACCACCATGGAACGTGGGCATCTCGCTGTTTCGTGCTGAGTCACGCTCAGGGGTGGAAATATTGATGCTATGTGACCATCATCTCCCATTCCCAAAAGGACTAGATCCAAACCTCCGTGCCGCCGCAGTAAGTTGCTCAGACTCTGGCCGCACAGTTTACACACCACTCAATGCAACTTTGGCTGTGCAAAGAAGGTAGCCAAATAAGTCGGAAACTCAACAACAAATAGACATCCAAAGTCACACGCTGAAACTAGACGCTGCACAAATTCGAAGCAGAACCCTCCATGACTTTTACAACAGCTGCATGACCACTCGACATGAGCGCATCTTTTTAAATTCCACTGCGTAAGGCAGTGGAATTTAAAAAGATGCGAGGTATTAATCCACTCGGCTGGTTGTCGGAACCCACTTCTCTATACTCTGCAATGCATCTGTCCACGGGCAGCGAAGTGTCGGGATAAGAGAAGTCGATGGTGTAAGGCCAGGCATTGGCCGTTGGCCTGAACTTCATGGTGCCGCCAGCAGCGGGGTCACTCCAGACTTCTTGCCCAAACAGCTCCTCCATGACGAGACGGACATTCGACTTAGGATCAGTCGGCGGAACGTAGCGCTCATCGACAAGGAAGAAGCTTACACGCGAAAAATCTATGGGTGATTGCGAGAAACTTTCGGAGTCTGGTTGTTCGCTGGACTGCCATTGATCCTTCTTCCCTTTTTGAATGTGCGAAATTGCTGTCTGCCGTAGTGCCGCGTACAAAGGCCCTGGAGTACTACCGCCTGCCATCCAAAGTAATCCCACAAGACATCAATGGGAAAGGGCTCACTTTTGCAAGAGGAAATCGGACCAAGTGTATGGTAGTGCGTCGACTGATGAAGTAGCCAACGAACAGATTCACAAGGCTGAGACGACGAAAAGTACCCGCACACCTATGCATAATGGCAATTTGTTCCATATGACACTTTCGTACCTGAGAGCCCTACGACGAGTTGCTTAAAGGGGTTCTCGTCCAGCAGCGACCTAAGAGTCCTAAGGACAAGGTCCAGACTCTGTGCTTCAAAGTCTTCTACACTCTGACATGGCACACTGATGGCAGCTGGCTGCATCAGCCTGAGCCTCCTTTCTCCAGGTGACGAACTCATACTGGCCGACATAGCAACTCCTTCCTCCGCTGTCCTTGGTTGCAGAAACGAGTTACCTACAAGGCACGCCGGAACCGCGCAGAGACAGAACCACGTCAACTCTGGTAGTGCTTCTTCCCCTTCATGCTGAGTTGAAGGCAGTAAGTCTGCAATACGTAACTCGCGTATGTAACCTGTAAGCCCGATGCATTTAGGCTCTCCATAGACTGCGCTTAGAAATGCCGTTAGCACAATAGTGTAAAACCACCCATCCCTTTTCGAGTGGCCAATACGTAAAAGGGACTATGGGGTGCTTAAACTCCATACATGTGGACGCTCCACATCGTACACACTCCATTTACACACGTTGGACCGGCTAAAGCATTGTCTGCCGGCGCTTTGCGTGGAAGTGTGTTGCCACAGCTTGGCTTACCGCTCAAATTTTTCGACATGTTTCCGAAAAATTCAACACTGTTTGTGAAAACAGCTCTGCTATTACCGAACTCAACCACTCCCGAAAGAGGTCGCTGGTTTGCCACACGCTCCGCGCAAGAGATTTACATAAAAACAAACCCAGACGGATTTTGAAAGGTGTACTTAATCATATTTGAGACAAAACTGTAAGGGAACTGCATCCGTAACTGTTAAGATGGCGCAGCTGTAATCCGCCGCAAGCCTCCAACCGGAAGTTGGGACTGAAACCGTTGTGTCTGTCAAAGTAGAACATACCTCCGCCTGAAAAACACCCTCCCTGCAAGCACCTCATTAAACCAAATCAGAGACTCTATTAAAATCTTAACGCTGCTGTACTAAGAGTGTTTGGCGCATTGGCAATGCGGCGCGTTAATCTGTGGAGATGTTGGTGCTACGTTGGCTGCCGCGCTGTAGTTGGCTTCTTTTTTTTAAGCTTTTACCTCCGAAATGGCTGCACTGTTTTTAAAGTGTTCCAGAGTGTGTGTTGAGTCTATAGTGGGGGTTTTGCATGGGAGTCGATGCGATGTTGGTAATTGGCTCTAGTAGGTCATCGTACTGGGGGGTTGGCAAATGTAGGAGCGTATGAAGGCTTGTACACCGAGCTGAAAAACCTCATTTTTGATTCTTTGCTACGTGAAAGTTCCAACTTCAAAATTTCCTAATTCACATCATTCGGTAACATCCCACAGTTTGTCAACTCCCGGCACGGCCACTAGACTAATACAATTCAATTTTTCAGTATCTGAAGAGCAGCTACTTGAGTACGAGAGGCTAGGAGACTGCCTGTAGTTCCAAGTAGGAGGCGTTAAGATTCACTCCTACTGGTTCTACGGAGGAGTAGCTGATGAGCATAGCCACCAGACGGATGCAACCCAATTTTTCATCATCTGAGGAGCGGCTATGTGAGTACGAGAGGGTAGGAGGTTGCCTGTCGGACCAAACAAAAGGTGTCAACATTCCTTATACGAAGCGGGAAAACGATAGCCTGAATATATCAAAACTTCAAGTTATGAAAGGACCATTCGACTGGTCAAAGCTGGTCTGCTGTGTGGCTTAAACCAGAATGGAAAAAATCTACTAAAAAATGATGCATGGGACAGTGCTCACGAGCGAGAATATTATCGGATGAGGGTCTGGCAAATGTTTCCGCTGCTCGCACTGGGATCCTACGCCAGTGCAATGATTCGAGAACCCACAGAGCTGACACATGGCTCAAATACCTGACTTCAAGCACTTGATTTTTCTCCGTAAGTTTCCCACTGATTGTGTGTGATGCTGGGAGGAGCGGTGAAGTCCCCTTGTCTCCTTTCCAGTTGTTGTCAACACAGGCCGAAAATTCTTCCATGCATTTTCCTTACTAGGAACCATCGGACTCAATGAAGGCCCAGTTCATTTATTGCAAGAGGATATCCCGTTAGCCGAGCTTGTGCTTGCTGTGACTCAAGTGGCTTTGGCATGAAAATACCGGCGCCAGTACAGCTTCCCAAGGCTGTAGCATTTACTATTCTACGTATGAAACATAGTTGGAGGGGTTTTTGCTACAGGATTTGGGCTCTTGCTGCGGAAGCTGTCTCCGGTGTTTCTCTGTAAGACCAGGGATTGGAGCTGGCAGTGTCGCCGTTGCAGCATGCGGAGACGCGTACCAAAAGACGCCGAAAACCTTGGGCAGGCTGAAAAACAGACAGACGTGAATTATCATGCTTTAAAGGGTTTATCTGAGAACGTTTGTCCTTATTGGATTTGTGTGCACCGATGTAGCGAGAAAGGAAACCCATGCAGGGATGAGGTGAGGCCGCGCTCACTAGAACTTGGGGGCTGCTCCGGGATTATTTGAATCCCCGGGGGTTGCGGCTGACAATGACAGCACTGGTGTGGGGCATCGCCGCAACCGGGTAAGGAGAGTCAAGACTACGATTTTTCGGCTTTTAAGGAGGTTCGATGGACAGATACGACGGATGATTGGCTACTGATTATTTGGTTTTGTTTTATGAGGTATGTGTCGAGTGCAGAGGATTTGTCGGAGGGGCGTCCTATTCATGCGCCAGGACGCAGCGTAGTAGCAGCAGAGAGCGCTGTTCACTAAATCTACCGAGGCAGCTACTTTGCTGGGTACCGACAAATTGAAATGCATAATTTATAGTCACAAACGTCGCATGCTTTCGCATATTGAATACTGGGAAATTTAGGTACAGACACCCCTCAGGCGAGCCGAGAACGTTGAATGCTAAACTTGGCATCAGATGCTCACCTTCTACTAACTCGAAAGCAAAATATTTTTTGGGAAGAACAACAAAGCAAACACACCAGGGAATGCATTAAGAATTGTTCGTCTCCATGAAATTGATGAAAAATAGACTGTGCTAACAGGCGCAGAGATGGTTTGCGTGCTCCTGTCAAACTTAATACATGCTCCACATGCACTAACGCACCGTGCGAAACTCATTATTACAATTAGTTCTCATGTTTAAGCAATTCTGTATGCTTTTGCTCTCTGTCGATATACAGCAGCTTGGTTATGCGCGAAGCTTTCATGAGTCTATGATGCCTCTACAATAGAAGAACTATGGGGCATCATTTGCCAACATCTACCGAACCTTTTTTCCAAAGTGAGGAGCTTACATCGGGTTTTGCACACTCAGTAAAACGAACTTAATTCCACCCATGAACCCCGACTCTTACAACATCGACTATCGGTGGGAAGAGGACAATTTTAAAATGTATTAGCTCCAAACAAACGACTTGAACTGTAGCAGAAACAAACCATCCAATTAACTAAAGTTTGCTAATCTTTTCTGGAAACCGGTCCTCAGTAGTCCAACGTTCAACGTTGGCACCCAAAGGCTTCGGGCGTGAAGGCTTTCACTGCAGCTAGCACCACGCACAAGCAACTAAAAAAGACGAGAAATCTGCAAGCATAAAGCTTTTGAGGCCTTTGGAGTCCTATCACAACTGGGGCCTTGGCAATATACACGCATGGCAAGATGCACTCTAAAGAATTTGTGATTTCGTATGGTGCATGCGTGCATTCACCTGTAATGTAATCTGCCGGTACAATACTGTCAAAAGGTTTGCGTTGATCTAACATATTAAAATAAAGAAAAGAACATATAATGTTATGGGGGCAATCCTCGATCAATCATCCGTGGCATTAGGCAGCAGTCGTGACCAAACAATGAATTCTTCCTGTTGTGGTCTATCTAAACGAGACGGTGGTGCCTCTTCAGCAAGCCGAACGCCAATGCTTAGCCTTTGCAGCCCGACACCGCTGAGCATATCGTTTAGGCGACGCCCTGCTTAGCAGGATTCTTGCTTCAAAGCCCTGGGAATTCAGAGGGCGTTCAGGGCTACCAGCTGCCTTTCCCACCAGCAGCTGCCGTATATAAAATGCTGGGGTTATTTGCAGCAGCGGAAAAGATATCAGTCACAAGGGTTGCGTTTTAGCAAAGTAAATAGCCGGGCACAGCTACTACCTTTGGGCACAAAAGAACACTAAGTAACATTCCCATAGTCTACGCAATGCTCGTGCGAGCCAATGCCAAATTGCAGCTAAGGGCCACGTACTGCACAGAAAGTGCAAAATGATTGTCAAGTTACTGAAAGAAACAGCAATCTGTTCAGTGGCATATTCGAATGCATGTTAATTCGCGTTGCATCGCGTTCTTAGAGTTGGTCACCTGCATTCAAAGCCAGAATCATACGCCTGACATTGCAGTAACGGTATAATCAGTATCGTCGGACACATGATATGTTTAAAGCATCACAAGGTCTTCTAGCAAACCGCCAAGCAGTGAAACTCATGGCGAAGAAGCGTACGTGGTACTCCGCCGCATCATGTCCATGAATTCATCGAAGTCAATCTGAAGTGCAGGCATATGATCACATCATTTCTTCGAGACAGCTATTAGGTATATCAAGTACACTAGTTCCAGCAGTTTCATCGAGACAGCTGTTAGGTATATCAAGTACACTAGTTCCAGCAGTTTTTTGGATGATGAAGCGTTATTAGGTTGCATCTGACCTCGAGCTAATTTGAAAGAGTCTAGGGCACCACAACTTCGCTTCTGTGTCCCGCTAATGTCATCCAGTGAGGCGAGCTAAGTGGATGCGTAGTTCTGACTGCGCCATCAAGCTTGGGTATTTACAACAATGACAAGCTAAACGCTTAATTACGAGCATTTCAGAACTAGGACCTGCAGGCCGCCTCTACCCAGAAACCACCATAACGAACCTCTCCATCTCCATTCCGGTCCACCTCACGGATGATACTTTTGATTTGCTGCATTTGCTGTTGCTTCTGTTGCGGGGATTGACTGCTTCCTGGTCCTTTGTTGGCGTCTTCTTGAACATCCTGTGCCGCAGCAGATTGGGCATGCAACGAAGCGCTGCCATTGCCGAGCGATGCAGGCGACGGAAAAACGCTCTGCACGTCCGTGTTCAAGAGAACATGCGCTAGATCCTGAGCAGATATTCGCCCGTTTCCGTCCAAATCAAAGACACGGAACGCCGCCCAGCACACGTCTTCCTGTAAAGAAGCACAAAATTTTAAGCACACCTCCAGAAGCGTGTGGACAAGGGAACGCATCTTGAAATACCCACGAGCAATACTAATGCAGCAGTAATCTTTACACGTCCTAGTGCGGAACAGCCAAGCACAGTGCCTGCTGTAGGAGCTAATGTAGTGTCTTTTGCATCAGAACACAAAAAAAGCATTAATCTACTCACTTGTATATACTGCCTCTTGTCAAGTGTGGCCGCAACAAACTCTGTGTAGTCAATTACTCCTGAGCCGTCCGAGTCCACGTCATTCATCAGTTGCTCTAGGTCGCTAGGTAGTTCTTTCATGCCTGCTTTCTTGAGGCCCGCTGCGCCCCCATGTTTATGAACAAATCAACAGCAACAAAATACAGTGAGTACAAGCGGCCACCGTGCTTCGTCAGCAACACAGTACTTAATGACCTCCAGCTGGGCAAAGTTTACCGGCGTGATTGCCCTCGAATGAATTTTTGCTTATTTCGTACTTCATGATTAAAACTAACCCAGAAATTAGTGCTAGGATGTATTTCTGGTGAACGTTTTAAATGCAAAGACAGACTAAACGTGTCGGCAATAGACATGGAAATTGAGACTTGGAAGAGAAACATCTACTCACTTCGCAACTCGTGGAGGTTAATGCTTCCGTCTCCATCCTCATCTAATGCTGAGCACGTCAGATCAAACATGCATGTTTCATTGTTAGCTTCGTAGTCAGGACTCGCCCTGAGATGTGTTACACTTTACTGCAACGCGGTATGCAGGCAAAGTGTTTCGCGGTTACTATCGCCACAGAGCAACGCTTCATTTGCTCTCGTATTTCTGCGTTGCAGCCAGTCTGTTCCTCAGTCTTTTGATGCTGAAGAGAGGGGCAGCAATACAATGTACCAAGGAAAGTGTGTGTGAGTAGCTCGATTTGCGACTCGCTCATCTGCTGCGCTATAATGGTCAGTGCTGCCTTTTTCAGTTTGCAGAGAGCTTGGAATGCCTGCACATAAGCTGCACAAGTTTCAGGGCAACACGATTGTAAGATGATATTAAGTTGACGTGCCTCCTAGCCGGAACGACTACTACAGTGCAAACGAAAGTAAATGAACCCAGCTCTAATGTCTCGCCTCTATGCATTCTATACGAAAGAACGTGTCCCTTTGTATCCAGTTTCCTTTTCATGGAACGCGTGACCCAAAGAAGATACTGATCTAGTTCTCCACTACATCACTCCGCATGCGTACTCTGAAGTGATCGAGCATTGTGCGGCTGAAGGGCGCATCTGCTGCTGGATTGGCGCCTGTGGAATAGTGTTTAATCCAAGGATGGTTGAGCGCCTGCTCGGCCGATAGTCGTTCTGCGGCGCAATGCTGCAACCCAGCGTGGGAATAGTCAACAGCGATCAGACTTCCCTCTATCGTCTAAACTGAACTGGTGGCAGCATGACTCCGTACTCTGTCATTCATTCAGGCTATCTCTCACTAGGCCAATGTTGTAGTGCTAGTAAACTCGGTGTGGGTGCGTGTTCTCATCCTTGAGCAGCATCCACAATCGCGGCCTCACAAATCAGCACAAAGCACTACAGTTTTCGAGGCATAATGTTACGTATTCTACAATGGTGCTTACGGTGAGGATCGAAGGCCATTAATTTCCTAACAAGGTCTTTTGCCTCATTCGAGACTCCCTTCCAGTCATGCTCATTAAATGTGTACCTCCCAACCTTGACCCGTGCAAGGATTTCAGCATCATTTTCTCCATGAAATGGGGGGTAGCCGCAGAGAAGAATGTATAAAATGACTCCAGCCGACCACATGTCGCACTTGTATGTGTATTTTCCTTGTAGCACTTGAGGTGCTACGTAAAATGGCGTGCCCGCCCGTGTGGACATGAATGCATTATTGCTGAAGCGTGTTGCCAGCCCAAAGTCTGTACATCAAACACAGCAGAAAATGCCTGCGGTACTATGACACCCTACACAGCCAGCAGCCATACGCTGTGTCACAACATGATTCCGCGAAAGTCTTCTTTGCAGCACGGTATAGTGCACAGCGACTTGCTCATGCGGACATCCGACAGTTTGCAGCATGAACTGAGGTTAAACAAATTGCTCAAGGAGGAAGCTTGACCCGAAGGGCACGAAATCGATGATTCACTTGGATACCGTCGCGCATATGTGCCAACTTATCTGCTACAGCTTTCTTGTGTGTAGCCTGTCTGATTCTGTGTGCAGTCCTTTTTTGGAAGGACTGTTTGAAAACGATCTTTTGCCTGTATGAAGGTGTTTGGTACCGATTATTTTGAAAGGTGCGTCCTTGCCCTTGTCAAGGAACATGAAGTTTTCCGGTTTAAGGTCCCTGTGCACAATCCCATGCTTGTGCAAATAGAAAAGCGCTGCCAGTATGGAGCGCATAAGCGAGCAAGCATATGCCTCTGAAAAGTATCCTTGCTCTATAATGCGATCAAAAAGCTCTCCACCTCTGCAAAGCTCCATTACGAGGTACACATTTTTGTGGTCTTCAAATGTTTCAAAAAGTTTTCTGAAAACACAAGAGTGAGCGCAAGATCTGATTTACAAATTATCGAAGAAAGGCTTATGCGAGTCCCCTAAAAAATACACAGGCTGATATGAAAGTTATATATGCCAATGCATGTGTAGAGTCACCTGAAAAACAGATAGGGAAACAATCTATTAAGTGATGAAATTTGTATATGCCAATGCATGTGTAGAGTCACGTGTAAAACAGATAGGGACACAATCTATTAAGCTCTGCGTAGGCTGTCATGTACAGTTTATCGAATGCTCCGTTGCCCAAAAGAACTCTTAAAGGAGAGATCAAATGATTATGAAGGACCACGAACGGTGCCTTCGTGCTGCACTCTAGCATTTAGACAGTTGTTTCAAAAGCTTGTTCTCGACGAAAGTTTGAATGCTTGGCTCATGATTTCCTTTGGGGCTACTTGCTTATTAAGTGACGAAACTTGTGATTCGGCAGGCGTGCACTTATCGCTACCTTGTGAGCTTCCGAGTGTTTTTCACATGAACTGACTATAAAGCAAGTGAGCGTTTGTCTACGAAAAGTTGGCTAGCAGCATGTTATTATGCAGTCGTGAATTCTTGCGTTGAAACCAATGAAAGACTAACATGATATTTGGATGATCGAGAGATTTCATGATTGAGATTTCTTGTTTAAACCTTTTGACATTTCGAACTTTGCTTTTGCTGATTGTTTTCACAGCTCTCACTGTCTTCGTCGACTTGTTGACAGCTCTACAGACACTGCCGTATGTACCTTGTCCTAACTTTCTTGGCTCCACGTCATACGAATCAGTGAGAGGGCCAGCAAAGGAGAGAATAAACCCTTCCCGCTTGAATTTCCATGGTGCACCTTCAGCAGCACCATGTGCTGAAGAGTGTTCTGCTGGCCTAGCCACATTTTGCGTTGAGCGATTGGATGCAGAGCAGTCAGCGTGTGTTGCATCAGAGGCTGGTGCACTGCCGCAAGTCCGGGCGTTACGTGAAGCGGAAGATTTTAAGTGGGCAGCACCGCAGCAGGAAAGAGGAGAGTCAGCCGCGGTGTAGGTGCGATTTGAGCTCTCATGGTACACTATACCTGGATGAGTTCTGTGGTGGTCTGAATGACAGGTCCGTTGATTGTCGCTTGCATTTTCATGAGCCCCGCGGGGGCAAAGACAAGTGGAAATGCCGTGCATATCCATCCAAGCAGGTGCACTGGCCCTTCTGTGCCCAAATTTGAGCTAATTGGATACAGGAAGTGCATCTGATATACGTTGATGCAATGGCTGCTGCAGCCACTTTGTCTAGTGCTCAAGCTAAGGGCCCGTGCCAGGCTGTGAAAGTGTTTTATAACCGACGCTTTGCGTATATTGCTCTTGGATGATGCGATCCTTGGCGATTTTTTGTTTTTCAATAGAATGCGAGCATAGTTGAAAAAGCAGGAGAGCGTTCAAAAAACAAATGCGATTACCTTTTGGTAATTACTTTTTAGAGGCACAGCTTGCTGTGACTCAATTTTTCAGGACAACTGTATGCAAGCCCTTGACAGAAACATTTTTCAGCGCTGCGAATTAGTTTACTTTTGCTTGGAAAGAAACTTTCATGGCTGAACTTGTCCTGCAAGTGCTTGATAGGCAAGCAGACTTCCTTCGTCATTCGTGCGCACAACAGACAGGAAGCCTGCCATTCCGTTGAGCGCCACGATGTTGCTACAGCTGAAAGGTTGAGCAGCCTTGTCAGCAACGTGTGCTCGGAACGCCGTGAAAGAGACTCTGCCTTCATGCGTAAAAACGGGGCTGGCCACTGCATGCATGCACTGTCTCATGGGGCTGGACTCTAGATGCAGGGGACTGTAAGATGGCACCTCAACACATTTCGTCCTTATCTTGTCTGTTGGGCTATTTAAAGTGTACTTCAACATATATGAATATCTCCTGCGGCTTCTTTTCACCCTGGTAATCTTTGGTTCTTCACTTGTACTTTGTCGAATTGGGTGCTGTGCTTCTAATGACCAGCAGACATAAAGCCGTAGATATCCCATTTCTCCCGTGGTTAATTTGCCTTTGAGTTTTTTAAAGTTATTTTGAATAAATAATTGGAGAAGCTTCTCTGGTTGGTGCTGCTGGAATATTAGAACGAGCCAGTCCGCAGCAGCTGTTTTCTTTCAAGGGCATTTTTGAAATTGGCGCCGCTACGATGTTGGCGCTTACCAAGTATAAGTACAATCGACGTTTCGTCTATTCGATGTCATTGAGTCTCTCTATCGGACCGCAACGCCGTCTTCGAGGTTTGATCTGACTTTTGGATGAGCGTTACGATGTGAAGGCTCCTTTATATAGGCAATTAACTTGATGTAGACAGTTAAATTGTCCTAGTCCAATCAAAAAGTCAAGAAGCCTTTGAAACAAGAAGCAAGGCCTCATTGTGTCTGGATCTCTACATCGACGTTGGCACCCAGAGAAACTTCCACGGCAACTATTATGTTAATAACTAGCGAAAAATTCACGTATCTACAATGCAAGCTTTAGCACTTTCAAACCAGCCTGTTGTAGTACTGTTGCGCCTATGACTATTCCACTGCAGAGACGTCGAAGTCCAAGAAAGCCATGTAACCTGCAAATTCTCCTATTTAGCTCAGCGTAGAGCAGTTCACATAATTAGTGCGTGATTTTTATCCATACTAACCACATGCAAACGAAAGTTAAGGCACATTTGCATGAGCCCCGCAAAAGTCCAAGAGCCCAAACTAGCCGCTAAGCTTAGTCATGAACACTGCAGGCTGAACTCGTAGCCGTAGCATTGGTACTGATAAAAAGCGTTTGCAGTGATTGTACTCTGCAGCTTAATTTGAAACATTGGATATTGCAAGAAGCGACGATACGTGCCTGGTGAAAAGAGAAGGTTCAAGTGAGCAAGGAGGGTATAAAGTAAAGCTAATACTACGCAATGGTGTTTCCCCCGGAAATGCCATTTTTGTGATATTCTTGCACCATTGAACTTTCTGTGGGTGTCGTCAGCGCTCAGGGCCTCACCCTGCAGTACTATTTGTCAGGAAATCTTGAATGCTCTAGGCAGTTGCGCTAGTCCAAATAGGCTTAAACCTTCGCCTTGTTCCTTGAATTCCCTTGGATCACATATTCAAAAGCTTGCTCATGTAGTTGCCATCTCCGGAGCTGTGGCATGGCTCCTGGAATATTAATCTGCCTTAATGGGTGTGGAGTTTAAATAGCAACATTGGAAGAGCTGGTGAAAACGTACGGACACAGAAGCTCACTTACTGAAACAGAGGGAGCTCGTGGCAGTTTTCTCTCGTTCTCAACGTCATTAATTGAAGGAAACCTCAACACTTTGTTACACGGGATTCGATGCTAAGTTGTTCCAAAGTACTTTGTAGACACGCTATGCGCGACCACAAGTCAGAGACACCCAGGGGTGGGCCCTTGCCTGTGGAGACAACGGATAGACACAGAGAATAAACTTATGTTTGCCCAGTGTTTACGCCCACATCTTTCTCTTCTAAGCTGTATTTTTTGTAGTACCATTGCATTGCTGTCACTCTTCTGCCAGAAAGTCGAGCCACATGTCTGTACGGCCGCTTTGGGACTGTCCTACGAATAAGTTTCCCTGCAACTGAAAGATATTTAATCTTTCTGCGGAAACGCCATTTTTGAAAATGCATGCACATCCTGGATATACATCGAATTTGCAGTTCGTTCAGGCCTGACTTGGCGACCATTGCTTGCTTATGACCTTTGCCACGCCCGACACTTCTCAGCCTGATTCCACGAATTACCTCTTTACAGCCCCACTTTCTCAGGAAAAGATAAGCAGAGTGGAACAAATACGTTCCTTGTCGCTGCTAAACCAGTCTGTGCCCCTCCACTGTAGCTGCAGCTTGCCAGCTTTGGTTGCTGGCCCTTAAACACACGTAGGCCCAAGCCCAGGAATTCAAAGAAACGTTTCGGAAAAATTGAACACTGAAAGAGACTCATATTCCTCTAATGCAACGAATCAAAGATGTAGAAGTCAACCTTGCAGCCCAACTTACTATGGCACTCTGAGTGTGAATACGGAGTCGCCTCTACATAGTGGGAACAGTGAAGTCTTGAGGATTCGCATTTCCATTTCTAGGGCAATTACGCTCAAGTATATGAGAGCCACTGCCAGCATATTATGGGTGAGGACGCTGGAACTACAATGAGCGACCGCGGACGTCAACGCATTATTGAAGCGAATGCACATAAGCCAAAAATACACAGGCAGTCGGGCACTATTTGCTAGTGAGTCTGTTGTGAGCTACAAATAACGTTTTTTGGGCTTTGAAGCTGGCACTTCGAATTTTCGTTTGCCGGCGCGTGTCTCGAATTATTGCAACTCTGCCTTGCTTTGGGGGAAGGCGACCTTATTTGCAAAGTGTCAGCACAGAAAGTAAGCATGTTAAGGCATTTAGTACTTCGCTGAAATGTCGCATCAATCAATTTTTCTTTAATGTATTTATTATCGTTTAGATTGAAGGCCTGTCTAGTTTTCGCAAACATAGAAGGCACTAAAGAGAGATCCAGCATTGCCTCTTGAAAGACATAGCTTTCCAGCTGTTGGAAACAACACCGCAATGCTTGCCACCTTATACGAATTGATAGGAAGAGTGACCTGTGGCAGAAACATTTGGTTTTTGGGATTACTCCGCTGATGTCCGCAAGCGGCCACGCCCGCCAAGCCAGCATTTAGGCGTTTCGTACGGCACGAGCAGACAAATTTCATTCTATTGCCCCTTGGGGGGGAAAAATGAGGCTGTATAGCTTTTGCTGAGCAGAAAGCGACAAAAGGCAGCTACTACCCAGATATTGCCATTCAGTGTACTCTGCTTTGCATGTATCATGGCTAGCACAGTCTCTGGCATTCAGGTGTTCAGCTCACAAGGACATCGTCACTTGATAGTAGGGCGCTGAGAACTCTGCGCCGATCAAATGCCAAGAATTCCTCGAGCGAAAGCCTTTCGAATTCCCCTGGATCACATGTTCAAGAGCTTGTTTCTATAGTTGACGTCTCCGGAATTGTGGTGTGCCTCCTGGAGCATTAATGTGCCTTAATAGGCGTGGAGTTTAGGTAATAACACTGGAAATACTGGTGTAAACGCATTTCCACAGAAGCTCACCCACTGTAACAGAGGGAGCACCTCGCAGTTTTCTCTCTTTCTTCACATCATTAATGCATTCAACAAGAAACGCTTCTAAGTCCCTGCGCCGTGAAAGAGACTTAGACGCTTCTACCAGGCTGGACCTATAAGACAACAAGCTCGTCAGCATCGCATTTTACTTGGTGCTTGAGCTCAGCCGACAGGCCAAATGCTATAAGCTAAAGTCCTGCGGCACTAAGAATCAATTGTATTGTGGTGGGGAAAGTCTTGAAAGTGACTGGACGGGTAGCAATTCTGAATTTTTGACTGTTCCAAGACGTGCCCAATTCGGGAATTCCTTTTTGCTTCGCTCTGCAGCCGACGATTTTGGGCGGTCAGATTGGCTACTTGTCTCTTAAGATCCTCTATATTTTGCCTCAGTAGGTCTATTTGATCCGTTGAAGTGTCACCCAGTGTGCCAGTGCCACCGTAAGATGACGTAGATCTTTCTGCTCTAAAGGCTGCCTCCGCATCTACTGGGGCAAGCGTTGTTGTTTTACACGCTGTGTTCTCAACATTCTTCGATTTTGTATCTTCCTGAGAATAGTGGGCGAAGAATGTAGCCAAGATACGTGTCTCAAACTTTTGTGGAAGGTGCCACAATTCCTTCAGGCATTAGCGAGTAATGGATGCCACTGCTGGCGGGGAGTGCCCTCTTCGCTACCTGGAATACCGTGAAGTAAGCGGTGAATTCACCTGCAACAAAGTACGCGCATCGTACTGTTCTCGACGCTGTGCAACTCTAAGTTTTCGTTTCGTTTTTTTTAACTCTTCTTCTAGGAAGTCGCGATCTTCCCTTAGAGCCTCGGTCCGTGCTCGCCAACTGAGAAGGTCTCCTTTAAGCCTTTTGCAAACCTACCGAGGATGCAGCAAGAACTGAAGGCTTTCTAGGATATGCAGGCAGAAAATCATCTGACAGGAGATAATCAAGGGCGATCTTTTTGAATCTCACTTCTTCAGTCGCTGGCATGTAGTGTGATCCACATCGGGACCAGGACGTGCGCCAATTTAGGCTGATACCTGATCGAGCCTGACAGCTTCTTTCACGAACCATTCTAGTTCCTGCTGGAGCGTCCTGATCTTTAAGTCCCTCTCCAACAGGTTTTTCTGTTCATCTGCACACTCTTGGAGATACTGTACATGCTTTTGTACTTTTGTCATGTGCGCGCGAAATGCACTAAAGAACTCCTCTTCGTGCTGAGAGAGAAGAACGTTCACCCTTCCCTCCAGCTCTTGAGCGGTCGTAGACAAAAGCGTCATAGCCTCTGAAAGGCCTCGAGCGTGCTGTAACCCCCCCAAAGGTGCTGTATCAAGGTTTTGCTGAAGCCCGCTAGCCTCTTCATTTTGAATGCCCGGTGAATTATCGCCTTCATTGTGTTCCAGCTGTTGAAACGAGCTTTCGCGCTCATCTAACGCCCGCTGATCTAGAACTAATGTGTCCTGTGAAGTAGTGCCTTCGGCTGTAGCGCGTCCGCAGGAGTCGTACAGCAACTCCTCAGGAGACGTCGATAGCCTCGCGTCAAGTTTGTTTTCGTCAAGCATAAACGAGACGTGATTGGGTCTGACTTCGGGTGGGTTCGGCGTCTCAGCAAAACTTTGTAAGTCTGTTTTATCCTCTTCGTGTACATCTTGCGTTTGAGAGATAAAGCCATCTTCTCCTTGTAAATCCTCTCCTGATGACCCTAACGCTTCCATTTTGCGAGCAGCTTCTGCAAATCTACTGAACCTTTATGCACGAGATCACTAGAGGTTACCTTGCTGAGCCGCTCTGCCTGAAAAATTTCCTACTAAAATATCCAGTGGCGGGGCTGGGCACAAGATGCATGCGCTGATCCCTGGGGCTGCGATCCAGATGCATTTTCCCATGAAACAGTCAGTCCCCGTTTTGCTGCTTTTATTTAGTAGAACACTTTCTCTGCTCTGTGTGTAACTCACGAAGCAGTAGAAATCAGAGCCAAACATTGTATTTCGATTTCTGTGCGCGCATACCTTGTCCTTTCTTGCCATTAATAAATGACTAGGTGGCCAATTCAAAATCTTGTATTTCGTAAGCTTAAAAATTTCACGTGTAAAGTAAGCCACTAGAATACAACTACAAATGAACTATGAACAATTGGAAGTGTGCTAAAAGGAAAAGCTTTGTGAGCAATCCTTACCCCTGCTTAGCTCTTTGTTCAAATCGTGCGCAAACTTTTAGTGAAATTCCAACAGAATATCGAGCGCAACGGCCAATCAACAAATAGGAGCTTCCGCGTCCACCTTGTGCTACGATTTGCGCGGCTAATTGCAACCGAAAAATAAAAGAGTTATTAAAAAATGAACCGATTGCTGAAAAGCAAGTACAGCATAATATTTTATTGAGCTGATTTGGCGTCTGCGGACGTTTTATCCCTGGCTTCCAGATATTATCAAGCTTGCAGCTTCGCTACTGGCAATCAGAAGCAATGCATGCGACAGTTTTGTCTTCTGTCAAAGGGACTGCCGGAAGTAGCAACTAAGCACGAATTTTCTTACGTGCTGCCACATGGGGACACGCCCTGCAGAAAGATTTGACACGCTCTTTTGACACGCTCCAAACCCATTGAACACGTGTGCTACCATACACCTATCAATTGTTAAGTGCTGCGCAGCGCCTTGCACATGTGTTTCTTCTTGTTCGAGCTTTTGCTCCTCTCACGTTCTTGGAAAGCACGCTTTTCTTTCTCGATTAGATCAGCGAGAGAGCAAGGTCAAGTCACTGTCTATTTTTCACGAGAATTATTGTTGGACGACATAATCGCACTCAATGAGTTGCACGCTGTAGGCACTATCTTTTACCTTTTAAAGGCGTCCGGAGCCATCAAGAGCCTGCATGACTGCCAGAAAGAAGGAGGTGACCCTTTGTAGTGCGCAGCGTTCTCTGCTGCTACTACGTTAGTACCTGGCCACGAATAGCGCGCCCTTTTGACAAATCCACTGCGTTCGACACATTTTTCATAAACCACACCAAATTACTAAACAGTCATCTATGAAGTTCTCGATCCCATTTTCCTGAAAGTCGCCTTCTAAAAGTTCCTGCTTTCTTGGTGCGGTTGGGGCGGTACCTCGTCTCAGTGCTCACGTTAGCGCCAGCCCCAATTTTAGGGAATTTACAAACGCTTCTATTTTAAATATGCTATCTGTCCAATAAATTGCCCTAATTCGTTATTAGTAAGTAGTGTCTGCGCTCGTCCTGTTTTCTGATCGCTCATCAATCACCGGCTAGCTAACCGGGCTGGCTAGCTGCGAACCCGATTGTAGTGCCTGCGCACTACACCCTCTGTACAGATGATATCTACTTAAATGTGTTTCTTCCGCTCTCACTCCTCAGTGCAACGGAATTTACGTCGACGAGACGATGGGAACCGAAACTAAGGTAACTTGGTAAGCCAGTTGGGCGAACCAGGGGAGCAATCCGCGCGCTTTTCTGCACATTTTCGCGCTGACTGGAAACATGGTAGTTTAGGTTCCGTTGGCAAAGCTCTCCCAATTGGTTCTGTATGATAGGCCGGCTTTGGAGCGGCGTGAAGATTTGGCAATCCACATTAGGAGGACCATAGTCAAATGTGCCTTGAACATTGCCGAATGTGTGACCCGTGCTTGTGCTGGCCAGCCTCGCCTCGTTAGTATATGAATCCACAGTATCGCCTGTGGCGTCGCATGCCTTTCGTGTCGCGTATGGGTTGCGCATAGGATCGCCTTTGTTTCGTGAGCCTTCATGAGCGACTCCTGCTGTAGTGCACAGCACCTACTGCTGCGACTACGCTGCTACCTCCCCCCTTGAGTAGGGGCCTACGATAACCGTCTACCTTCGGCGCATTTCCGTGAAGCAGTAGTCCGAATATCACAAAATACATTTATTCATAGTTTTTCAAAATCTGTTTTCTTGAAAATTCCCCACCACTCGGGGTTCTTGCCTCCTAGGCCCTGTGGGGAGGTGGCCTGCACCGGTGCTGGCGCTATCGCCAATCCCAATCTCCGGGTAGTTACAGGCATGTCTAGTGTATACAGGCTAAACGCCGACTAATTGGCTTACTTCGATCCTAGTAAGAGGGTCCTGTCCTCGTTTCCTGTTTTGACCTCTTGTACGTCACCAGCTAGGAATCTTCTATATGCCACCAGCAAGCCCTATTGTAGTGCCTGTGCACTACACCTGCAGAGCTGGAGCCTTTGCCTGCTGCACCGCCTGCTCCACCGGGGGAGTAGATAAAGCCCGTTTAGGCCTGCTACCCTCTTTTCCTGTTTGACGAATGCACGCTATGGAACGATCAGAATATTTGGCGTTCGCTTAGCTTCTAAGCTTCTAAAACCGATAGCACGAAGGTATGGCATGCCAAGTGAATAAAATTACTGGAAAACAATCGCGTGCTGAATGAGCTTTCCAAGGAAATCACCTGGAAGCACTTCATTGACCCAGCCACATTGTTACTGCAGCCGGCGGGCGATAAATTGTCAAGGTATTGCCGCAGCTAGCTTCACATTTCTTAAAAGTCCGCAATGCTGTGAGCTATATCAGATTCAAGTAGAGCACCACGATCATAATAGCGTTTCATAGTTTGGGCCAATGATATTTACTTATATGATTGTGGTCATCCCCCCACAGCACCCTACAACTCAGTTTTCCCTAATCTGCCCTTCACACAGCATTCCTATCTGCCAGCACGCAAAAGCTTGGCAAGGCGGAGGCAGTTGACGCCCTGTCCTGCGTCAACCGTCACACCCCGCTCAATGATCTGTTCATTGCCCCAAAATTCCTCTGTACGTGGTGTCCGTAGTAATGGACACGCTCCTTCATTTTATTTGCCTTTTCTTTATCTGTGCTGTCACATGAGTGGAGGCAAGGTATTTGACTCTTAGGGATGTTTTGAGCCTCGGAACATCTACACAGAAGAGAACCGCACTGTTTCTTTCACCTAGCAGATTCGTTCCTCCCCCGAAGCCTGAGCTTGCATCTTTCAAACGTATTTCAGTTCTCTTTTGAATCTCTCTAAGAGTGGTCTGGCACCTGCATTAAGCCACTTTCCGTGGAATGCATTGCGAGAGTACCACGATCCCGCTCATTCTGTCCCACTCTCCTGCCTCAACTACATCTTTCTTTCATCTGATGCGCCTCTTCACTTCTCCAGCACCATGGTCCGGCTGAGCTTCCCCTGCCCGAAAACTCAAAAAGGATATTATCGCCCTCAGTCTCCCTCTCGTGAATGCCGTCCTGCAGGTTATTACGTTCTTGTGAATCGCCCTTAATTGCCCTCTCGTGAATGCCTTCCTGCAAGTTATCACATTCTTGCGAGCGGTGCCATTCGTGCGCACAAGTCTTTTGCAATCAGCATTTTGTGCTGCGTCCCCTCCAGTATTTTTTCTCGTGTTCCTACAGTCGATTTAAAGGCAGCTGCCAAGGCTTGCGAGGCAGTGAAAATCGCGTGTCGGGTTTTCACCAGAGCATGGACTATTTGTGTCAAAGATTTGCTTTGAAGTTGCCGAGGTAGGCAGGCGAGAGAGCATCACTTTTCCCCAGTGCGAGTGGGAACTTTGGTGCAAAGTGCGCAAATTCTCCCATCCACTTCACTTGTGTCAGATGGGCTTTATTGCCCCCTGGGATTTGCACCAAAATCTCGTGTTCCGCTTCTTTTCCCTCTTCCCTGCTACCCCAAAATTTGACAGCAAACAGAGAAAGCAAGTCGATAGTCCAGTGCAGCCCTAGTTGAGTGACGGAGCACCTTAACTGTTCATTCACTGGAGGCTGTTTTTGCCTCCGTGTGTTTCAACTACACCAAATCCGTGCTCTTCTCCGCAGCAAACTGGACGATCAGTGCCTTCAAATCGGTAGAGTACAGTATTTTGTTCAAGATTTTGATATTGGTATAGGGCTCTTTGCGTGCTCATTGTCTATTAGAGAGTGCTGAGCAATTTCCTTTCTGTTGTTGATGCATGTATCGATATCTACAACACTTATCTGGCTACCATGTGCTTTACTGGCTTGAACCGAGCCCGCAACTGGCATTCGCTCTTTGCCGGTGCATGCTTGTATTTAACTTTGAGTCTGAGTGTCTCACTGTTAAATCCACAGAAAATCATTTGAGATGCAATGTAAGCCTTTAGTTTTACCTTGCCAGCCTCTAATTGTAGTGGCTGAAGCCCAGCAACCTACGTCTAACCTTTTGGCAGAAAAAACGGAACGAAAGTAGTCAGAAAGATAAAACAAAAGACAAAGCAGTGCTGGACTTTGTTCAGGCACCTGGTGAGGTGCACAAGGTCTCTGCAAGCTAGAGGTCGGGTTCTTCCAGAACAGTTGCGGGTTTTATCACTCTCAGTGCCCTGTATTTTCTATGTTTTCTAGCTTGCGTCTAGCTTGTTGTGGCTTAGGATTAGTTATTTCAGTCCTCAGGCCAGCTTTCGTGACTCGGTGTAGTGCATATCACTAAACTGCCTCCACTCCAAGCCCTGAATACTGGCAGCTGCAGCCCCGCATCTCAACGAAAGCTCCTCCAAATTTTTCAGTAGCAACCTACTTTGCATGCAGTCCTGCCTTACAGAGATGCAGAGCCGTTCTCTGGAGTGCAGAGTTAGCAATCGAATCAGATCTCGAGGAATTAGAGCCTGAAGCAACGAAGTGAGACACTTCGCAGCCTAAGCGAGAAGACAAATATCGAAATTCAAAAAAGGCAATTCAGCTCTAGTTAGCAGAGTACAGATTCTTGTACGCCTTTTTCAGAAGCTTGTGTAGAGCCTGAGTCATACACTTAGCAGAAGAGAAAGGCACAATGCTCAAGTTAGTTTCTCACAAAGAAGTGCAACGTAGCGGTGCTGCGCACTTCGCTGAGTCTCAGCGCAGCCCTACTTAGTATTAAATGCAGCGCAAGCAGGTAGGACTTAGGAGACTTCAAAAGCTCCCTTTGTGGCAAAAGGAAGAGGCTAACGCTAATGCCAAAGTGACCCCACAAGAGCAGGGAACAGCAGAGAAAGGAGAATGCCTTATCTGCTAAGTCTACTGGACCTGTCTGTCCTCAAACTGGGCTTTAGGGGCTTCCCTCTAAGTGTTTACAAGAAGCTTATGTGACTGCCTAGGGCCCTGGCGTGCGCTGTGTTCACTAAAGGCTTCTTCTGTCCTGCCTTGCCTCTCAGAAGAGCCACGCTAGGGCCCCCGAGGCCCCCTCTAACAGCTCTAATAACCCAGCAGAGCAAGGGGGGCCCCTCCCTTCTGTTCTACGCAGCGAAAGATTCATCCCTTAGACCCTCCAGTACCCCTTAGAGGCCTGGGGCCTGTGCTGTGTTGGAAGCAGGGGGCCCCTTGGGGCCCCCTGGCTTGTTCTGCAGCTACAGGCAGCCCCGGCCTCTGTTTCGCAGGCCCTGCAGGGCTTGCGTGTTGCTGCTTTGTGTGTGTGGGCCTTAACTACTGGGAAAGCAGTCTGAGGCAGCAGCAGCAGCAGCAAAGTTTGCTGCAGTCGCAGCTCCCCACAAAGCAGGGCTGAGCTGCTGCAGCCCCCGTCCCCCCGGGAGCAAATCCTCGCAAGCCGGGCCTCTTTTAGAGTTTAAAAAGCAGCAAAAGAGGCCCCTTTGGGCCCCACAGCGTGGGGGCCCCTGGGGGCGTGAGGGGCAGCTCGTGCTGCAGCAGCAGCAGCAGAGGTCCGGGCTGTCTCTGCGTCGCGGGGGGCCCTGCAGCGCCGAAAGCGGAACTGAGGGGCCCCCGAGGGCCCCCGGGGGCCCCAGGGGCCCCCAAGGGCCCTTTGGCGCAGAGACAGGCCCGGGGGAGGGCCCCGGGAGGGGCTGCAGCAGCAGCAGCTGAGGGGAAGCAGCAGCAGCGCCCCCGGCGACGGGGCCTGGCTTCTGGTGTGGCTGGCTGGGCGAGCTGCGCGGCCAGGAATTGGGTCTTGTGCATAAAAAGCAATTTATTTATCTTTTATTTCTCCAGTTTTTGAAGAAAAAGATCTTTTTGACCTCCAGGCTCTTCGCCGCAGCGAGAGGTGGGCTTGTGCATGGGGCCGTCGGCTGGTGCAGCATCGGGCGGTCTTCTTTTCTCTCTTTGTCTCATTTCTCTTTTCTCTCTTTTCCATTTCGTGAACTTTGCACGGGATTTCGTGCATCCCTTCCCCGCGGGCCTGCTTCCCGGCTGCTGCTGCTGCTGCTGCGGCCGCTGCTGCTGCAGCAGCAGCGCGCCGCCCGTTCCCGCTGCTGCTGCAGCAGCAGCAGGGCCGCAGCGACGCTGCGTGCGCTGCAGCAGCAGTTTCGCGCTGCAGCGCAGCAGCAAAAGACCCCCGGGGCCCCAGCTGTGGGGCCCCCCCCCCTTGTGGGGAAAAGGGGGGGGTTGGTGTTTATTGGTTTGGGGTTTAGGGGCCCCCGGGGGCCCCCCACTTCCTCTCTTTAGGCTGCGCTGGGTGTGCCCTGCGTATGTGCGGGACTGCAGGTCTTCAGCCGCTGCGCGCTCGCTGCCCCCGCTGCTGCTGCTGCTGCTGCTGCTGCTGCTGCTGCTGCTGCTGCTGCGGCCAAGATGAACGCCCAAGGCAGAGACGAAGGGCCAGACAGGCCAGAGGACCAGCGCTCTCTTTCGAGGGGGCGCGGAATGTCTCAGGACGGAGAGGGGGGCCCCCGGGGGGCCTCCAGGGGCCCCTCCAGGGGGCCCTCCAGGGGCCCCTCCAGGGGCCCCTCCAGGGGCCCCTCAGCTGACCGCAGCCCCGCAGACCGCCGCTCCCATTCAGGCAGCCGCCGCAGCAGAAGTCTTCAGCGGGCTGAACGCCGCAGCCGCTCTTCGTGAGTTCCTGAGGGTTTAGGGTTTAGGGTTTAGGGTTTAGGGTTTAGGGTTTAGGGTTGTGGTTTTGTTAGGCCGCAGAGCTTACTGTTTCCATTCAGCTTTCTGTTTCTCCCGCGTCATACGCTGCGCCGCTCTGCCGCTGCTGCTGCCGCTGCTGCTGCTGCTGCTGCCGCTGCTGCTGCTGCTGCTGCTGCTGCTGCTGCTGCTGTGCTGCAGCCGCGGCAGCAGGAGCCGCAGCCGCAGCGGAGGGCGGGGGAAGTACAACGGGAGGGCTTATTACGGAGACGAGAGAGTAACTCATGTGATGGAAATAGAAGATGATGATGCTTCTTTCATTTTGGGAGCAGGTGGGTTTTTGTTTCATTTCTTTTCTTCTTTTATTCCTTTTTGGCCAAGTTCTTCTGTCTCTGGGCTAGGGTTTAGGGTTTAGGGTTTAGGGTTTTGCGCATCCGTCTCCTCTGTCTCCTTTCCGCCTTGGTCTCCTTCTTGTCCCAATGGAGGGTTTAGGGTTTAGGGTTTAGGGTTTAGGGTTTTGTGTTTTGCGCATCCGTCTCTGACTCGCCCTCAGTCCCGTACCCAGTGTTCCCTGTCAAGCACTCCGGATTGAGGGTTTAGGGTTTCGGGCTCCGGGCCTCGGATTTAGGGTTTAGGGTTTAGGGTTTAGGGTTTCGGTTAGCGTCAGTTTTAAGGTTTAGGGCTGGGCCTCTAGGGTTTAGGGTTTAGGGTTTGGAGTTTCGGATTTCGTCTTCGGGCTTCGTGTCGAGGCCAGCTCCAGCGCCAGCGCCAGGGCTAGGGTTTAGGGTTTAGGGTTTAGGGTTTAGGGTTTAGGGTTTAGGGTTTTGCAGGCGGGCGGACGAAGCGGAAGTTGAGTCACGTGTGCGGGGCTGAGTTGAACATTGAAGAGCGGGGCGGCCGCACAGTCTTGGAAATGCGGGGAAGTCCGCAGACCCTCGAGCGGGCCAAACTCTACGTGGGCTTTGTAATGCAGCAGCGAGTGGGGCCTGTGCAGCTGCCTCCGGACGCGGAACGCAGAGACGATCTCACCATCATTGAGGCAGGTTAAGCTCTAATGCATGCATGCATGCATGCATGCATGCATGCGGGCTTGCATGCAGGGGGGTGGGGGGTTTGGGGCTTTTTTTGGAGGGTTTGGGGGGTTTTGGGGGTTAC